TTATACATATTAAAAGAGTTCTTCCCCTTTTTTAGGCAGTCTTCATGAAATCAACTTGGATTCAGCAAAGTACTTATGCAGTAAAGGCAAATTCGTAGTGCCAGGTGAAAAACTTTGTCCACAATGCAGACATAAATTAGCATCAAGTGAAGAATCAGAAGAAAACGAGTTGGAGATAAAATTAACTGAAGATAATATGGAAAAAGAAATTATACTGAATAATAACAGTGAATTTCAAACAGTGGACAACGACAGATAGAACTGAACTATTAACAATGCAACTTCCATTAAATGAATTCATAGAGTTCCTGTGTGAGAAACTTGATAAAATTGCTTCTCATTCATTTATAGCAAAATCACAATCTAGCTATCTAAAGCATCTCAAAGAAACAATTAGTATTGATGAGGCTATTATACTGGCAGATTTTGCAGAGAATTACACTTTTATAGTACAAGACGAGATACAGAGTTACCATTGGAGCAAGAGTCAATGTTCTCTTCATCCAGTTGTCATCTACTACAAGAAAGTGAAATAGGAAATATCTTCTTTTTGTGTAATTTTAGATGACCTGAGTCATGATGTTGGATTTATCAATGAAGTTATGCATAAAACCATTAATCATATAAAAACTCATCTTTGTCCCGCAATTACAAAAATTCATTATTGTTCTGATGGCTGTGCAGGGCAGTATAAAAACTGCAAACATTTTTACAATTTATGTCACCATGTTTAAGATTTTTCTTGTGATGGAATAGGTGGCACTGTTAAAAGGCTTGTTTCAACCGCTAGCTTGCAGAGTCCAACAACAGGTCAAATACTATCTTCTCAAGCAATGTTTGAATACTGCCAAAAGTCAATCAGTGGGATTGCGTTTGTGTACGTCACTGCTGAAGAAATGGAGCTAGTAAGAATCAAACTTGCTGATAGACTATTAATAGCAACCACTATTCCTGGGACAAGAAGTTTTCATCAATTTATACCTTCTTCTCATTCAATTATAAAAATGAAAAGGGTCTCCGATAATAATAATTTTGGTCTAACATTTGACTTCCTCAATAAACAAAAATACGAAATTAATAAAATTGAGAATGTTATGATGTCACAATACCTATTTTGCAAATAAGACGATTTTTACTGGCTTGGAATGGTTTCTGAAGTTGATAAAGAGAATGATGATTTTATGGTAAAGTTTATGAATCCAAATTATCCAAGTTGGTTGTACTACTGGCCAAAGCGAGATGATAATTGCTGGGTGCCAAGAATGAATGTCATTTCTCTTGTTAAAACACCGTCAACATCTTCTGGGCGTCAGTACCACATCAATTTTTATTTGAACATCTTTTATCTTGTCAATGAAAGTTGATGAATATTTTACTTTCATTATTTAAATTATATAAACTTCATATTTGATTTATTCCTTTTCCTTTTTGTTTTTGACTTTTTTTCAATAAAGCGGATTTTTTACTATTTTTCAAAAAGGTTTGCATTTTAGTTTCTTATTTTTTAACACAACAATACCCTATTATTAGACATACAATAATAATGTTACGTTAAATTATTATAATTAATAAATAAATTATATTTTCAATGTGTTGTATAGTAAATTATATTTCCATGTATACTTTTGAAAATATTGATTATAAAGATGCAAGTTATACAAAGCATTATAATTTTTTTATTTTCTTTTAGAAACCGAAACTTTTTTAAGACCTCTTATTTCACAATAAGAGTAAGGCAACTCCAGAAATAAGGAAAGGTAAACCATGGTTAATAAATAAAAAAACTTAACTGTTGATATTTTTAAATTGAAAAATTATTCTCAAATACTAGAAATAGCGTTCATTTATCTTTATCTTTGTATTCAATACCTTTAAAATTGGTCAGGTACCAATTTTCAGTCATATTTCTCCACTAGAACTTTAATTATTCACACAAAAAGTATCGCTATATAAAGTCTATAATGGAGAATAGAGGCTAAAAAATGATTTTTTTTGTCTAAATTTCAAAATGACATATCTTAATAATTCTTGAAGAAACCAAAACCATTTTTTTTTTATAACAAGAGCCTAGTAACCCCTACTTTGTTTGAAAAAAAATTGAATCCACGAGACTTGAGCAACTCCGGGAGTTGATGAAAGCGCAACCCATGGTAACAGAACAAAATGTTGGACTGACCATTTTAAAATCAAAAAAAAATCATCATAAAATTTAAATTTCACTATTTGCTTTACATTTTAAATTCAGCACCTTCAAAAATAGTTAGGTACTTATTTTTAGCTACATTCTTCCACTAGATTTTAAATTAATCATTAAAAAGTACAACTACTAAATCCATAATGGCAGACTTGGAAAAAAAAAAGAACGTTTTAGGCTGAATTTCAAAATGTCATAACTTTTGAACCATTTGGATTTGGGAGCTCAAATTTTGCATTTTTTCATGTTTCATTTAATGTACCACTGGGTAAAATTTAAAGAAAATCCAAGAGGTGACTGAAATGACTGTCCCAGTTTTACATGGAATGACCTTATATATATATATATATATATATATATATATATATATATATATATATATATATATATATATATATATATATATATATATATATATATATATATATATATATATATATACATAACAGATGGGTCAAAAGATCTCACTCATCTCTAACAAACAAAAAAAGATCACCTCTAACAAAATATTTATATATTTTAATAGAGCCAAATTTAAAAAAAAAATTAATCTGACCATTAGTTTAGAAAATACGGAAACATTTGGGCATAAAAAAATCGTTTTCCATATGAGTGCCACAATTTAACACACAAAAAAAATTTCTCTTTAGACAATTTTAAGAAAAATAAACCTAAGTTTTGTGTTAGTACATCACAACAGATAAAACATAGATTTACACTAGCTCAATCCAAAAACTAATCAGCAACCAATGAAAGCCATCCAGAACAAGGAAAAACATAAACAGCTGGCGAAATCATGACATTGGAATTTTAGAATACAAAAGATAAAAGATTTATTTAATACAGCAAGCCTTCCAGGAAAGGCGAGCAGTTTTTCGTCTTGTATGACCACACACGATTATCATATTTTAGACAACTTGAACACGACCATTTGCAAGTTATAATAATCAATGCTAAAAAAGTTTCAAAAACAAAAAAAAACAAAACTAACAAAATAAAAAGAGATTAAAATAAAAAAAATAAAAACACATTAATAATTTAAATTATTTGTGTACTGTTTTTATTTTTGTTTCTTTAGAGCGGTTGTTATATTAGCAACAAAATTAGATAAGACAAAGCAAAAAAAAAAAACAGTTTGAAGTCTACAAATAAAAAAAATGATTTTCCTTTTTTTAACTTTTTTTTTTTTAAAAAGGATAGCAAAAATATAAATTGCAATGTGTTTGTAAAATATATTTGTATAATTTTAATGTAACAACAATAATAATTTAATAACAAGGGTTGAATTAAGCGAATGTGAAACACAAAATCTGGAAAAATATCTAGTATTCAAAATTTTAGTTTATACTAAACCACACGGCTGTTTCACGCAATGTAAAATTGGGCATTATGTCACGAGTTTAGCAAAAACAATTTCCGCATGAAAAGTTTCTTAAAAATTTCGGCATATAAAGTATAAAAATTCAATAACTTTAAAATAATAGTTTTTTTTTTCTATAAACTCGTGCTCTAATAAAAAAAAAATGAAACATCTATCTTTCCTTATTAAATAAGTATTTTCATTAAACGGAATAAAAATAAAAGTTGTAAAAATATTGCTGATTTGGGATCCCTTTTCTGTTTTTTGCATATTTTACGAAAAACCTGTCTTTGGGCCAATCAAGAATTGATATTTTAAGCTACATGCTTGATGGTTGAAATTTTACATACTTATAAACGAATGTCTATTTTATCAGTTTTTTGGAGGGCATAGAAAAAAAATAATTTAAGTTAAATTTGTTAGTATTATTATTTTTGTTTTTACTTGTTTTATATGAAAAACGTTTAATTTTTGTTATGCCCTCCAAATTATTGAAATTTTAACCCTTTATGCACATAAAAATCAAAAAAATTACTTTCTGTACTTTTAACTAAAATATCTTTAACTTTGACAGGTTTAGCAACAAAATTTGTAGTTACATGCGTAAAATTTTTGTTTATATTTTAAAGCAATGACGTAACTTTATATGAGTTACTTCTCAATTCACTATGTAATTAAATTTATTAAAATATCTTTTATAACGAGACAAATTTTAGTTTTATAAATAAAACAAACTTTGGCGTTATTTTCCATATGAAATGGAAATAAAACTAGTATCAATTGCATGCAAAGATCGTTTGCTATTATAGAACATATATAAATATATAAACTAAAAAAATTTTTTTATGTCAATCCACCAAAACGAGTTATCAAATTATTTAAATTTATATTGTTATGTATATTTATAAAAAATGTGTCATTTTTATACAGAAAAGTATTAATATTGTAATATTGATCTAAGTGTCAGGAAATAATTCAACGACCAAAAGCAAAAATAATTCAAAACTCATTTTGTTTGTTGTAAATCTTTAAAGAAAAAAAAATTATTTTGCGATTTTTTCATTTTGCTTATTGTAGTACCTGTATCAGTTCGCATTTGGTGTAAATAATGTTAATATGTTTTATATTTGGTCTCACCATGTTTATATTACATATTAGTCAACAGAAATATAATTTTTCTAGTTATTTTTGCTAAAAAGTACTAATAAAATTTCGAAATTCTGCCAAGTTCGTCATTTTGCGTGTTTATTTAAAAATCAGAGCTGCCTTGGATTATTTAATGATATTTAATGATATAATAGAATATTTAATGATAAAATATAAAACATTTAGTCGGTGTTCATATTCTTTTTACAGAACGTATTTATCTTTAATATTTCAAAAGTTATGAAAGTTTTAGTAACACCCCCTAAGTAATTATTTTCAAAAAATAAAAAAAAGCCATATATCCACTCTGAAACAGTTGTGACCATGTTCCTTGTTTTTAAGGGGCGAATCAACACAAATTTGTAAGCAAAAAAATAAAACAATAAATTTACGATTACAAAGTAATAACACTCTTGTCACTAACTGCATTACAAAAGTAATAACACTATAATAGCGATATTACCTTTATAACGCACTTATAACTTTTAAAATTCATTTTATTGGTTGATTTTAAAATTAACGCGCGTTTTTACATAACGTTTTGAATAATGCTATACTTTTTATAAAATACTCTTTTATAACGTTGTTTAAGTGATCTGTAAAAGTTCCTGAAATTTTTATTAATATTTTAATATCCGCTTTTTTCTAGTTGCTTTTCTACTTTAATAAATGTTTGAAATTAATAATGTTGTTTGAACAAAGAATGAACTTTAAAAGTAATTAGTGCTTTATAAATGTAATTGCACTTTTATAGTTTTATTACTTTTATAATGCAGTTAGTGACTAAAGTGTTATTAATTTTGTAGTTGTAAGTTTATTGTTTTTGTTTTGTTTTTGTAACTTTCTCGCTAGCAAACTTTTAATAATTTGCTCCTTGTAAACAAAGTACACAGTTTTGCATGAACTAAAATTTTTACCAAGTTAAGACCAAATACTTTACCAGAGTTTGCAAATCACGATCGTATAATTTAACCCTTTATATATACTTGTTACATTATAATTATACAAATATATTTTACAAACAGATGATGATACATATTTTCTTTTTTCTCTTTAAAAGAAAAAACACATAAAATATAGGAAAGTCATCTTTTTTAATGCTTAAAACCGTTTTTTTTCTTTTTTTTTTTCTTTAACTTACTGAATTTTGTTGCCGATAATAATAACCACTAAGAAAAAACAAAAATAAAAACAACACACAAATTATTTAAACTATTATTATTGTTTTCTATTTAAGTTTACTTTAATTTCTTATATAGTTTTTAAATTTAAAACTTTTTCCAGCAACGCATATAATAAAACTTGCGCAAACGGCCATGATCAAGTTGTCTAAATTAAAAAACGTTTTTGTGGTCGTACGAGACAAAAAACCGCACGCCTTTCCTGGGAAGGCTTGTACAGTGAACATTGAGCATTAATTAACAGCCAGTATTATATTGAGTTATTGGAAAATTAAAAAGCAAATATCACCAAAAAATTTTACAATAAAGAAAAAAAATGTTGTAACAATGGTCTGTTCTTGGCTTAAGATAAAAAAATTGCAGGAATTAAAGGCTGAAACTGAAAACTAAGATAACTTGCTCTAAAAAGAGGCAATGTAATAAGAGCAGCACTTAAGAGTTAAAAAATGGAGTGATTTTCTTTTTCACTGAAAGAACATTTGCCAAAGAATACAATTAAAATATTTTTGGCTCAGGACATTTTGACCCATGTGTTATATATGTTTATAAATGTATATACCTGAACATGTTCAGCGTATTGACCCAGTGCAAATAAAGCAGCATTTCTTACAATAACAGATTGATCAGATAAACCTACATGTAACTACAATCATTATTGTTAACTTTAAAAACCAATAACTCCCTATCAACAACATTTTTTTAATGATATTGTTTCCATACAATCATTAATTTTACAATATTACTAAGAGTTAAAATTGAAAAAAATTTACAAGAATTACCTTTCATAGCAGTCTCAACAGCATTTTTCAAATGTCTAAATAAAGAATAAAAAAATCTTAAATAAATACTTAACCCAAATAAGCATTTTAAAGGAAATGTTATTAATCACAAAGGCAATGAAGACCAAGTTTGACATCAACAAATTAATAGTTAAGGTCACAGAAGACGAAGAAATTTAAGAGTTATTACTTAAAAAATCATGGAAAAAAAATCTTTACAAATATTTCACAAGAAAGCAAAAGTTTATTTCGATTAGATCAAATTTTATTAATCTAAACTTTTTATTTTTTTTTAATGAATATTCACCTCCCCAAGGCCAAGAAGGCCACTACAGACAAGGAGGCTACTTAATTGTGGTTATAACCCTCTCTCAACTCTATAAATCCGAAACACGAACCTTGAAAAAACCTTGAAAGGCCGCTGCACAGAGAAACAAGTTGAGCACAGTACTATCAGGGATGTGGTGGGGATTGACCTATTAGTCTCAGTTATTTGTCAAGAAAGCTGTAAAGTCTGGTCTAATTTTTCATTATCTTAATTATTTATATTTTTGATGTAATGCAGCCATTTTGGAATTTGATTAAGTGTTGACGATTTTTGCTTAGAATATTGAGCAATAACAAAACCCAATTGCTTAGAAACACTGCAATTAAAAACCAGAATTGCATTATTATTTTTTTATTGTTTCTTCTTCCAAAGGCTGCACAAGGCCACTACAGTTTAAAAAATTTTATTTTGTTTTTGCTGTTAAAACCCTCTCTCAATCCTTAGACATTATAACACAAGTGTATGAATGACACGACTGCGCAGAGTTAAGCATGTCCTACTAGGCATGTTGAGGATATACTTATTAGCATATGGATGTTTTGTATTTATTACCTATAGTTTTAGCTGTATTAGAATTTAGCGATGCTGTATTAAACACAGTTGTATATATTGCATCATTAACTGATTATGTTATTAATTCCAAGGGGAGAACCTTGGGATATTTTGCGGTCACCCTGTGGGCCACTAAAATATCATATAAAGTGTCGTCCGCTATGATAATCAGTAATACCGTACTTTTAATTTTTGTTGGGTTTTTATGAAAAAACAAAAATACAACTAATTAGATTAATTAAAAATAAATTATTTCAATTAAATTTAAATTAGTTGAAAGTTTAAAACATTTTTTTTTTAAATAATTTAATTTACTCACTTTTTTTTTTTAAGAAAAAAATTTCCACATGCATTGTTATTGTTTTTCATTACTTTAACTTTGTTCGACAAAGTTTAAATAAAAATTTATTTTACTAATGAAAAACAAAAGGTTTAACATTTTTAGTGATTCACATGCCACATACATTTAAAAACACCATTATAAGCATTTTTAAATTGAAAGAAAATGTAATTTGGATTTTTAAAATAGGAAAAAAAATGTGATTTGAAATCACGACTGTAACATTAAAATTTTTTTGATACATGCATTTTGAATTAAAAAGATAGCAAGCTTTAAATCCAACAACAATGCTTTAAAAAACAGTGTAGTTGGACTTTAAAACATTTTAAATCTTGTGCATGTCCAATTTAATTAAAGTTGGCTTTTTTTAATTACGTTTAATAAATTTATATAATACACCATAAATTATTTATTAAATGTAGTGGATAATTTATATACATTTTTAAAAGTAGTGCTTTTTTAAAGGTTTTTTAAAAATAATCACAAGGAACAAAATCTTAATAGTTCAAAAATGGTTTTATTAATAAACACTTTTTTATAAGTAATAAACTGTCTGGTCTCCCATCTATTTTCATAAATAGACATAACTACCAACATATACAAATGAATCCTAAAGATGTGCAAATAATAATAGAGACCTAATATTAACAAAATTAATGTGCAAAAAAAATTATGAAATGACAATAATGTACAAAAAACAAATAAAGTACAAGTAAAAACTTTTTTTAATGATATTTGTGGATTTATAGAAACCTTGTCCGAATAAAGTCAGCACAACCTTCGGCAAGCTCACCAAGTGCAATATATGCTGCTTTTCTTTCAAAATGATTTGCACTTATGAATAACGATGATAAAGATTCCATCTAAGACAAAACAAAAAAAATTATTTATATCAAATTTATTTAAAATTAAATAAATTTTAACAAATTGTGGTTTATAGTAAATAACTAGTTATCTCAATAGATCAAAATGTTTAAACAATTTTTTATCAGACCATTCAAAATATTAAATTAAATTAAAAATTTTAAATTGACATTTTGCTATTAGACATTTTGAAATCGGATGGAAAAAAAAATGCAGTATCTAAACACATTTTTAATAAAAATTTCCAGGTGCAACTGAAAAAATTTTTTTTTTCAAATTTCCTGTAATTTCAAGTATTTATTCTCTAAGTTTAGGTGGTGAATGTTGAAGTATAATACTTTCACAACCAGTGACCAAGTCATTAATTACAAGTCAAGTCGCTGTCTTATTACTCAAGCCAAAGTAAAGTTTCGAGTCAAGCAAAGCCAGTTCAATTTAATACTCGAGTAAAGTCTTAAATCCCTAACTCCTGATTCAATAAGTAAACAACCCATATTAAATTTGTAAACAATTAATTTAATTTCATATTTAAAATGTTTTGAAAACTTATTTTCTGAATATTTGTATATACTTTATTTTAACTAAACTTCATTTAACACCATTTAATTAAAATAACATTTGCAAAAGATCTAGAGCAAAAGGCTGTCAGACATCAAAGCCCAATGAGGATGCAGTAAAACAATTTTTTTTTTTAAAAAAAGATAAAAACCAGGCAGCACATTTGAAAAAAAAAAAGAATTTGGAAAAAATGTTTTTAGGTCTTTTTGTTCCTAAACTTTTGCTTTAATGTCACGCAAATTCCAAAAATGCAATATGCTAAATGGATGTAAAAAATTAGCTTTATATTGCAGCAGATATTTACTAAACTTCCTTTTTATAAACAATTTTAGAGCATGAATGTCATTTGTACCTGAACCTGAACTTTAAGCCAAATTAGAAGTCATTAGCGTCAAAATCGAAGTTGAGTTACAAATCTTATTTTATTATGTTAAATTATGTCAACTTCTAATAATAATAAAGATTTAAAGTTGGGTATTGCAAAATAACTTCTAGATGAATATAAAACTAATATACAGCTTGAAGTTTTTTTTAAAATATTCACTGAGTTTTTTAAAGAAAATTTTCCCTTGCTTTTCCATGTTTTCACTGATTTTCTAAATTTTCAAAATATTTTTCTGGTTTTTCCTGAGTGCTATGAACACTGTAGATATAGATATAAATAAGAAAACATAAGACAATAAGACATACTAATATTGGAATAAGTTGAGCTGGAGGAGAGTGAAGAGCCAACAAGTCAAGAGCCTAAAAAAATATTTTTAAAAGTATTAGTTAATGCAAAAGTTTAAAACAAAAAAATCATTTGTTTTAATTACCTGACTGGCAACTGATTGCAAACTATTAATTTCGGCCATATCATCTTCAGAGGCATCCTCCTCATCTTCAGGCATTGACATTAAAGACAGAAGCTGTGTAATTAATGGTTTTAGCAACTTTTCTTTTAAAATTATCTGAAAAAATATAACAATATTGCTTTTTTATTTTATTTTAGAAATTTAGAATCAAAACGATATAATAAAATTTCATAAAATTAATATAATTTTCAACTTGTTTTAATAACTAAACATAAAAAAAAAACACTATTATAATGCACACAATAATGAATTGCTGCTGGAATCACTAGTTTTTAATTTAAGATTTCAAAAATTTAATAATATGTTTTATGTAGTCAATTTTCTGAGAAAATTGACATTATTACACAAATTTAAATTTGTTTAAATCTCTAATTTATTTCATGCTCCCCCTCACCAATTCTCCAACTATTTTATTAATTCTGTGATATTATCTATAATATCAGTTTTATTAATTCTGTGATATTTATAATATAAGTTTTATTAATTCTGTGATATTATCTATAATATCAGTTTTATTTAAATAATAAGTTTTATTAGTATAAGACTTTTTAAACTTCAATTTGAGTGAAATGATTTCAATAAGAAACCCTTTATAACTCCCTGAATAATAGATACCTTGCTTTTTCTGCGACAAGCCCAACAAATAAGATAGAGAGCTTTTACTCTGAGACCTTCTTCAAACTCATTGCAACTAATTATCTAAAATTAATGTATAATGAAAATATGTATATGTTAAAAATCTATATCTAAATACATATAAAATATTTAACACCCAGTTAACGAATAGGAGTAAAAAAATCAGGTAACAAAAGAAAAATGATATGTAAAGTATACAAGTAGAATCAACACAAATATTTATATTTTTATAAACACAGAAGGTCTTTCAAATAAAATCTTCAGCTGCGTTAAAAAATTTTATTTATATAAAATTGATTCTCTAGCATTGGGGTCCGGAGGTAAAAGGGGTCCGGTTAAAATTGATATATCAATGCTCAATATGTGTGAGCACACATTGTGTGCACACACATAATATACATAAATATTGACACATATACATATACACACACACGCACACACACAATAGCTTTACATTTGTGTTTAAAATGAACTCAAAACAAAAAATTTTCTGACCATTGTGTTAACTATTTCCTGCGTTTTTTTCACAGTTTTCACTTGGTTATTGGATAGTTGAACATAATTTGGTCATCTTTCAGATTAATGATTTACCTTAATTAGACTTTGTTATAAAACCAATTTAGAACTAAAAATAATTCTGAAATAATTTAAGTTCTGACATTTACATAGTTTGAAATTATTTCAGTTCTAAAATTTATAAAAGTTTTTTATATATTTATATATAAATTATATATTTATATTTTTTGTTCAGGATATAAATGCTGTCTCAAAATAAAGATTTATCAGATTGTCAAGTTATTGAAACATGTCAAGCATAAATTACAAATATAAGTCTGAGGTTAAAATTAAAAAACTTAGTCAATCGATAATTAAGTTTTACTGATCTGAAAATGAACCTTCTTCCAATAAGAAAATTCTAGATAAAGCATAACTGTAGTATTGATGTCAGAGCTGAAGATCGTATTAGAAAGTGTTTGTCAGTTGAAAAATTAAGGCAAGGAATTGCACACGTATCTATTGCTTCCAAAGAACAAGACATAAGGGAAAAACCTAAGGATAGTGCGGCAAAAAAAAAAGGAATTAAATACAGATAAAGCTTCTGAATCTAATCTAATCAAAATATCTGAGATAGCCCTTGATAACCCTGGTACATGGCCCAAATTTTTTTTAGATGATCTGCAGCAATATATAGTAATTTCTTACAACTTTGAGAAAATTAAGGGGATTTATGATAACTTATAAAGAAGAAAGCTTTATAAACCTTTGTTGTTTACAAAAATGAAAGATAAATGAACATAAGATATCTAGTTAATGACTGGCAAGGAGCATAACAGAAGAAAAATTTTATTATCTACCATGCCATAAATTTTGCCATCAAAGTAATAACAATTTGAGCAGTATAGCCTGTGTAGGGTTTTTCCCTAAAAAATTACCGCATCATCATACTTCTGTAAACTAATTAATTTACAGAAGCATGATGAAGTGATGCAACAACATCTTGCCAAAGTTCAACAAAATCAGTTAGAATAAAAAAGTATGAAGGGACAAACACACTATTTGTTTTGGTATTCTTAAAAAGAACTAATCAAGCTATGTTCAGACAGGGTTCTTCAAACTATTCTAGATCAAAAAAAAGATGCTATCTTGTATGGATTAATAGTTGATGCAACTCCAGATATTTTGCACATCAAACAAAATATTTTAATTCTTAGTTATGTATCTCAAAATAGAGAAACATAGGAATTTGAAGTAAACGAGGGTTTCATAGATTTTATAAACTTTACCAGAAAAATAGGAGAAAAAATAAGAGAAGAGATATTTAAACAAACCTCTCCAAGATTGTTGTTCACAAGGTTACAACAATGGTTCAAGTATGTGTGGTAAAATAAATAATGTTTAGGCTGGGATCTTAGAAAAAAACAAATGTGCCTTTCTTTTCTCCATGTGGAACCATGGTTTAACATGATTTAACAATATTTGTTAAACCATGTAGGAGTCAATGCAGCTAAAATAAACTCTAATGTAATAAACTTTTTTGGAAGCGTAGAAAACTTCTACTGCTTATTTTCTCACATCACGATGGGCTGAAAAAGCACATACCGTTACACGGTAGGACAGTATACACGATGGGAGAATGAAAAGCACATACCGTTCTCACAGTCCTACACAATGTGAAGTGCTGAAAAACCACATACTGTTATCTCTTCATAATCTTTTAGAAACAAGGTGAAGTGAAGGAATTTAAGCCACTCGACTAACCATCAAACATTATCCCTGCATACTCTCTGTGTTAGATGATATTCTTCAGGGAACTGTTTCAGAACTAACACCTTCAGCACAAAATATAGCTAAAGACGCGAAAAAATACTTCACATTTTATATAAGTCTACTTGTGACTACTTTTTGGCAAGGAATTATTGGAATAAAAGCTCAATTTCCTACAAAAAGAATTTGTTCTTCTGAAGATATTAAATCATCTGTAGCTTACCCAGTGCTGGATTTATAATTAAAGATTTAAGTACACAATTTGAAGCAATATACTCTCACCCATTTTGAATTAACAGAAACTTGAGGACGGAGAACTTAGTTTAAAAGCAGCCAAACTTGTAAACACATATAAGAAAGATCTGTCATATGACCTTCTTAGTGAAATACCTAATCTCAAAAGTATTTACAAAATTGTTTTTGGCATTGAAAATTCTCCCCTTTGTCTTCTAAATTCAATTTATAACAAACAAATTCAAAGAATTTTTGCAACATTTCTCTGGCAATTAAACTGTTTTGCAAAATTCCAGTATCATCAGCTGTATCATCCTGTATCATCAGCTGAAAATTTTTCAGCAAACTGGCAAAATCATTAAAAACATGGCAAAGAAGCACAACCTGTCAAGATCGCTTAAATAATCTTGCGATTTTATATATTGAAAATAATTTAGTTAAGCAAGTTGATTTTAGTGATATAATTAAAAAGTTTGCATTAGAAAAAATTCAAAAATGTCCATTGCAATGTTTATATTTTTTAACATTAAAAATACTATTTAATACATTCTCTTTCAAATAAATCTAAAAATATTTCTTTGATGTTATCTTATTATTTAAACAACCTTATTTTTATAAATTTTGTTGTTTGGTTTTTAGTCCTAATGGAATTAATAAGCCAAGAGTAATAAAAATAGCTCATGCAAGAACTCAGTGCAATAAAAATAGCTCATGCAAGAACTCAGTGCAATAAAAATAGCTCATGCAAGAACTCAGTGCAATAAAAAAAGCTCATGCAAGAGCTCAGAGCAATAAAAATAGCTCATGGTACACTCTCAATAAGTGTCAATATAACTTCTTATATAAAAAATGTTAAAAAAATGATGTTATGATAAATAATAAGAAAAAATGTTTTGATAAATAAAAATTGATGATTAAATAAAGAAACTAATTTGTTTGGTTAAATGTAATCAGGTCGAGCTTGGTTGTTTTTGTGGTTTTAATTTAAGGAGTTAATCAATTTTTTAAAAGGGGACATAATGGTACCATATCATGATAAAAGTGAAGTTAAGCACTTCAAACTTTAAGTAAATAAATATTAAAAACCTTTCAGTCTCATTAAGTTGAAAAATCAATTTTTGAATGATAATTTTAGTTTTAAATTTAAAATATTTAAAAAGCTAATCTTTTTTAGAACAAAAATCTCATACAAAAAAGATTTTGAAAGTAAAAGCAGTTTCTAAAATAACAAACTTTATATGTTTTTATGGTTTTTTTACCTGCCAAAAAAAAAATTTACTATTTTTGTACATGCAACCATTAAAGAGGGGGTGGGGGCACAAAATACTTCAGTATGGGGCCTCGTTTTAGGATGTGGCGGTTGTGATTATCACTGTATTTATTTTTACAAAATCATTCAAATGAATAATTTTCTTGTAAAACCTTTTAAATCAGATTTCAGTGGCCAAAACCTTTGGTTGTGGGAGTAAACTTTGGTTGTGGGAGTAAACCTTTATGTAATTAAGATATTTGTAGCTTTGATAACTTCATTTTGGATAAATTTATAATTTTAATAGTTGTTTTTTCATTTTTACTGCTCATTGGAGTCGCTGGTAGTTTTTTGATATTAAAATATTACCAGACAAAGATAAATCATTTAATGGAAAAGTAACTTAGGACTCAAATTAAGTGTATCGCATGCGCAATCGCTTTTCACATTTTCACAATGATTTTTTTCTAAACAAAATTATTTTTGAGCTTCGTTTTTTTTTTCTTTCTAATTTAGCGTTTTTTTTGGCCATTCTTAAAAGTAATGTTTTTGTCTATTAGTAGTCATAAGTACGTCACGCTCAATTTATCTTTGCTCTTGCGCGATTTTTATTCAACATAAAGCGCTTTTGAATTTAAATTACTTTAAATCTCTGCGTGGAAGCCAATATTATTTTAAAGTTATATTTAGTTTGATTTACTGAATGGATAAAGTACATTGATATATATATATATATATATATATATATATATATATATATATATATATACATATATACATATATACATATATATATATATATATATATATATATATATATATATATATATATATATACATATATATATATATATATATATATATATGTATGTATGTATATATATATATATATATATATACATATATATACATATATATACATATATATACATATATACATATATACATACATATACATATATATATATATATATATATATATATATATATATATATATATATATATATATATATATATATATATATATATATATATATATATATATATATATATATATATATATATATATATATATATATATATATAGATAAGAAAAATTGTGTTATTACCTGCATGCAAAATTCAACAAGTAATTTAACATATGGTACAATTATTCCAACTTCTATTTGAACAAGCTCATCAAAAATATCTAATGCTTCATTGGCTTTGTCCTAAAAAAAAACAATAGTGACTCAAGTTAATCAGCACTCTGAATGCAGGTCAACCATAAAGCCAGAATGCTAACCTTTTTTATGCATATCTTTTATATAGATATAGTTGGAACACTAATAGTTTTTTTAAAAGGCTACTTTAATATGTTCCTAACCAGTAAGATTTTATAAAATTATTGGAGAAAAAGCAATAAAATTATGAAGGAAAATTGCTTATACTAGCAACACAAATACTACTACAAAACTACATATATTTCCAGCCACACATGTTAAAAGTCAACAAACTGAATTTGACTCAATTTTGTATTAAAGTTATTTGGTTTAAATCCTTTTCTATATTACATTGAACTTTTTAATTTGATAATTACTGATATAAATTAAAAATAAATATAAATTGGTTTTTGTTTATAACAATGATTTTTTATAGTTTTTCAATTTTAAATAAAAATACTTATATTTAACTTAATAAAAAATTGTATATTCTTATATAATTCTTGTTTAATGTTAATTTATAATATCAACTTATTACAATATTGACTATTCATAAAAAAAAATTTTAAATTCATAATTATCTTATTTGTGTTAATTAAAAATAAAATCATTGTTTAAGAAATTTTTTCTGAAGAATTTTTAAATTTAATACTTTCATTTTTTTCGTGTAAAACAAATAATATATTGAGTTAACAGTGTTAATCTAAAGTATATAATTATATTAATAATAATGTGTAATAATATTAAAATATATTAATCATAAGTGATATTTGACATAAAACATTGTTATGATGCATAAAAGTGATAGTTGACAAGTGTATAGTCAGTAGATGCCTATCATCAGTACCATTAATATTTCTATAAAACATAAACAGTATTATTTATATATATATATATATATATATATATATATATATATATATATATATATATATATATATATATATATATATATATATATATATATATATATATATATATATATATATATATTTAAAAAAATATTCAATAAACCTCATCTTCTTTCAACAAAGTTTTTATTGCATTCATTATCTCGCCAAGCATTGGTTTTAGTAAAACCTTAAAAATAAAAAAAAATCTAAAAAGTTTTTTCATATATGTTTGTAAGTGTTAGTACAGTAAAGTATAGGATAAAACGATCAGTGTTTGTTATGCGACCTAGTCATTGCCACTTGATCTTCAAATGAATCCTGTGCCTTTAATTTTAAAGTTAGGATAGTCAAACTTTTACCAGTTATAAAGCAATTATCGCTTTATAACAGACAAAAGTTTGAAGATCTTATCTTTAAAATTAAAGGCACAGGATTCATTTAAAAATCTAGTAGCAAAGACTAGGTTGCATGGCCAAAACTGGGTGTTTTACCCTATACCAAAAAAAAGAAAAAAAGGGGAAAAATCTCAAAATCTTTGATTTTTTGTTTTTGTTGATTACAGTTCATTATTAGTCAGAATTTTTATGTCATTGATTTTAAGAAATTTGTTTACAATAAAAGTTAATACAGAAATTTCAAAATGAAAACTCATAAAGTGTACAGAACTATTTCAAATCCATAATAAATGTTCTCTGGATAAATTTGATTTTAGATCATCAATAAACTCTTCCATCAATTTTTGGCTTTGTATAACATGCCACATTAGTATCTTTCCTTTTTGTTCTATATTGGATAATGAGCTTCGCCTTCAATTGTCAATTGATAGTATACTACATCTCAATGAACTCCCAAATGACCTTTCACTCTTTCCTACCTCTCTAGAATCTAATACTTTCAATCAACTTAATAACTTTTTCTCTTATCAACTAAATAATAACGACGATGATGATATTAACATAGTTGGCAATCCAATTAATTGTAAATATATATGTATTAAAATTTTAACTCTTCAAAAATCACAAATAATTGTTTTTCTCTTCTTTATTTGAACATTGCTTCATTAGTTAAACATTTTGATGAATTAAATTCACTTCTTCATCTAATTAGTTATGAATTCAGCGCTATCGGAATAACGGAATCCAAGCTGAAATATGATTTACTACTGACAGTTCCTATAAATCTTAATGGATATGCTTATGAACATACACCAACCGAAACATCATTTGGAGGAGCTTTAATTTATACTTCTGAAAAACTAATTTATAAACCTAGAAATGATTTACTTATGTATAAACCCCAATTTCTAGAGTCAGTATTTGTTGAAATCATCTTCCCTAAAAAGTCTAATATCATAGTAGGATGTATCTATCGCCATCCTTATATGAATATTGATGAATTTAATTTTTCATGTCTAGCTGTTTTATTTGAAAAACTTTCCCTTGAGAAGGATAAAACCATTTTTTTAATGGGTGACTTTAATAAAGATCTTATTAAAGCAAACTCAGATAGTTCCATTGCGGAGTATTTAAACACCATTGCCTCTAACAACTTTCTTCCTTTTATATTCTTACAGACAAGAATTACAAATCACTCAAGAACTTTAATTGATAATAAATTTTCTTACTCAATTTCTCTAAAGATATTTTCTCCGGCAATCTAACTATTAGAATATCGAATCATTTGCCACAGTTTCTAATTTATCCATCTTTTAAAAGCAAAAAAAATTATTTTCATAAAAGCAATATTTTCCTTCGAAATTTCAAGAAACTTGATAGCAATCAATTCAAAAACGATTTCTTACAGATAAACTGGGATAAAGAAATTAATTTTTTTAATGGTAATACAAACAAATTATATGAAGACTTTTTCTGTAGCTTTAACTCTCTTTTAGACAAACACGCGCCACTAAAAAAACTAAGTAATCGTGGCTCAACTCAGAGCCTTAACCATGGATTACTCCAGCAATCTTGACCTCAACAAAAAAACGTAATATGATATTTCTCAAAACAAAAAATCTAATTATTAAACTAAATCTTTAAAAAACTTACAAAACCTATAGAAATTTACTTATAACACTTATTCGACGCAGCAAAAAAAAACATTTTTCCAATTATCTTCTAACAGCAATAATTTAAGGGCTACTTGGAAGAGCATTAAAAAGCTTTTGAATATTCGTTCGGAAGATACCTCATACCCATCTTGTATATCTTCAAATAACACCATTATACATGATCCAAACAAAATATCGGAAAAATTCAACTCATTCTTCATTTCAATACCTGACGAATTGCAAAAAAACATTCACCCATCCCATACTAACTTCTATAACTATTTAAAAACACCAAACCTTGAATCTATATTCATTAAACCTACTGATGAAAATGAAATTTTATCTATTATTCTTTCTCTAAATGATGGCAAGGCTTCTGGTCCATACAGCATTCCAACCTTTATTCTTTAATTTCTTGTTTGGGATATTTCTCCATTACTTTCTAAACTATTTAACCTCTCATTCGTTACAGGTATATTTCCTAACATTTTCAAAACAGCATCTGTTAAACCAATTCATAAAAAGGGCTCAAAACTTGACTGTAATAACTACAGACTAATATTATTATTATCTAATATCAGCAAAATTCTTGAAAAATTAATGTATTCTCGAATCTACCACTTTCTTGATAATTCTAAGTGCTTATATGGCCGCCAGTTTGGTTTTTATTTAAAACACTCTACTTCCCATGCTCTTATTAGTTTCGTTGAGCAATCGATAGTGGTTCATTTGCTTGTGGCATCATCTATTGATTTCCAAAAAGCTTTTGACACGGTCAACCACAAGATTTTAATTAAAAAGTTATACTACTATGGCATACGGGGTATCACCAATAATTGGTTTTCATCATATATTGAAAATCGTAGCCAGCTTGTCTCCATTAATGGGTTTGAATCCTCCAAAAAATTTATCAAATATGGTGTCTCCCAAGGTTCTGTTCTTGGGCCTTTGCTGTTTTTAATATATATAAACGACTTGTCTCATTTTATAAGCAATTCCACGGTTCACCATTTTGTTAATGATACCAATCTTCTATGCATAAATAAATCACTTACTCAGCTTTGTAAAAAAGTTAATTTAGATCTCCATCATTTGTGTCTTAGATTAAATAGTAATCGTATCTCTCTAAATATCATCAAAACTGAATTCATTATTTTTCACCCTCCAAAAAAAATAATTATGTTAAAATTAAAATTAACGGTAAAAGAATCTTTCCTTCTGAATTTATAAAATATCTTGGAGTATTTCTTGACAAAAACCTATCTTGGAATTATCAAATGATTCAATTAAATAAAAAATTCTCACGAGCCAATAGTATGTTATCTTTAATACGACACTATGTTCCTAAACATACTCTAGTATCAATTTACTATTCCATGTTCTCATCCCATCTAAGTTATTGTTGCGTTGTTTGGGGGCAACAAGGAAGTTTTCTATTAAATCGTATAAACAGTTTGCAACGTGCTTCCATAAGAACTATGACATTTTCTCTTATTCAATCTAATATCCAAAAAAGGTTTTCTGAATTAAAAATCTTACAATTTCAAGATCTTATAAAGCTTTACAACTGTTTTTTTGTGTTTGATTTCCTCCAAAATAATATGCCGGGTTCGTTTAACAATTTTTTCATTAAAGCAAGTGATACACAAATACTATACTCGTATTACTATAAATGGTAATTTGCACCCTTCTTTTTTCAATACTGTCAAGTATGACAAGCTCTCCAAAAAACATCAATGTATTTCTCACTGGAACCAATTAATACCTTTTACAAAAAAAAAGATTTTAACTAAATACCCTTTTGTTACTAACTTTCTTCTCAATAGAAACCTAATTAAGAAATTTTTATGTGAGCAAATATCTTAAGAACATTAATGCTATCTTTTATTATTATTCCTTCAATATATTATTTAATTATTAACCCTTATTTTTATTTTTTTATTGTTATTATTATTACTTACATTGTTGCTACTACTATTTTTATTATTGTTATTACTATTATTTATATATCTTTGTTTTTGTTGCCTTAATATTATTACCTATAATGATAGTCAAATTAGTTCAGTAGTTGCAGTAGCTTTATCATTATTGTTATAACTATTCTTTAAATTGTTTATTTTATAATTATTAACTATAATATAATTATCTTAATATTGCTTTATCATTTATAATTCTTTTTATGTTGTTATATTGCAGTTATTATTTTTTTATATTACTTTTATTCATATTATTGTTACTATTATTATTTTTATAAATATTATTACTTTTAACTTTCTTTTCCTCTTTTTTTTAAATCTTCTTTATTGTTATTGTTGCTTATCTTTCTTTCCTTTTTTCTTTTTTTTAGGTGTCACTTCATTGACTAGTTTTCAACTATGAGTGATACCTAACCTTATTTATGTAAATTTATAATTTATCATTGTAAATTTTCATTATTTATGGTTAAATAAATGGAGAAAAAAAAAATACACTTTCTTTATTTACAATGTCATTCGATAATCAATGTTAGAAAAAAATATAAACTGCATACCTCCTCATCAGAACCAAAATATTGAACGAGAGGGCAAATGCATCTAAGGGGCAATTGAAGTTTAGCTGCATCAATAATTTAATTTTAAAAACATCAAGAATAAAAGCTAAATAATAATTATGCTTTCAAAATTTATATATTATAGCATAATAAATACATGTTTTAAATACCTTATAGCATAATAAGGATTATTTTTTGATTCACAATCGGATAAACCAATTTGAAAGACTGGAAATAGTTCTTTATACCATGGCTTTAACTAAAAAAATAATTATTTTGAAACAAATGTAACAAAGGTATTTAAAAGTTGAAACAAGGATTAGTTAAAGTACATAGTATACCTGCTCACTGGCTGACTCACAAACCGCATATAATAATGTAAATCCCACCTAAAATATATATTTTGTAAATACATTACTACAACTATTAGATAACTAATATAATTATTAGATAACTACTAAATTAATATATAACAGTTATACATGTAACTTAACATAAGAATAATTTGATTACCTCTCTTTCATTTGCTTTGCTGCTTTGTATGCATTGAGAGATAAATTGCAAAAGTTCAGGCCATGCATTATTAGCAAAATCGTGGCGTGCTATGGAACCAACCTAGAAAAATTTTTTTGTCATATAATAAAGATAGAAAGTGAAACTTTCATAATCTAAACAATAAACTTAAGTAAATATTTATCTGATAAAGATATGCGTATCTAAACATTATACTTAGAATAGCAAAAAGTAACAAAAATATTTAATTAATTTTAAACATAAACATTAACTTGTCTAACATATTTTCCAATCATATAAAGCCTGTGACTTTAGTAAATATTTTAACTAAAAAGGTCATTGATACACCAGTTCAAAGATAAGAGAAAAATATCTAAAACTATAAGTGCACTTTTATTGAATAAAGACCATATATATTAAAAAATAAAATATAAATTATATTTTATTCAGTTATATTTTGAAACAGTATACAGTTGAAAGAAGATGTTTTATTTGCTTTTCAATAGTTGGCAAGGATCTCCGACACAGTTGCTTAAAGTCCACCTTGCGAAAGAATTCGGTGTCAAAGGACTCTGTTGCAGATAAAAGAGCTGCAGCATCAGTTATTGCCCCAACAAGGAAGCTTCACCCCATGAAATAGTTTGTCTTAGTAGACCAGAGGGAATAGTAGGCCACTCTATTCCAGTTCTTCCTGTTAAAATTGTATTAGATATTCAAAGCTTTAGTTTCATATTTTAATACATAATAATATAAAATCTCTCTTAATTATTTCAAAGGTTCATCTTCAAGAGCAAAAAGACTTTTCAATGAAGAACCAGAACTGACAGCAAAAAATCTTGTTTATGTGCAACACAACTCAGGGCTGTCCAATTTTGGTGTGAAAAAGCTGGTGTCGACACTAAATCAAGTTGTTTCAAGTCAGATTGTAGAAAAGAAAGAGAAGAAGAACTTCCTCTTTAAGTTTGATCAGTTGAGCAAAAAACTTGAAAGTTGTTTTCACAACTTGGACTGAAGTTGCAACTGACACGGGCACAAATCAGGTGGATAAACTTGTCATTCACTGCAAAGACTTAAAAGCTCATTGTCAGCAAGTTCTTGAAACCAGAAACCTCTCTGATGACTACATTATAAAGCTGGGTGGTGGTGGTGGTTTACTAAAAGCTTTGGAATCATAGAAAAAGTTTCAATTTTACAATCTCTGCGATTAAAACAACTTCTCGCTAATTCTCTGGCCTAAAAGTTTGGTGTAAAGTGTCAGTTACTGATTGTCATTTCTGAAGATCTCCAGGAAAACTATAGCAATGTCAAGCAAGTTTTTAATCTGCTGAACATTGAAAAACTTCCCTTTATTTTGTCCTGTGATATGAAGCTGGAAAATATCATTTGTAGTCTACAAACACATTTTAGTGCACACCTGCGCTCTTGGTGTGACATTTAAACAAAAGATCTTGCTAAGTGTAGATCTCAAAGAACTTTTGGATCAGTCACAAGAGATTATCAGGCATTCAATGTGGCTGGTGACAACATCAAGAAAGCAAGTTTATTTAGAAACTCTGTTCATGAACCTATCATCAATGCCTCCAATGAATCTTTTATCCTTAATTTTCTTTCACGCATGGAGTTTCAACTGTTGCTTGGTGTCGTAAACCATCTTCTACAGCCTCTCTCAAAGATTTGGACACATTCTCCTGAATGGCTGGGATTACTTTATATTCAACAGTAGCAATTTCATAGTGGAAAACTGGCTCAAAATGAGTGCAGGAACCTTTTGAATAATGTGGATGTTTTGGAAAGATTGATCCAGCAGCACTCCTTTTCAGCTGTTTCCTTTATTGACACACTAAGAAAATTCAATGGTGTTGTCAATGCTTGTTTTGGCAATTCTCTTGATTACAGCTATGCTGAAAAAATTGAGCAGTTTAGAGTTTCTTATTTACAACTTCAGGACAACACTATCACTCCCAAGGGGCATGCTGTCATTCACCATGTTACACAATTCATCCAAGGCCACAATAGCTCTTTGGGAATTTATTCAGAGCAAGCAACTGAAGCACTCCATCATCTTTTCAGTAACAATTGGCAAAGTACAAGAGATCATCCAGAATATGAAGACAGGCTGCAAAGATGCATTACAGACTTCAACAGCAAAAAAATTGATTAGGAATATTACAAATCAGTTTAGATGTTTTTCGCAAGAAATAACAATTTAAATTAAAACTTTACTTTGAAAGAGTTAAAGAAAATTGTTTAACAGTGAATTTATTGCATAAATACTTTTTTATGTTTTTGGGATGAATAAAAATTCTTGAAACCAACTTTGTTTGTTATCAGCTATGTATTTAATGGGATTTTATGCAAAATTTAAAAGTGGATATTCTTCCACAGATGGTGTAACCAGATTTAGGGACTTATAACCTAGTAACCACAAATGATAGTACGACCATACCCCCAAAGGATTTTTCTGGGTCATGACATCAAGCAATATTTCATTTTTTTACAACAGTGTACAATAATAGACCCTAATGGAGTTCGCTTCATGAACTTTTCAAATAATTGTACATAGATATTAAATCTTTTTGGAGACTTCAGAATACCAGTAATTGTTAATATATCTTTCTTTTGTAAAGAAGCTAGTCTCGTTTCAGCTGCAAATCCTAGTTTGATTTGATTTCCCTTAAGTATATTATCTTTTTTTCAAAAGTCAATTTCTGGTATAGACCAGTTATCAATAACTTCGTGTTTAACAAACAAGCTCAGTATGGTCTACAATTGTTTTTCTAAGTTATTATACATAAATGAAATCATTGGCTTGTCAGCTTGGTATGCCAATAAATATGACTCTAATATGCTGGTAACAAAGCTGAAAACTTCAAATTTTAAAAGAATAAGTTTGTCTTTAACACTTTTTTGACAACTAAAAAGCTTTTTGATTTGGATTGCTTTGAAGATGGTAATGTTTCCCAAAACTCAATCAACTTGCATATATTAGGTTAGATTTCAATGCCACTGCTGCATGACCTTTAACAGGCTGAATACCCATATTAGATAATTCAAATGATTTTTTACATTTTTATCAACAAGCTTTAGTTTTTGCATAAGTGTCAGGAACTAACCAATCTTTATAAACATTGTGTTGTAACCAATTTTCTTATATTATTATATTTAATTAAATATTTATCTAAACATATGGTTACTATATATTATAAAAGTTATAAAATCACTGTAGTGAGCAACTTTCAATAATAATAAAAAACTTAAAATTTGTATATTGCAAAATAACTTCATGTTATATATAAAACTAAAAAACATTCCCTGAGTTTTCCCTGATTTTAAAGATTTTCAAAAAATAGTTCCCTGACTTTTCCAGGTATTCCCTGATTTTTCAAAATTTAAAAACTTTTCCCTAGTTGTCATGGTTTTCCCTGAGTGCCATGAACCCTGTATAAGTATGAAGAGCTGATAGTTAAATATTAATATTGACAGTTAATTTTTAATAATTTAAATATCAATTTAACAATTTAAAATATTAACAATTTAAAGAGTATTTGATAACAGTTGACTGATTCGATGACAGTTGACAGTTGACTGATTTGTACTCAAGTAAAAACTTGATAAGTTTTTTAGTTATATGGTGGTGTTCCTTTTATTTATTGAATAGTTTTAGAATTTCATGAACCTTATTTAACTTCAGGAACTAATTTCATTATTAAATAACAATTGTTTTACATTGACATTTATTAAAATAATGTCTTATATCTTGTCAAATTTAACCAACAAACTTTGATGGTCAATTCTGTTTGAATTGAAAAACTAATTAGAAAGCCTGAAAATTAGGCAAAAGATTGTTTTAAAATATTGCTAAAATAGTAAAAAAAAATTTACCACTTGACAAATAGATCCAAGTACAAATGGTCTAAAAATTAAGCAATTAAGATATATAGGATATGTATAATAAAAAAAACTAATTTTTAGAAATTTATATACTACTTACATAGTCTCCCTTGTCACACAAGTCAAAAGTAAACTCTTTAAACTAAATGAAATACATATTTAACTAATAAAATGATAACATAAAAATAAACTAATAATAAGAAAATAAAACTATAATATAAAAATAAAACAATAATATAAAAATAAAACAATAATATAAAAATAAACCAGTAAAATAAAAACCTAGTTTTAGTTTCAGTATTAACACTGTTCCACTGCTTGACAATGCGGCGGCGTAAAAGTATTGAGCAGTATTGACGAATCTAATTGAAAAAAAAAACTTGATATTTTTTTTAATAAAAGTTATTTTTATGTGGAAATAATATATTACAAATATATATATATATATATATATATATATATATATATATATATATATATATATATATATACATATATATATATATATATATATATATATATATATTTGTATAGTTTTTCACTTACAAAGTCATGTTCCTGAAGATTTAAATATAATACCAATACTTATTGGAAGATTAATCAAGACAAACTTTGATGACTACCCAACTAGCACATATGTTGTTAAAACATTAGAACAATGTTGCGCCTTTCATTGCCCCAACATCAGCTGCCAACGTTGTTTTTACATCATTATAGTTACAAGTGCGACGTCGCCAAAAATTAAAAGCCAATGTTGATAAAACGTTTATTTAAAGTCAGAAAATGGTTATATTTTCTACGTTGATTTCAACATTTTATTTTATACGTTGGCCCAATGTTGTATTTTAAGTTGGCACAACGTTGTATTTATGTTGATTTAACATTGAACTTTAATTGGCAAAATGTTGAATTCAATATTATTCGGAATTAATTTTACATTAAATTTTCTTTTCTTTATATATATATATATATATATATATATATATATATATATATATATATATATATATATATATATATATATATATATATATATATATATATATATATATATATATATATATATATATACAGCCGACATAAACACTATATATATTTATAAGATTGTCAATGCTTGATCATCGGAACAAAAATCATATTTGTGTTGATTGTGGTTTGATATTTCAATTATCACGGAAGATTTTATTTAAGCTATATAATTTTGCAATAGCATACATTGGATTAACGTTGGGTTAAGTTCGTAAAAACAATCAACTTTTTGCCATGCATTTACATACATTGGATCAACGTTGATTTATATACATTTAATCAACGCGGAAATATATACATTGGATCAACGTTGGGTTTAGATCTTAAAAACAATCAACTTTTTGCAATGTTTTTACATACTTTGGAAAAACGTTGATTTATATACATTGAATCAACGTCGAAATATATACATTGGATCAACATTGGGTTTAGATCGCAAAAACAATCAACTTTTTGTGATGTTTTTACATACATTGGACCAATGTAAATTTGCAAATGTTTTTAGTTTCGTCAGTAATAATTTTATCATTAACCAAATGACATTGGATTAACGTTGGTTTCGAAAAAAGAGCCTAGCTAGCTGGGTACTCTACTAAGACCAAAAAACATAAAGTTAGTCACTTAACTTAAATGTATGCCGCTTCATCGTTACAATTTGCTTCAATTTAAATGGAGAAAAGAAAATCCAATTAAAAAAACCTTAAAAAAAGTAGTAGAATGTCTAAAAAATGCAATGGAAGACAGACCACCTTTTTATATATCAGATAGACATCACCTTTTTGTATTGTTTTTGACAAAATTAACTTTAATCATTCTTGAAAATTTTATTAAAAATACAATGATTGTTTTAACTTAAAATTAATAAAAAAAATTTTGTTAAATTCATTATTATAAAAAGTACATACTTAGTAGTACATGAAATATTTTCTGGTATTTTAAATAAAACCATTAGAAGTATTTTGTTACTATATTTAAAAGACTATATTAAAATATTTAAAAAACATTACCAAAGATAAAAGTTATTTATTTCTAATTTTTTTCTGTATTTTTGCCTTTTTGTGAGTTATTTGAAAACATAATAGAAGAGGTCAACTTGTCAAAAAAGATTATACTGCAGCTCTCTATCTTCTTTTAGATGCTAGATTGACAAAAGCTTCCTACCAAATTATTTGAAATCAAGCAGTTGAAAAGGGAATTGATATATATCCTCCATATAATGATGTTCACAAAGCAAAGCTGTTATGTTATCCTGCGGATATATTTGTCTCAGACTTTTCAGCTGAACAAAACTGCAAGCTTTGGTGGATCATACAGCAAACATAATATGCAAGACACAGTCCTTAGCACTTAAGGCACTCCACATAGACTTTTTCTGAGATACAAATTAGGCTTTAATGGTGCCACAGGAAAGTTCATGTATAAACAAATATCACAAGGAACAGTAACAATGAGCAGTCACTTTTTATTGCTTGCCTAATGCCATTGGACTTGTTTGACTTTTCAAATGGAATACAATATCAAGCTTGGCAAAATCCATGACCATCATAAATAATGTATGGTAGACCTCAGCTTTTTAAATTTGAAAAAGAAACGTCAGCAGTTTCTAAATCAGAGAGGATCTCATTAGGCTTGAGATTTTAAACTTGCAAGATACTGAGTTGATATAAACAATAAAAAAAACCAAAATACATTATATATTACAAACTAGTATGATTGATGGAAACATCAATTTTTATTTCACACTGCTCTTTCAGATGTTGCAAGTTCTAGTTAATGCTGTACTATATGTGGGGTAAGTCCCAAAGAAATGAATGATATTGACAAAATGGTTTTGAAAAAGGGTATGAGGAGCAGTTATTCATTTGGTTTATCATCCTTACATGCTTGGATACATTTTTTTGAATGTTTATTACATTTGGATATAAAATGACTTTAAAAAATGATTTTCAAAGTGGCAGAAATAGTAGAAAATAAATAAATAAAGGGATCCCCAAGTGCCGAGTTGACTTATTTTCTAAAATTTAACTTATTTTCTAAATTTTATTTATGACATAAACACAAGTTGTGTTTATATCATAGATAAACATTAGAAAATAAGTTAAAACTTAATTAAACTTTCCAAAACAAACTATTGAATCTCAAATCTACATAGTTTTTTCCATTAAAAAAACATCTGGTTTCAATAATAAAAGTTATCGCTCACCACAGAGTTTTTTTTAACTCAGTTCAGTTTTAGACAATCAGATTGAATTTTTCCCTTCATTTTTCATCTGATGTGGTTATAAAAAACGTTCGCTGTAGCATGTTTTTGTTTTTTGTTCAACATTTTTTGCTGTATTGTTAAGCGTTTGAGTTAAATAAACTAGCATAATAAAAATTAGTAATTAGGCAAAGCGAACTTTAAAATACACAAGATGAATATTTTTCTTAGAAAATAAATAATCATTTTTTGTATATACAACACTAAGTATAATATAATGCGGTAGTGGTGTAGTGGTAGAGCGCTCGCTTCATAAACAAGTGGTTTCGAGTTCGATCCCCACCACGTCCCTGGTAGTACCACGCTCAACTCGTTTCTCCGTGCAGCGGCCTTGTTCGTCAAGGTTCGTGTTTCAGAGTTATAAAGTTGAGAAAGGGTTATAACCACAAATAATTAGCCTCCTTGTCTGTAGTGGCTTTCTCGGCCTTGAGGAGGTGAATTAAAATAAAAAAATAAATATATATATATGTATAATCCAACACGGTTAAATTTTAAAAGATTTAAAAATCTTTATTTTTTTAATAAATTGAGGAACCCGTTTTAAAAATGATCTTATATACTTTTAACTTACATTTATAATAATTTATAAATCTAATTCAAGAAACTGTTTTTAAAATGATCTAATATAAATTTTTCAGATATATATAAAACTGATATTAAAAACTTGAATCTTATATTTTCATTTAACCGCCATAGGAAAAACTCCTGCAATTTAAACTTGATTTAAGTTTTTTTAAAGAAACTTTTTTTGAAGTCAAATACAAGCGCAATAATCAGACTTGAAAAATAGAAAATAGTCAAAGAGCCGGAACTTTCCTTTGCAAGAAACAAAATAATGTTAAAAATTAAGAAGATTTTTGTTAATAAATCATTCAATAATTTGTTTTGTATAGTTTAGTTAATTTTAAACTTATTTTCTAATGTTTATCTATGATATGAACACAATTTGTCTTGGCACTTGGGGATCCCTTTAAAAAAAAGATTTGAAGCAACAAATTTAAAATAGATTTAAAGATGAAATGGGCTTGATAGTTGATGTTCTGAAATCTGGTGGTAGTGGAACATCAAATGATAGAAATACGGCTCAAAGAGCATTTCAAAATGCAGAAAAGTTTGCAGAAATTTTAAATGCTGATGTTGCATGTTATATTGGCAACAGTTTCATGTGGTTTAGACATTGACACTGATAAATTTGAGACTTTCTGTTTAAAAACAGCTTGACTTCATGTTCATTATTCTTGGTACTATATGCCACAACCTATGCACAAAATTTTAATCCATGATTCTGAAATTTCTAAAACTTTAGCATTACCCATTGATATATATTTTGAAGAAGCTCAAAAAGCATGCAATAAAGACTTTCAAAACTATTTTGAACATTTTGCAAAAAAATTATCTCATGTGAAAACTAAGATTTGTTAAATCGACTACTGTGTACATCTGATCCATTTATTGCATCTCTGAGGAAGATAGCAGGAAGTCACACCAAAACAAAAAACTTACCAGCTGGAGTTATTGACTCATTGAGATCATTCACAGATGATATTAGTTTATAAATGTGTCTTTTGTATCTATATAGTTTTGGAAATTGTGTGTATCTATATGGAAGTGTGACTGTAAACTAAAACAAATAGTAATGCTCAATCATATTAGAATTATCAAGTTAGTTTGAAAACCAAGTTTAAAAAAATTTAGCTAAAAATAACCGCTTTGGAACTAAGCATGTGTTGCTATGCAACTGGGATTGCCATGGCAACCACACAATAACCATGCTCATTCAAATTTTGAGGCCTATGGATGAAAGGAAAAAAAGATATGACTTTTTTCCAAAAATATAGGACTCTGTCACAATGCGGGCTGATCATAACGTACTTTTGAATTCTATGCCATCTCAATTGCTAAAAGATCACATAGAGCCTTTGATCAACCCCTGCTTGAATATGCAGCACCAATCTGGAATCCAGCAAAGAAATACAATATATTAGCTTTTGAAAAAGTTCAAAGAAGAGCAACTCAAACAATCTGCATACAGAAGAATCCTATTAGATTTAAAAAAGAATTAATAAAAAAATGTTGTCCATTAAAAAAGAATTTTAATCTTAATACAACAGCCACTTTATCTATCCTGCTATCTACATCAGCGAAAGTACTTAAAAAATGATTAGACGATTATATTAAAAGTGAACATAAAGTCACTGGCTGATATAGAGTCTGCTTATCACACACTCTTGTTTAACATTATAAACATTAAAATTTTTGTTATAAATTATTTTTATTGTTATTTTGTTAAATTTCAACAAAAAATAATAATTATATATAACCATTATTACAAAAAAAATATATAAAAAAACTATTAAATTACTATCACTAAAAGTTAAAATTACTTACAGTTGGTTCTGTGCAGTTTTGTAAAAGTTCAACTAATGCTGGTAGAACCACATCTGTCTTTATAAACGCTGTTTTTAGTTCAATAGTTGCCTTAAAATAAACAATAAACAAGTCAATTCACTTTTTTTTTAATAAACTAATAAAAAATTTTGCATAAGTAAAAGTTGTGAAATTTTATGGAGAATCCAAATTTGGTTTTATTTGTTAAATCAGAAAAATATTTGCTTCAGTGATTTTTCTTTTCTGAAAGTATTAATGGTTTTCTTTTAAATAGAATGAAAAAGTCCAAAGGCAGTTATTTACTAGTTATTATAAATATTACAAATAAAAACATATATAAAAATAGTAATAATTACTAAAGGTCAGAAAAATATGCTCAGTACTTTTAAATCAACCAATAAAAAATCATACTAAATTTGATTTTCGCATTATACGAAATGTTAAAATCTGATTTTTGTTAGGGAGAAACTTTGAAAAATTAGTTAATTAAAAAATTTAAATTATTATTAAACATTAACTGATAATAAAAACAATGATAAAAAGATTTTATCAATTTTTTTATTTATTATTGATAAAACTTTTATCAAGAAATGCTTATCAAAGTTGATTTTAAAATTATTTTAAAACAAAAAAAAGTTTTGAAATTATTATCAGCGGTTTGAATTTGTTTTCATATGCTTTTAAATATCTGTGTTAGAGAGAGTTACTAGCTTTTAATTGACAGTTAAATTTATAAAAAAAAAAATTGAATAAGATTTAAATAAAATTGAAATTAGCTAAATAAATATTTCTTTTATCTAAAATATTTGATCACTCCTAAAATCCGTTAGGCTGTTGCAATTTGTGGTTGTTTTATTTTAACTATTTCATTGCACTTGCACATTTAACTATTTCATTGCACTTGCATTTTCTTGTTTTATCTGATAATTCATCAAATGAATTAAAATATTAAAGTTTAAATCACAATTTTTAATAATAATGTAGTTTTATAATGAGATTTTATATCATAATTTCAGATCAATATATATATATATATATATATATATATATATATATATATATATATATATATATATATATATATATATATATATATATATATACATATTGTTATTCACCTCCTCAAGGCCGAGAAGGCCACTATAGACAATAGAGGCACTACATTGGTTACTAGTGGTTATAACATATATATATATATATATATATATATATATATATATATATATATATATATATATATATATATATATATTGATTTAAAAAATTATATTGATTATAGTTATATTGATTTGTTCATTAGTATTTGTGTAAGGCGTTTACACAGAATTGTGGTTTGATTTTGATCTATTATTGCTATTGGTGAAATATATGCAAAGAATTATTATTAATTATTATTATTAATTGCATAACAACTAATAATTATTATTATTAACAATCACCAATAACATAGTAGATCAAAATGGAGGGGGTAAGTAACAGGTATCCAAAATTACAAAGCGCTAAAAGCTTGTGGATTAAAAAATATACAGAAATAGGTAGGTAATATAAAAAGATTAGGGCTATGTGGAAAATGTAGAGACGGCATGGCCTAATTGAAGCCTAAAAACTATATATATATATATATATATATATATATATATATATATATATATATATATATATATATATATATATATATATATATATATATATATACATATACATATATGTATATATATATATATGCATATATATATATGCATATATATATGCATATATATATATATATGCATATATATATGTATATATATATGCATATATATAAAATAGTGCAGTTGAAAAATGAGGTTAAATTGTTGTTTATAAGGCCAGCTGTCACGCTGCCTGGGACAGCAACTTTGATTGGCGCCCTTATTAATCAAAATTTCCCTATATTATAAATGAAGAACCGTTTTTTTTTGGTACCTTCTTTTTATTTGGTGCCCTTTGGATATCTGCTGCCTGAGACAAACTGTCCCTTTTGGCCACCCCACCCCACCCCCTTTCAGCGGCTCTGTTTGTTTGGTAACATATATTGTAATAATTTTTGTCTAACTAACTCTTTAAAACAACAAAAAAAGATATACACACTAAACAAATTATTACCCTATTTCATAAAGTATAAACGATATCTACATAACAAAAAGTAACTATAGAAAAATTATTTTACAAAACAAAAAAAATTTAAAACACTTTTTTAGTGAGTATATAGCTTTCAGATCATGCATCTAAATTCAAATATTGAATGCATTGCCATGTTTACATTGACAGCTAGTATCCATTTGCTCAGAGATTTTGAATACATGCAACTTTTTCCTTGACTAGATAATAGTCAGTACATTTTTTTATGTGGTTATTAAGGTGCTCCCAGAAATCCTTACAGTCTTATCACAGAGCCACAATGAAGAGCATTTAACTAGGACATTTACACCTCCCCCCTTACTAGTGTTATTATTGAGCAAGAGGTGACATTGAACTGTCGGACCTCTTGGTTCTGAGCCAGAATTCTAACCACTGTGCCAGAACTGCACAAAAGTTGGCAGTTATCAGGACTCGACCCCCGATCTCTCACTGCATGATACGTGACTATCCACTGTGCCATAAAATCATTGCTACATGTTATAGTAACAGTTTAAAGTTAAAAATTTTTTTAATCTTTTTAATAATAAAAAGTCAATGGAATAAATTAAATAATAATAAGCTGCTATAGTTTTTAAAACACTCAAACAACAAAACAAAACTAATTTAAAATACATTATCTGTTTTAATTGAGCAATTACATTTACCTGTATGCAAATTTTTTTTTTAATTTGGCTTAAACTCTGTTAAGAGTATGGCTATGAGCTAAGATCTAAGACATACCAAAAGTACAAGCATTTAGGGGGAAATGGTCATAAAAAAATTTAAAGGAATCTTTCTTAAGGGCAAAATTGGGTGTATTTTTATTGTTTTAATTTACCAAAACTTTTAATTAATACCCAATCAATATCCAACCAAAACATATTTCAACAAAAATTTGTTTATTGTCTCTTTATTATAAACATCATCATAATATAAACAATGATATTGCCAAATGGCAACAAACACTTTATTTTATTGTTTTATCAAATACACAAAGATACTTAAACCCATCTGAATAATAATTTAAATTGTAATATAAACTTTAAAATTAAATGATTACATTAAAATGTATACATTTATTGGTGTAATTTCACTTTACAAAAACGTCATATGTTTTCAAGAAATATTTTTAAAGTTTATATAGAAAAATGAGCTTATCTATTATAGAAAGCAGATATCTAACATCCAGGTTTTATTAGTATCTAGTAATTTGCGATTTGGATGAATTAATAAGTATGCTCCTTGATTACAAACTTAATACAACATATTTTTTCATTGTAAATATTTTTGTTTACAATTGGACTTTAATTAATAGACTACAGTTAGTTGGAGACTTATTGTTAAACAGTTTTAAATTCTAATTTCTTGCTTTCGAATGCACTTGACCAGTAAATGTATTATTTACCTGCTGAATAATATGATTGTCTGGGACAAGAAGCTTTCTTAAAATTTTCTCTAACTCAGCCGAAGCCATATTTTTTAAGCACGCTTATTTAAAGATTTCCCGCAATATTACAACATAAACCCAGATAACAAACATAAACGTTGAGATTATGCGTTGCTAGAAACATAAATAAAGAACGAATAATAAGAAAAATTTTAGAGAAATTTCGGATGTTCAAAAAGCAAAAGCGCTTTTTTTTTTTTTTTTTTTTGATAAGAAACTAGTTCAGTAACGGATTATCCATTTAGAAAACTATTCATTTGCCTTGGGCCCGCCTAAAATAGACGCTCGTAATTTTAGCCCGAAATAAAAAGCAAATTTCAGTTTTTAATAATGTTATTATTTATTATTTTATTTCGCAAACAAAAATTGAAAATAAATGTTTATTTAAAATTATAATTTGACTATTTATTTACTATAGTATTTGACTAATTACAGAATACAATCGATCTTTCTGTATTTTAAACTACATGATACTAGTATCATGTAATTTAAAATACAGAAAGATCGAAAAATATACATCCAAAAAAATGGTTAAGAGTACTCTTAATCATTTTTTTTTTTTATGTATATTTTTTATACTATTATATTTCATTAATTAGAGTTTGAGATAATGTTAAATAATAAGCTTTTTCGAGATTAAATGTCTTTAATTTTTATTTTATTATATTTTGTTTTGATAAAATTATATTCAAATTGAGCTGAGAGCTGAAACTTCAATTTAGATATAAATTGAGATGAAACAAATAAACAATAATAAAGCTCGTGTACTTATTAGGCGGAGCATAAATGAAAGCAAATATAATTAAAAAATTAAAGATAAAAATCATAATCTCCTATAGACTATTGGCACTTTTTCGCGTCTTTTTTTTTTTTTTTTTTTGAGAGTATTAATTTTCAATTTTTTTTTTGTCCATTATATTTTCCATTAAAAACTAAATATAAATTTTAGTTGAAAACTACAGAAAGTTTATAGCAAATAAGAATCACAGAAGTTATTTTGTTTTGTTACGTTGTTAAGGAGTGAAAATTTTATGATCGAAATGTTTTGAATCTGCGAAAGAAGATAGATTGTGAAGTTAATTAGTAAGTTATAAAAAAAAAATCATTTTTTCATGATTTTAACTACTAAAAAATATCAACATTTAGAATGTCATTACCAAGAACAAAATGTCTTCCATTATTCGAGCTTATTCCCCTAAATTATTTTCTTATTTGAATTAATTAAAGGAATGCTTACATAGGCTTCATGATGCAGTATTAAAGAAGTAGTGAACACGTTCTCCTGAATATATTATTTTTAACTATTCTATGCAACGATTTATATAATTATTTATCGGAACAGATCCAATTTAAAAGCTAATAAACATTTACAAAAAATCAATAAAAATGAATTCATTTAAAGCGTTTTGATTCCAGCGGTTCTCATAGTTGAACAGAATATGAAACTTTGGCTTTAAAGTAATACCATATTCAAATATCAAAAAAATAAAGCAGGGCTGACCATTATTATTAAAACTTTGATAATAATCTAAAGTCTTGATTATGTCCTGTTCCAAAGAAACGAAATTTACACTCTAAAAAATAAGAAGACTTTAGAGCAGGGCGTTTGTACCCCTCCACTTTTAAACCAAATGACACGGGTTTCAAAGTGGAGGGGTACAAACGCCAATTTCTAAAAAAAAGTCCTCTATATCTAGAAGTTTCTTTTAAAAAAAGAAAAAGGTCACTCGAAAATAAAATAAAGGGGACAGTACTCTTTGTTTCCCCACGCTTCTCCCTCTATCATCCTGGTGTCATTGGTCCTGTTTGTCTCTTTATGGTAAATTTTAGGGTAGGATATGCAATATACCTTAAGCAAGGTAGATTTTTTTACTTTCTAATGTAAATAGTTATACCTTTATTTAAAAGTATAATCTAATTATTTTATTTATTTAGTTATTTGATAAAATAAAGTGATGTTAAATATAATTTAATTATTTAGTTTATTAATATTAACATTAATTAAAGTAGAAAATTGTATGACAATTATTGTCATACAATTTTTTTTTTATTTTTTTTTTTTAATTATTTATTATACAATTTTCTTCCTTTGAAGGTTGAAAATGATGCCTAAATTATACATTAATGCATATCCTTCCATAAGGTCGAAGTTTTTTAAAGCCTTGCAACATCTAACATTCTAACAAAGATTTTAAATTTTTTAGCAGTTTATCATTGAACACTACTTTTTTTTATTCTTTTTTTTTTTAAACATTTTAGTAAATTATTTTATAATAAAATAATTAAAATATAAAATACACAATAAGAAATAAGTAAAAAATAAATAAACAAGTGTTAATAAAAAAAATACTCGCAGAAGACTAATTAGGTCTTGTCATGAGAACCGCTCGTAAATTACAAACCTCATAAAATTCCAGTACATAAATAAATATGTAAAATAATATAGCAAATATTAAACGTTTAAAGATATAAAATATATCTTCAAAAGAAAAAATGATTTCCTTAATCTTTTTATATATAATTTTTATATATAATTTTATATATAATAATTTTTTTTTTTTTTTTTTTGTAATTTACCTCCCCAAGGCCAAGAAGGCCACTACAGATGAGGAGGCTCCAGAAAATAAAATGCTTGCTTTTCCAAAATTAGTTTTAAAAAATGGTTATCGAATTAAACTTTAAATTGTATTTATTTGTATCTTTGAATCTATATAAACTACGGAAAGAAACTGGAGATGAGTTTTATTTTTTGTCGTATTTGAGCTGATATATTAAGAACTGTCATTTCAAATAAAAGAAGTTTGGCAAGAGTTAATCTCTTTTTAAAGTTAATAATACTTGTAACATGCTTTAGTCGACGATAAAGAAGCTCTAACTTAGATTTATTGGCTTTATATCAAGCAATATTTGCATGGCTATCCTACCTTTTCTTTTTTGCAATATAGTTATATATTTTTATAATATAAAGTTTCAATTTTCTTCTTCTTATGATTATAATAAGTTTTGAGATTTATTATTTCTTTATAACAGATTTAAAAATAAAATGTGAGATTTTGTTCATTTCATGTTTTAAACATGATTAAATTATCGAATTACTTAATTTTCTTTGAGTTAAGCAAGTTTGGTTATGGAAAGTTTTTTATACAAATAGGTTTTCTAACTGAAAACAAGCATAATCATTTTCGGTTACTTCATTTAAATTTATTGAGATAAACAATTTTTGACGGTTATTGAGCAAAATACAAAAATTTGACTTTACTATATCATTTTTATCTGTTTAAGATAATCATGGTGTTTGATGATCATTAAATATACTTATAAATAACTTTTCTTTTAATTTTTAAAGGTTTAGCCATTTAAAGGTTATTTTTTTAATATTTTTTTTTTACAGTCAACAAATAACTTTTCTTTTAATTTTGCATAAAGTTTCATCGAAAAATTATTCTAAAAGATTTTGTCGGCCATTTAAAGGTTATTTTTTTAATATTTTTTTTCTATAGTCAACAACCCTCTCCAAATAAAAAATACTTTGGTTTTCAATTCAATTTTCACGTGACTTTCGGTAGGCAAAAAATTGTGGATCTAATATCCTTAAACTACGCAGCGCTGAATTTAACTAATAAACAATGTAAAAAAGGTCAAAAGGTTTCCATCAGAATCTTTAATTAAACTAAAAATCAAAATAGTGCTTTAAGTTTAATGAAAATCGTTACGCAAAAAATCATTTTTTTAAAAAATCAAGTTATTAGGGTGCTTCGAGGAAACCTATCGGTTTTATCAGAGAGCACCGCGGAAAAGTATTTAACCAGGAAGTTCTTGCCTCCTTCTTTACCAATGTCGTTTATTGGCCTAGAACCAGCGTTAAACCTCTTGGTTCTGAGCCAGAACCTATCTATCCACTGCGCCACGGCTGTTTAAATGATCTCCGATATCTATTTTCAAAAACAAATTTAGCGTTGCATAGACGATCCATAAGCACAATAAGATATTAAAAAAAAATATTAGGCCCTGGGTATAAAAAAAAACCACGTACCAGCGCGTCTAAAAAGTACTAAGCATATCTGATGCTTAAAATCTGTAGCAGAACTGGAAGATTGAATAATAAAAACTCAATAAATTACAAATACATTTTTTGATGAAATCTTCAGTTGTTCATGTAGTTATATTTTCAGTTTAGAAAGATTATTTAACATTGTCCTGTCTTTTGCCAAAACACAACCACAAAAATAGAATAATTCAGAATTAACATTGCTTTTGCAAGTATAGACATCGGAAATAACGTTCTATTACATTATATTCAATGGTTAGCAATCATATGATCCATATTGCACATGTTATTACATAACATTTGTAATCACTCAAGAAAAGAAATTTTCTGAAATAACACGGAGCATCAACTATAAAGCTATATAAGTTCAAGTCACCCAAGAGCAGTTTTGTTAAAACGTTTAAGTGGCCTGAGTACGCTGCTGCGACGAAAAAGATGATTCAGTAGACATTGGAAACGCAACTGTTGAGGCCAAACCACCTACAACAGATCCATTATAGTTCCCAGAAGTAAAACCACTAGTAAATCCATTATTACTAATTCCGGGAGGTAAACCACTGCCAGTAGAATGGAGACGTCTATGATTTAGTTCTGAACTATTTATTTGAGGAATAACTGGATTTTGAAAATTAGCATATAATCTGGAAGCTTCTACACGATCAACAAGACGACTTGATGGAAACACTTCGTTACGTTTTAAAAGATTTAAAGCTGCAGAAACTTGTCCTAAATAAAAAAAAACATCAAAATGTCATAAGGTAAACATCAATTATTTATTTTATTACAATTACGACTAACTTCCCAAGAATCAACAGCTACTTTTGTCAATAGATCAAAAAAATTTTAATGAAATAACCACATATAGTTTAAAATGAAAAACTGTTATTTAATAACCGAATAAAAAAGTGAACAAACCCATTTGAAGTTCACAGAAAACTGACAGTAGAATAGCGTGCGTCATTATCCACCTAGATATAGGCATTGACACCACCTGAAAACAAATTTGAATTATAAATTAAATTTTGAATTATAAATTAAAATTTATAAGTTTTATTACAAATATTTATCCAAATATTTATATTTATTTTTATACAAATTTGAATTATAAATTAAAATTTATAAGTTTTATTTATTATAATAAAATAGAAACTTAAAACAATGAATCGTTGTGTTAATTACTTCAACTTGAATAAATAACTCATATTGTAAATTATAAAATTTTATTTACAAAGTTTTTTTAAGTTTGCAGTTGTAGCAGTAACAAACTTCTATATTACCTGTTTTAAGATATGCTTGCATCTGTCATAGTCAGACCTCATACAATAAGCACTTGCCACATTAATCATCATTGCTGCCTGAGCTTCCATTAAATTTTTCGGAAATATTTCATCTAAATAATGGTAAAAATATTATGAGAAAAAAAGATGAATGCAGAATAACATTTTAAAGATCCTTAAAAATTAAAAAAAAATTTTTTTTCAAAAAAATCAATCTAATTTAACTATTCATTTTTAAATCTGTTTTTTTTTTGTCCTAATGTTTAATCTACTCCAAACCTAGTTGTACATAGTATTAATGTTTAATCTACTCCAAGCCTAGTTGTACATAGTATTAATGTTTAATCTACTCCAAGCCTAGTTGTACATAGTATTAATGTTTAATCTACTCCAAGCCTAGTTGTACATAGTATTAATGTTTAATCTACTCCAAACCTAGTTGTACATAGCATTTATGTTTAATCTGCTCCAAACCTGTACATAGAAGAGTCAAATTATAATTTTATGTGAGGCAACCAAATTGTACAACTACTGTATAATTGAATTTAAAAATTTATGATAAATTGCTCATATAATTTAACATTTTTTGTTTAATTTATGTTAATTGTTATGATTTAATTTCTTTTATAACTATATTTTTCTTTTATATTATATTTTATATTCTATATAAACTAACATTTTTAATTACATTGAAAAAAAAAATTGTGAAACCAACTACTGAGATCAGATAAAAAAAAAGTGTAAATTGATTAAAAAAATCCATTGAAAAAAGTAAATAATTAAAAGAGTAAAAAATTAAATAAAAATAAGACTTACTAGTTTTCATAGAAAGCATGTCCTGTTCGAATGTCTGCAACTTTTTTAAGTTTTCTGGTGATAACTCTTGCAAAGCTTCAGTTATTTTATCCAACTTGATAAGAGATTCAATCAAGTAAATGTGGGCTAAAAACCTGAAACAATTAAGTCAAAAATTAAACAAAATATTTTTACACTATTTATGTACATAAATTGTTTTTATGCTTGGCTATGGATAGGCAATATCTGCGTATTTTGAAGATCTATTACAGCAGGAAAAAAAAAACTCTTTTTCTGAATATAATTCCTAGATTAAACTGGGCAGAATATATTGGTAACATGCAGACCTAAATATAGCATTTAAAATATATTAAGATTTAAAGAAACGTTTTAGAAAAACCTTATAAATGTTTTTCAAATAAGAAAAATTCAGAAATTTTAAGAATAATTTAAACAAAAAAAATTAATACAATATAATAAAAATAATACAAAATATTACAAAGACATAATATTAAATAAATAATTATTTTTAATTAAATATTTATTATTATAAATATTTAATTAAAAATAATTATTTCAGCTAAAATTAAATATTTCTGTTTATACAACCTTATTAGGTTGATTAAAAAATAATGTATAATATAAACAAAATGCAACAATATTTAAACAAACTTTTATCTGCAAAAATACAAATAAATCTATTTATACATTTCATACAAGTTAAACTCTAAAAAATATAACTGGAAGTTGCAAAAAAATAGTTTAAAAGGATGACAAATTGATAAAGAAATAGCTAAGTCTTTTGGATATGACTAATCTGTTTATTTATACTAGCTTTTAACCACTCTCTTTGAACATACCTTATATATTTTTTAACTCAAATTTATTAAATGCTAAATCCAAAACCGAAAAAGACTGGTCATTAAATTGCAGTAAACAATTTTTATCAGTATGGAGATGTTAATAAATATTAGAGTTTTGTCCTACTTGTTATGTTCAAATACCTGCAACTTAAGATGGGATGTAGCCTCACTTTTTTTTTTTCAAAAGTGTTCAATTTAACTACAAATAGATCAAATTCAATTGCAAAAAGTGCAAATTCATTTTTATGCCCAGAATGTAACTAAAGATGTTCCTTCATTCAACAGAATGTAACTAAAGCTGTTCCTTTGTTCAACAGAATGTAACTTAAGCTGTTCCTTCATTCAACAGGAAAGTATGATTAAAAAAAAAAAAATTCAAAATATTCAAAAAAAAATTTAGTTTAACAGCAAGCCATTTAGCATAACTAATACTATTGAAGAATTTTAACTTGTTTATTAATTAATGTTTTGTATCATGTTTTAAAACACTTATCTACAAAATTGTTTAAAAAGGTAACAATTACAAACAACTTTAAAAACATTTTTGAGTCAACAAAATATATTACTAATCAAATGCATATTTACAATTTAACTCACATGTATGAAGCAAGGAATGTTGGGATTAAGTAGAAATATGAAACACTATACTGTTTCACATTTTTTGCTTTAACAAAAACGTTAATGTTTTTAATTTAAAATTATTTAAATTAAAAGCGTTAAAATATAATTTAAAATGTGTTTTAAAATATGTTTAATATGCATCATCTATGCACCACCATGGATATGGTGCATAGTGGTGGTGCATAGATGATGGTGCATGGTGATGATAAATGGATTTATTGTAATTATAACTTCATCATACAAAAACTTTTTTATCCTATAGATCCTTGCAAAGCTTTCAAACTTTAAATTAAAACGAATCAGAAAAATTACCTAATTTAAAAAAATTCTATAAATTTAAATCAAGGTCTCATAATAAACATTATGAGACCAACATAGCCTTTATAATATTTTCTAATTATTTAAATTACACTTTAAATAGATGTTTTAAAGGTTTTAAACAGATGTGTGTTGCAGAAGATCTATTACAACAGGAAAAACACACATCTGTTTAAAACCTTTTAAACAGATGTTTTAAAGGTTTTAAACAGATGTGTGTTGCAGAACTCAAGCCAGTCCAAGAGAATTGAAATAATAGAAATAGAAAAAATAAAGATTAAACTTTGGTTCAACTTGTTTGTTTGACTTTAAGAAACTCAAACTTTAATCATCCCAATTTATATGTCCATTAATAAATTTTGAATTTTCAACAATTTTGAAAAATAAATACAGTTTATAAACACCTTACACCTAATAATAGAAGCTAAAATTCTATTTAAATATTTTACACTTACCACTCTTCTTTATTTGATGTTACATCTTTGAACAATATTTAATAATAATAATTAATCACTTTTTAAATTTTGTTGCAAAGAATCGTGGGAATCGTAACTATCTTTTTTTTTTATACTTATAATAAAATAAAACATTTTAATGACTGTAATATGATTAATATTCAAAATATTAAATTTGCCATTGCATGAAAACATTAAAGCAACATGCAAAACAATACATAAAAATTAATAAAAATAAACTTAACAGTACATTAAAAATAAACACTTAAATTAAACAACACAAGCAAATAAAATAAAATTAACTTACTTAAACGGAGCAGTTAAATGAGACATTTTTAACAAAAGACGACAATACTCTTGACTTTTGTAATAATCACCAAGGCGAAGTGCAATATATGCATGACAACATAAAATAGATGATCTAATAAAAAGATTTTGTAATATATATATATATATATATATATATATATATATATATATATATATATATATATATATATATATATATATATATATATATATATATATTTATATTTATATTTATATATATATATATATATATATATATATATATATATATATATATATATATATATATATATATATATATATATATATACTCTTGCATGGTAGTGAAAAAGAGTTTCCCATAAACTGTAGTTTTAAAGAGCGCGTTAATAAACCAGACCAGAAAAAATTTAAAAACTTAATTTTTTATTTTTTTTAAATGATAGACTGCCTGCCCAAACCAAACCCTCAGTCGATGTAGCAGCACTCCCTTGCAAGTCAGGCTATTTGTCAGTCGTTGTAGCAGCACTCCCTTGCAAGTCAGGCTATTTGTCAGTCAATGTAGCAGCACTCCGTTGCGAGTCAGGCTATTTGTCAGTTGATGTAGCAGCACTCCGTTGCGAGTCAGGCTATAAGATAGTTGATGTAGCAACATTTACGCATGTTTTGAAAATGTTTTTATATAAAACAAAAACAAAAACACCACTAATTAAAAAAAGCTTTCTAGTCGTTATTATTGCGGTTTTTTAAAATTTTTTAAAAAAACAATAAAATTTAATGTACTTCCGCATTAATTTAATTGCTTTGACATTTCGACGACAATCAAATACAGCTTAAGAGACGCGGTAATTAAAAATGTAATCGAAAGAGACTTTTTTTACATTAAAAGACTCTTTCGACTACACTATAAGGATATATATATATATATATATATATATATATATATATATATATATATATATATATATATATATATATATATATATTGTTTATTTATAAAGTTTTATTATCATTTACTACTATTTTTATATTTTAATAACTGTTTGTTTTTGAGACCTTTAATTCATTTCATTTTTGAGAACTATAATCTCATCAACAAAGACTTAATGATATTCAACAAATATCCATAAACTGTATAAAATACTACTTTAGGTTTAATTTTGTAATATGTTGGAACTTTATACAATGACCTAAAACAATGAGAAACCTAAAGGTTTCTCATTGTTTCATAAATAATGCAATAGTAACTGCATTATAACAAATTCAATACTTTTTAATATGTTGATGATAGCAAATTTTGTTTTGATCTATCTTATTGATATACAATGACTCTGCCAATGGCAAACATTTTTTTTTTTAACGTTAAAATAAAAAATAAATAAACAAAATAAATAAAGAAAATACTATGAATATATGTATGAATATAAATAACATGGTGGCATCCAATCACTGGAGGCATTATTGATATCAAAACGCGAGTATTTTGCAGAATATGAGCAAAAGAGAGCAAAAGAGACCAAAAACAGCACACAGAAATATTTGATAGCTTGTTAGGAATTCAAATTGTAAAACTAACTACCCTTGATTTTAGGCTGTTTGAATTTATGCTGATTGAAAATAAAGAGACATATAGGGTTGTATAGAAAGATTCTGATTCACAATAGAACTGTTTTGTATATGTATGTATGTATGTACGTATATATATGCATACTTACAAACATATATATATATATATATATATATATATATATATATATATATATATATATATATATATATATATATATACATATATATATATATATATATATATATATATATATATATATATATATATATATATATATATTAATTTTGTGTTTTTGATGTGATATTATGATATGATGTAAAATTTATGTATGCTATGTAAAACTATGCAAATAAATTATTGTTAAATATATTTGTAAAATTATACAGTTTAATACTTTATTTAGTTAAAAGTATTTAAAAATTTCAAAATATTTAATTTAAAAAAAAAATTCATAACAATTGTTGCAAAACTATTGCTGTCACAACTTCCATAACCAAGAACTTGCTTAGTCGTGTTTGTTTTAGACATAAAACAAACATGGCCATAAGCCAGCACAAAATAATTAAATTAACATGGTGGGACATAAATTTCTGAAATATAAAATCATAATCGAAATCTAAAACCATAAAAAACTTACATAAAAAAAAAAAAACTAGAGAAAATTATAGTATTCTGAGAAAAAAACTTTTAAAAAAAAGAATGAAAAAAAAAAAACTATAAAAATGGTCATCAAGTATAAATATAGATGGAGATCAAAGAACAGGAAATTTCAAAAAACCAATAATTTGTTTAGTTTCTTTTTATGCTTGTTTAAAATGACAAATGCTTGAAAGTCTTTCTTAATTAATAGAAATAAAAAATTGAAATTTTTTTTTTTCTTTATATACTGATGAATTCCAATTGTATCATAAAACTAAAAAAAACTTAAATTTTAAAATTATATAAAACTTTTTAACATTACCTTAGATTGTAGGCTTCTTTTGTTTGCACTGGTTCTCCAGGCGGACATTCGACATATAGCCGACCTGGATTATTTTTTTTCAATGAGCCATTTCCTCTAGAAAGTATATATTGATTTTAAAAATTACTTTTTTACATCAACTAATATGTAATTAAAAATATCAATAATTAAAATGCTTTCCTAATAATGACAAGCTTCATTTTAAAAATAATACTAATAAAGACAAGACATATTCCACTGTAATAAAAATAATAATAATGACAAATCCACAGTAATGATAATAATGGCGAGAAAATACTAAAATTAAAAATTAAAGTAAATATTATTTGAGATTTATTATTGATATATATTTGTTTAATATTGAGACTTAGTAATATAAAATAAACGTTATTTTCTCACTTAAAAAACATAGTAACCTGTTCAGCTTTTTTAAATATTACAAAAATATAATTTCAATAATAATTTTAAACATAATTTTAATTAAAAACTTTTTGAAAAGTCCTTATCAAAAGTAGTGCATTCAAAATTCTTAGTACCATAATAACAGTTTTAATTTTTTCACAATCTTTGTATTTACAGCGCACTTGCATTTTTATTGAAAACGTTAATAATCTTTTACTCCTACTGTCTATATTGACAGTAGTAATAGATTATTAACGTTTTTAATAAAAAAGCAAGTGCGCTGTAAATAATTTATATACTTCATATTATACTTTAACCAATTTATTTATTTATATATATCTATTTATATATATATATACTTATATTATATTATATACTTCAACATAAAAGCATAAACATTTCTATGTTTTAGTAAGTTTGAAAAATTTACAAAACCATTCACGAAAACCAAATATTAAGAGTTATTATATTAACTTGTTATAAAATTACGTGACAACTTTAGTGGTTTTGTCTATTAATTGAGTTTAACATTATTTATAGTAAGAAATTTTATTTTTATTAAAATGTAAGATAATGATTTTTTTTATTTATCAAAATGTAAGATAATAATTTTTTATTAATTATTAAAATGTGAGATAATAATTTTTTGATAGTTAAGCAAATGTAGAATACTTCAATGATATTGAATACTCCTGGATAGTTAACAAGTAGTCATCGACGTGGTCACCAAAGTATTATACATTGTCACAAAAGGTAAAAAGAGCCTTACAACAACATAGAAATTAACAAATATTGAACTACCAATGAAATACCAGTAAAGCAATTCAACTTAGATCACTCAACAAAGTCACTAAAATTTTTTACACTGGACTGATTTTTTTCTTTGTTTCAGTTTTTTTTGCTATGCTGAAATTAATTTGGATAAACCTAGTCTTGAATTTTGGTTCCATGAGTAAATGACTAGAAACTCAGTTTATAATATAGTATAATCAATTATAACTTGACTTTATATGCATTAAATTTTTTTTCTGCTGGCAACAAGATCCAGACTTTGGAAAACTTCAGCACCTTATTCTCTGTTCTGGAAAAATGTTCTAAATAACCATACAACATTTTTTATAAAACTAAGTTCTGAATTCAACAAAATTCATGCAAAATGCTACATATCAAATCTGCAGCTTATCTGATTATCATAGGACAAAATATTGATCAAAGATATAATCAGACATTGCTTTGGGACAGAATTTTGTTAAAAAGAATCATTTGTTTGGTGGATAAAACTACTAATACAAAACAAAAGTTTTTATTTAAATGACCTTCACAATTAATCGTAAATCAAATATATGCCTAAAAAGAAAATTTATAAAAATTTTTAACAAAGCAGAGTGATTAAACTTTATTCTTAATATGGTATCTAGTAAATAATGATAAAAATAAATTTTACTTTTTAAAAATAAATCATAGCATTCTAAAGCAATTATAAGAGAAGTATTAGTTCATTTCTTTTTATTAATTTGCATTTTAATATTTTTTCCATAAAAATATAACAATTTAAGTATTGTTTGACAATAAAGTTTCTCAATTAATCTCCTATTTTATCTCACTAAATCTCCTATTTTATCTCAGAAGTTAGGTTAATTAGAAACTTTTGGAAAATCTTTAACAATGTCATTAACAAAGACAAGTTTAACATTCCAATATGCATCATACAGATAAATAAAAACATTTCATATGCATCATACGGATATGTGATAAAAATATGCATCATGCAGATGCATGATAACATTCCACCTGCCATCAACAGATACATAATAAGACATACAGATACATGATAAGGCAGAACTATTTGCAACAAATTTTTCCTTTAATGAGTCTAATGACACTTTCCTGTCATTCCAAAGAAACAGTTTATTCAATTGATAAACATCCAAATCACTTCTCACGGCTGTTTCACTCAATATAAAAGCGAGCCTGACGTCACGAGTTTATCAAAAAAAAAAGTATTTCCGCATAAAAAGTATAAAAATTCATTAACTTTAAAATAATAGTATTTTTTTTCTATAAATGCTTTCATTTTTAAATAAAAAAAATATAAAAGATCTATCTTTCCTTGTTAAATAAACATTTACATTAAACGGAATAAAAATGAAAGCTGTAAAAATATTGTTAATAATTTGGCATCACTTTTCTGATTTTTGCGATTTTTACGCAAAACCTGTCTTAGGCCAACTAAGATTTGATAACATAGCTACATGGTCGATGGTTGAAATTTAGAACAGTTATTAATGAATGTCTGTTCTATCTAGATTTCCACAGACTTTGCAAGTTTTTATATAGAAAGTTAGTTTATAATGCATTTATATTTTTGTTTTTATTCGTTTTGAATAAAAAACATAACATTTTTGAAAAGTCTGTGGATTTAGTAATACTTCAACCTTATATGAATAAGAAAATCAAAAAATTATTTTCTGTACCTCTAGCTATGTTATCAAATATGTTTTCAAACTTGGCATGTTTAGCGACATTTTTTTTAGTTTTTTTTGCATAAATTCTTGTTTACATTTTAAAGCGGTGACGCAAACTCTGATCGTTACGTCCCCAACGATTATCGGATGCATTTTAAGAAAACAAACAAAACAAACGAGACACATTTTATAGAATAAATAACAAAGTTTCCCGGATTAATTTCTTTTGGATATTTGACTAATTTCAGATAAGTTGATTAATCCGATTTTATCTAGTACATCTATTCGTCAATATTATTCTATTTAAGTTGTTTGTATTATAATTTTATTACTATATCAATAAAGATTATAAAGCAAAGTTTCGTGGATTATTTCCTCGTGGATATTCGACTAATCTCAGATAAGTTGCTTAATTCTTTTATTTTTAGTGTATTTATTTGTAAATATTATTTTATTTAATTTCTTTTATTATATTATTATTATAATATCATTATCATTATTTATGTGATGTATGCAACTGAGAGGGAAATTTTGAAACTGTACATCGGTTGGGAAGATGGTTGGGAAAATGAGTATAACTTTAATTTTGTAAAGCGAGTAATTGAAACTAGTAAGATCACTAACAATGTGATTTCAATTTTATTAACAGTTTTACATCCAAAAGCGTTGTTTACTTTTTTAAGTTTTCTTTTGCCAATTGAGTTTAATATGCCTAATATTGATGTGTTAAATAAAATGTGCCGAAAAATAAAACAAAGAAAAAAAGATTCTAAAAAGTATTTTGAAGCTTCAAAAAACGAAGCATTTTTTAAAATGCAACTGTCTCCAGCTCCACAAACAAAAAAAACAAAAATAAGCAGATGCAGATAATTTTTATATTTTAAATAGGAATAAGGAACTAAGTAGTCAAGTTGAACAATTAATTTCTAAAGAAAAAAATAATGTGGATATTAGTTTGATCAAACTAATATCAGATAAGTTGTTAAATCCAATTTTATCTACTGCGTATATTTGTTAATTAATATTATTTTATTTGTTTTTATTATATTGATTAATAAGTCAATATTATTTTGATAACTATGTATTTAACTGAGAGGGAAATTCTAAAACAACATATTGGATGGAAAAATGGTTGGGAAGATCGGTGTAACTTTCCTTTTGTTAAGCGATTAATTAGGACAAATCAGTAACAATGTCATTTCCATTTTAATGACAGTCTTTAAAATAAGAAGTGATTTATTTAGTATTATGAGTTTTCTTTTTCCAATTGATTTTGATATGCCTAGTAATGACGAGTTTGATAAAATCTGCCTAAAGCTAACACGCCAAAAAAAGAAATATAAAAAAATTTTAAAGCTTTAAAAAAAGAAGAATTTTTTAAAATGCAACTGTCGCAAGCTCCACCCCAAAAAAAAATCAGCAGATGCAGATGACTTTTTCACTTTAAATAACAGTCAGGAGCTACTGAATCAAATTGATCAATTAACTTCTGAAAATAAAACAAATATGGTGCAAATAGAAAAATTTAAAATGCAAGTATTTAAGTTGGAAGCTGAAATTACAGATTTAAATTTTAAAAATAGGGCTCTCAACACACATTGTAACTCATTAAGTTCTCAATTAGAGACTATGAGTATTAGGCTAAAACAGGAGGAGCAGTTCCAACTTTAAAAAAAAAATTAAAACAGCACAGCGTAAATTTGCATCTGCTCGTGCCAAAAATGAAAAAAATAAATGCTTAAGCTTTAAATGTTTTGACTAAATATTCCAAAATGGAAATCTTGCTTTATTTTGCAATGCAATGAATTTATTGGCTTAGGAAAATAAGTTTCTAAAACAAGAACTCCTAGGTTTAAAAATGTACTCTTTTAACAGCTAATCCCCCTTTTAACTACATTTTTCATAACTTTGCGAAAAGTGCGGTTTGCTTTCAGACCTCAATAAAGTCTGTTTTAGCTATCCTTAAACAATTAAGTAAAATTTTTTTGTTTTTATAATAGTCAAACAATAGGTATATTTGAGAATAACTATCAGAAATAAATTTTTCTGATATTTTTTTGATAAAAAGTAACATCAAATTACTTGAATTCAACCAACTTCATCATTTGTCGCGTTATTTTTAAACTTAAAGAAGTTTTTTTACTAATGTATTAAATGTCGTAAGATGAAACATTTTATTGGTGTTTTTATTCTTTTTACAAAACAAAATTATCTTTAATATTTTAAAAGTTATAGAAGTTTTAGTAACACCCCTTAAGTCAATATTTTCAAAAAATAACAAGAAGCCGTTAAGCTCGGTTTGAAACAGCCGTGTTCTGCTTCTATTTTGGTAACTCTTCTACAGTTTGTCGTCCTGACAACATTCAAAAGTGTTCACCAGAGATCCCTTTTTTATTTTTTTGATATATTCAACAAGTGATTAATTTAATCTTGTTTACCTGCTTGCTGGAAAAAGATTCAATCAAAAAACCTTTATTTATCTAGCTTTTTCCCTCATACATCTTTATTGCTTTCTAATGGTTCTAATAGTAACTTTTTGCTCTCTAATGATTGCCTAATGCTATTGGGAGTAATTTTGTTAAAAAATAAAAAAAGAAAATTAAAATACTTAAAAAAAAATACTTTTACTTAAATCCAAAAAACTTAATTTGCTTACTATTATTTTTTTAAATGCATAAATCTATATCTGGATTTTCAAATACTTAATTGAAGCCCAGTCAAACTTTAACAAAAATAAACATAGTCAAAACAAAAACAGGTGAACAAGTGCAAAAAATAGAAATTTGAAGTTTACTCTGTGCTTGAAATCTAACTTCAAACACAAACTTTGTCTTTAAACTTTTATTGTGTGTATATATATATATATATATATATATATATATATATATAATATATATATATATATATATATATATATATATATATATAAAGGGAGGGAATTTAATGTCCATTTATAATTTTCTTCTGTATTTTGGAAGAACTAGAATGCCAAATGTTTCTACTGCATTGTTTCTAATTTTTTTTTACTGTATTTTTCAATCTACTATATTTTGTTTTCAATTGTTAGGAGAGGTTGATATTTGAAGGGGTGGGGAGGGGTAGTCGTAGATTTGTTGTGAAAATTTGAGATTAAATCAATTCCTATAATATGGCAGGGGACAGTGAACAACGAAGATTTAGGGGGGGAGGAGTGCAAATGAAAAAAGCTTTTTTACCATAAAAATTTCATTAAAGTAGGGCTTTTTTTTATTTATTTAGAAAAAAAATTTCAGTTTTAACCAACCGAGTCTCAAATTTTCCAAATTACCAACAAAACCGACAGAATATTGTAAACCTGGGAAGGTGTCCACACCCCCGTCAGTACGGCGCTGGCAGGGGAGATTACGTTGATGTGCGATTATTATTGCACACTACCTATAGGACACAGCACATAAAAAATATAAGTTAAAAATTCAATAAGCGTACCAAATTTGATTTAATTGACTAAAGGGCATTATTTGTACATTCCAAGCTGATTGGGTGTTTATAAACAGTTGCAACAACCTCATAGGCAGTTTAGTCAACTAAAAGGTTAGTCGACTAGTTTTAGTTAACTAAAAAGTTAGTCAACTAATTTTAGAATAAAAATTTAGTTGGGCATTTTTAGATAGACTAAAACTAACCTTAACTCCCACCCCTAATATATATATACATATATATATATATATATATATATATATATATATATATATATATATATATATATATATATTAGGGTGGGTCATAAAATTTTTTTTTAGAGTTGCTAACCTGGCTATGGTCTAGAAAGTTGTTTTTTTATGTACTAATTTAGGAAAGTATTTACTTTTATGGATTGAACAATGTCTTCCACCCGCAACTATAATTACAAAAATTAGCAGACCCTATTATTAGTCAAAAAAAAAGTTTTTCAAAATTATGTGATGTAGGTACTCAAATAAAGCGAAATTTTATAAAAATTTATATATATATATATATATATATATATATATATATATATATATATATATATATATATATAAAATTTTATATATATATATATATAAATTTATATATATATATATATAAATAAATTTTATTATATATATATAAAATTTATTTATTTAATATATATATATATATATATATATATATATATATATATATATATATATATATATATATATATATATATTTCATTTTAATTGTATTTTAAACTATTAAAAAAATTCTTACTCATCTTCTGATAGCTTTTGATTATTCATTAAAATGATCATGTGTTCTTCTAATGTTCTTTCAGCAGGTAGTAGCAGCATAGCATTTGTAAGACATAAATTACCAAAGTCAAGTGTGGCAGATGGCATTGCTGCAGATTGACCTTCTTGTCGGAAACTGTTAGTGTATTTAAATCAATAGTAATTAATATTTTTTATTTATTTAAATATTTATTCTTTTAGCATAAATTATATCAAACTACGATAATAATAAAAAATTTATTTCAATTAAATATTATTTGTATAAAAAGTTAATGATATTTTTATTATGATAAAAACATGCTTGTAAAAACTGGTTGTATTATGTCTAAATATAAAAGAGAGAAATAGAATCAGAGAAGTGAAGAAGTGTGAAGGAGAAACAAAACAGACAATAAAAGTTAAAAGAAAAAAAAAAAAAAAAAGAAAGTTAAAAAAACCTGCAAGAGTCTGAAGTCTTTCTGATGGGACAAATAACAATTTTTCGATGGGTACCTGTGCCAACAACTTCTCTAATGGAATCAGGTTTTTTTGAGTGTATTGTTTCCTTATCTTTATTAGTAGACTAAATAGAAACAAATTCGTTAAAGTTTTCAAAATTTTTATTATGTTAGTATTTAAAATGTTGTCTATTCTAAATTCCTATTGTTAGTTAGTTTTCTGCTTCTAAACATTTATTGTAAATTATTCTGTCTTAACTCAAAGCTTGAATATAAATTTAATTTAAATTTTATTTAAATTTTATTTAATTTTTATTTTTTAAATAAAATTAAGTTTTATTAAATTCATAAAGAATGAATAAAATAGATTTTTATATTTGATAAATAGAAACAAAAAAAATTTCTTCATGAAAAAATTTTCTCAAGACTATTTACAATAACTAAATTATTAAACCATATTTAACAGATAATATTTTTTCCTTTTATATTTATTATACAAAACCAAGGTAAAGTAGGTTTTTAAATTGGCATTGCCAAATATATATATATATATATATATATATATATATATATATATATATATATATATATATATATATATATATATATATATATATATATATATATATATATATATATATATATATATATATGTATATAAAACTTTGCTTAAAACAAATCTTTTGTTTTTAATGTACTGAAATAACTGTTAGATAAGGTATATATATGAGGTATATATGGTATATATCAGGTTTATATCAGTTAGATACCTCACTGAAACATCAAAAGAAAATTTAAAATATAAAAATTAAAATAACATTACTTTTAAGAAAACACCTATGCAAGCCTCAGCTAACCGAAGCCAATATCTTGGATTACACTGGTATTCACTTTGAGATTCCATCAAGCATTCAAATGCTTGTTCAGGCTTGTTTGCAAATAATAAGGATACACCCATGTTGTACATAATATTTGCTCGTTGATTAATAGAAAGTGTCTGCAAGGATCTTCCAGAATAATTGCTAACTAAACAAAATTCACACTAAAAATCATTAGATTATGATTGAATTTAAATATTAAGTTGTAGAAAGCTGAGACTAAATGAGGTTTTTTCACCCAAATAATTAAGATTATACAACTTTTATTTCAAATCTTTCGTTTGTTTTAATACTTTTTTTTATTTATTAATTTTTCGTTTTACAGTTCTACAGTACAAAGTTATTATAACAAAGATTTAAAAGTTTGTTTTATGCTTTATATTTTTTTTTATTTGCACAGTGTAAAAGTAACAGAAAAAAGTATTGCACAGTTATATTAATATAATTAATAAATTTTCTTAGTATAACTTACATAATTCTTTAATAATAGTTTCATCTTACTTTATTTTAAGTAGTTTTTAGGCTTTTTTAAAAAGCCTGGAAACTACTTGAAATTCACAAGGTGTCTTCAAGCAGGTAACAATAAATTAGCTGTTTTGATTTTGTAACATTTTGTTCGTTTCTTATTCCTGTTTGCTCTGTTACATTAAAAAGATCTTTAAACTTTTGCATAAGTATTCTTTTGCATTAAATATGATATTTATTAATTGATTTTTTTCCCAAGAAATATATATTTTTTCAATGTTTTGTCTAAACATTGTTTTTATTGTTTATACAAAGCGTGTGAGAGGATCATTCAATATATTTGTAATTAGATACTTATTATTAGGATTTCATTTTTTTGTAAATAGAAAAAATGTAAGAAACGCTGCTTTGGGAGCTAAAAATAATTTTAAAAAATTTGATATATATCTAAAATGACAGTGAGCGCATTTAATAACTTGTTTTTAAAATTAATTAACATCCTATTCAAGGTAGATGAAAAATGTTACTATGTTATATCTTCTAATGTTTTTAATTGATAATCTTTAGATTTTTTGTCTTAAAAACTTATAGTTTGTAGATTGCAACCACAGGTTGTATGATTTTGAAAACTTATATTTTGTAGACTGCAACCACATGTTGTATGTATGTTATGACTTTAGGGACTATTTGTAATTTTTGTTTGTTTGTAATTATTTCATTGTTGTCTTTCATAAATGTTACTCTGCAAATGTGTAGAGTTAAGCTTTAATCTTTTTTTTCTTATAATTTATCAAAATAATAACTCAGCATAAAAATTAGAAGTCAAGAAAAAAAAAAACATTCCTTCTTATCTTTTAGTCAAAAATCTTTAATCAAAATATTTTAAAAAAATACTGTGTTTAAATTAATTAATATTCAATTAATAGAAAATTCAATAAATGATCTTTTTAACATTTTTGTCTTGTTTTTAAGTCTTATTTTTGTCTTTTGTTAATGATTTATCTTTTAAGTTACTTTAAATATACTTTGTTAGTGAGAGAGAAGTTTTAAGTGCTGAGTAAAAAATTGAGAATACTTAAAAAGATCTTACATTTTTCCATAGGTGGAAGAACTTTCATAATTGCAATATTTTCCTCCAAACTTTTCATTGCATACAAAACAGCAAGATTATACTTTCCCATACAAAAGTGTACGAAAGACATATTGTTATAATACATAACTGCTAAGGCATGACCACCTTCTGTTATAGAGGAAGATTTTGGAGCGCTGTTTAAAAGCTTTATTGATTTTTGATAGTTTCCATGTAAACATTCCAGGTTACTTTTTAAAAATAAGGCTTCAGCAGACTAAAAAAAATAATTATTAATTTAATCTATAAACTTTTAATGTTGTTTTAAAAATAATAAATATCATTTTTTATATAATCATTGATCAGAAAAAGTTTCATCAAAAAGAAATATAAAGAAAATAAATATAGTTTGGGTGTTAGGTGTCAACAAAACAAGTTTAGGGTGTTGTATGTTAATAAAAAAATGTTTAGGGTGTTATGTGCTAAAACAAGACAAACAGGTTTAGGGTGTTAGGTATTGATAAAACACAAACAAGTTTAGAATGTTAGGTGCTAATAAACACAATCAAGTTTATTTGTACAAGTCAATTGTCAATATGATTGAGATGAGATGGGAAATCTCCTTGTAATGTTATGTTATAGATGGTAACGTTAGGAGAAAAATAGTAAAAGCTAGGTTACAAAGACCATTCGAAAACAAAATGTTGACAGTTTGAGCTTTGTATTTTATAAAATAACCAAGTAAGCAGCAAAGCAAGTCAACAACAACTAAAGGAACAGCAATTTTTTTCATTTTTAATTAAATTTATCTTCCTAAGGCCATGAAGGCCACTAAATTCGAGGAGGCTACTGTAGTTGTGGTTACAACCCTCTATCAACTCTATAACTCTGAAACACAAACCTTGACGAACAAGGCTGTTGTGCAGAGAAACAAGTTAAGCCTAGTATTACCAGGGACACAATAGGGATTGAATTCGGAACTTCTCGCTTATGAGGCAAGCACTCTAACACTACACCACTACCACAGTTACAGTCACTACACACCCAATTTGATATTAAAAGAACAAGTGAGCATCAATATGCAGAATGTTTATACAACCAAAAGCAGCAGCTTTTGATGCTCAAATCTAAATGATTATGCAACATGTAATTCTTTTGGTCAGCGTGATTGATGAGATGGATATTACTACAAATGATATCTTAAGTAAAATAGATAGAATAAAATAGACAAATGATATCTTGAGTAAAATAGACAGCAAAATAGAATAAATAGTATCCAAATTTATGCATCCTAGTTATTATTATTGGTACTTGAGTTTCTAATATGTAAAAATGTTTTTTTCCACAAGTTCTTTATTTTTTTTAAGCTTAGTTGATTGAAGTTTGATAAAAATGAAATTCGTGTTTTATAAGCAACTATTTTGTACTTAATAAATTTTAAGTACATTCAACAATGTTTTTTTCCTAAACTATGCAAAGGTGTATATTTTCTTTTTATTGCACTCAGAAGAGAGACAAAACCAAAACCATTAAAAAAACAAAAAAAACAAACAACAATAAATAAAACATTTATTTAAGCTAAAACATTTATATTCAATTTTTTTATTAATATTTATATTTTCATCTTTTTATAACCAGAATTAAATAATTAAATGTTCGTAATCTGTTAAAATCATTGAATAATATTAAAAATCAGCAAAATCTCGAAACTTGGTCCACTCTATTTTTGTTCCACTTTAATTTTATAACACTCTATATTTTTTTATTTTAAGATTGTAGAAAAAAGAAAATAAAAAGAGAAAAGAGTTTTCAAGTTTAAAAAGAAAATCAAACATAGTTTTAAAAACAAACATAGTTTTAAAAACAAACATAGTTTAGGAAGAACAAGCCATTAGTAGTCTAGCATTATTAGCCTAAGAAGATTAAGAAAAATCACAATGGGGAAAAAAACCTACATTTTGGCTGCTGTTCATAGCAAGCTTCAATTCTTTTTTGCACTGATTATATGGTTGCCTCATCAAAAATCGAACTTTGAACTATGGAAAAAAATTTAAAAATCAAAATTTAAAAGATATCAAAACACTTAAATAATGAAAAATAATTCTTTCAATCATTTTAGTGGATTTTAAATCAAGACTGAATTATTATTTAAATAAATATTTGATACAAGTTTTAAACAACAACAACAAAAAAATATGTGACAGTCAAAAAAAAAAAAGAAAAGTTTCTTAAGTATATTTGATGCTATTGTTATACTTTTGAGCAGAAAAAATTTGTTGACATTAAAAAAAAACTTATTAACTTATTCAGCATTATATAACTTACATATGATTAACATATAAACCATGTAATATAAATATGTGTAATGTAAATATACGTAATATGTGAGCATCATTATATATAACTTAAATATAAACTTCAATGTATGAAATTAATATATAAACTTTTGAAATTGACTCTAAAATAATATTTACCATATGAATCTTTGGTTTAAAGAAATCAATCATTTCTTTGCTTGCTACTACTTTGCTTATTTCACCATTTTGCTTTGAAATCAACAAAGCTGATTCCACATATTTTATCATTCCAAAGGCTTGGTCATACTACATAAAAGTAAAAAGTCTGGTTAAAATCTGAACTAACGCTATTGCATCGCAATTGTATAACAATTTGTAGATGTTAAGACATATACAAAAATACATTAAAAAATAATAATAAACTTATTTACAAATATTACTGATTTACTTTGTTCATTCAGCATTACAGTTATATTGGTTATTTTAGCTGATTTACCTGATTAGAAGCATTTAAAAATATTTAGAAGTAGATTATATTTTAAAAAATTATATTTGTATTTCTTCCCTGATTTATATTTAATAATTAGGAAATAAATAGACAAATAATGAATAAAGTATTAATATAAAAGTCAAAAATTCCCCTCTAAAATTCAAAACACACCTTTTTTTTTCACAAATAATCATAACTTAAGTGCTTATCTCTAAGGGCCAGAGCTCAATTTAACGGTCGGACATCGCCACCCTCCAACTGTTTTTGAGATCTGATTTATGGGGGCAACCAACCATTGTTGATTTTTTCATTAAAAATAAACAAATGTTGCTCTCCTCTAGCATGTCTTAAGTATGGGGGCAGCGATGTCCAACCATGAAATTGATCCCTGAAGGGCTAATAAAAAAAAAACAAGTAAATGTTTTATAAAAGGAAAACAGTGTTTTTGTCCTAAATATAAATAAACCAATATTTAAAATAAACAAACATAAAATGATAGAAGGTATAATACAATGAAAAAACATTATTGCTTTTGTGTAATCATAATTTATATAAAGGTGGTAATAAACTTCTCCTCAGAATCATGTTTATTATTACCAATTTTTTGAAGATGCTTAACATCAATACCTGGTTTATACCATCAAAAAATCATCATCACCATTTATGCTTTACCCTACAATTTATGCCTGCTCCATACTGCAGTAAAAAGACTTCACTAGAATTAGCCAAAATCCTACTTTTATTAAAATTTGTTATGCACTTATATTTTTGATGAAATAATATGGTTGATAAAAGTTATGAATTCAATACCAAATAATATAACAAAATTTAAGTTAAGATAGCCCTCTTCAACTAAAACACTGGGGGAGGGGGGCGAACACTACATTAAGCCCTCTAATTTCCTAAACAGTTTTAAAAAAACTTATGATAGCAATAGCAGAATTATAATTTTTCAGTCTGCAATGATTCAATCACAATTAAACATCACCGTGGAAAAGTATATCCATAAAACTGTTTAAGATAATATAGCATACTAACTATTTTGTAAATAAATGTGTGCTGGCAAACTAACCACGTTAAAAAGATGATTAATCATGTTGCATGTCATAAATAAGTGAATAAATAGATCATTTTTATCTATTTTGCTGTATCATAGGAAATAGAGAAACTTTTTTTCTTTTTAACATATGTTATCAGCCCCCCTAACTTTCCACCTCCCACTACCACTATATATATATATATATATATATATATATATATATATATATATATATATATATATATATATATATATATATATATATATATATATATATATAAATTAGTAGAAAAAAATTATATATAGTAAGAAAAGAGATATTCTGTTGTTTATCTCCTCTGAGATAAACAAAAGAATATCTCTTTTCCTTTATTCTTGGTTTCATTTACCAAAATAATTTGACTTTCATTTGCTACTTTTCAATCTGTCTAAGATATGATAGAATATTAGCTGCAGTATAATTTTTTAGGTGACCCATATCTTTTGATAATTTTTAAACATAAAATAAGTAAATAAAAATTCAACAACTTAAAACAAGCAAATTTGGTTTATCAATTTAAAAAGGGGTTTTTGTCTGTTGCTTTTTTGGAGCTGCTCATGTTATTATTTTGAGAAACAAAAAAATAATAATAATAATAAAATAACTTTTATTATTACACAATTATTTGATTTCTAATTACTCAAGTTATGAAATTTCAACAAGTTATAATTTTATTTTTAACCCTATTATATTTCATTTTTAACTGTATTTATTGCTAATTTTATTTATTTAACTTTATAATTATTTTTTATTATTGAAAAATTACAATTTATAGAAAAAATGCTCAAAAAATGTTTACAACATACTGTTGAAATCAAAAATATTTAAAATAAAAACTGCAAGAACAATTCCCTACCTGATTTGTTTGCAAATATAACTCAATAAGAAGAATACAGACTTTAACAGCTAACAAATCATCTGCAAAAAATAAATAATATAACATAATATATAATCTGCTACATAACAAAACCAATAATATATTATTATTACCAATAACATATTATATACATACAGTATGAGCCAAAAAAAACTTGTTTTTTTGAATAAAAATTTACTTAAGTCATTGTAATGGTTTAATTTCTTTAAAAGTTTTTTTTTTTTCAATACAAATAGAAATGTAAACTTAAAAGTATTTTATTATTTTTTAATATAAATAGAAATATAAACTGCATATAGACAGAGTTTACCTAACCCTTACCTTTTATATATATAAAACCTGATATTAATTTCATTAATGATGCAATATGCTAATTTATTACTTTTTAGATTAGATAAATAAAAATACAATACATAAATAAAAATAGTTCTGAATTATGTCAATAAAGATCATTTAGGAAGATTTATAGTAATATATTGCAGACAATGCAACTCCTTAATGGAAACGATCCTTACCATTTTTCTTGGGGGGTTGTGTTGTTTTATTACTTGTGTATATAATTACTACTTTATATGTGTATGTCCCTTAGGGAATTACAATTAGTTAATATTAAAATTTTCTATTATATAATTTATATATGATTGATAAAACCTTAGATATTATTATTTTAGAAGGATAGTGTCTTGACAACCCAGAGGTAAAGCGGAATGCCATTATCATTCAAAATGAGTAACTTTCTGTTGCGTTTTATCAACCAAAAGAGCAATTACTCCATATTTCATTGAAAATGATGCTGGAGAAAAAGTTACAGTGTTACTTCGCACAACAATAATAATGCGTGCTGACAGAACTCTAAAAATTTTGAAAATTGCTGTTTCTAACCCTTTCGCGTTATGTTCCGAGAGTTGATATATATAGATATATGTATATGTCAGGCTTGGTCGGGAAGCGGGAGCGATCGCTCTTGAATACTGACCACGGAAATTATATTTAGTTGCGAAAAACTGGCCAGGTTTTTTAGTCGTTTTGAGAACATTTAAGTTTATGTACGAAACAAAAAATTTTTGTTTTACGGACATACATAGAAACATAATAAACTTGAATGTTCTCAAAACATCTTTGTGCGATAGAATAAAAAGAATATTCGCGAACAGTAAAAACCCCCCAAATTAACGAAGAAACTAATTCTATAAAAAAATATTCTATATAATATATTTATAATATATTCTATATAATATTCTATATAAAAAAAAAAAAAAACAAAAAAAAAAACAACTAATTCTATTAATTCAAAAAATACGCTGACTTAGCGAAATAAAGTTCTAGAGTATTCTGTTGAAATGTTTTAGAAATTGTCATAATCACAATTTGTTACGTTTTGAGATTTCTAGTTTTCTTGTTTTAAAATTATATATTATTTGTTTACAAAAATAAATATTTTAAATATATATTAAATTGTCAAAATTTCAAAAGTTTATTATAAATTATAGATTTTATTAGTATATTCTTATTTTTTATTTAAAAAGTATGTATTCTTTATGTAAATGTAATTTTGTGTATCTGTTTTTTATCGTAATGTATCTTTTAAAGCAATTTTTATGATTTAAACAAAGACTTACAAAAATAATTGCGTTTTCAATGAAGTTATAATCGATATAGTTAATAAAACTAATTATGTAACAAACATATAAGAAGTTTCAAACAAACAACGCATACAAAGTAACTCGCGGATGAACTAGCACCGCATCTGAGGTCATGACAGAACACAAATATATATATAGCAAATAATTAGATATAAAGAAAAGTTTCTATATATTGGTTTACCAACTCTAATTATTTTTGCTTAAGTTGCCATCCTTGAAACTCGTTATACTTTTTTCTGCTTTAAATACTAATTAAAATTAAAAAGCCCACTCACTAAACATCATTAGCGATATTGTGAAGCAGTTTCGCTTCCTCGTCATAATGTATTTTTAACCTTTTTTAGTTGATTTCTATCTTGTTAATTTAATTTCTATAGTAATTCAATGATTTAATTATTTCATTTGTTTATCTTACTAAGAATTGCTTCAAATATGTTTAACTTTTCAAACTACGCGAAACATAAAATAGGTATTGAAAAAGTTAACTTTTTTATTTATAAAATAATTTAGCTTAAATAAAACAAAAACTTGCGAACTTTACTAAATAAAGAGCATTTGTTTCTTTTTTAAACAATCATAAGTTGTTACGTTATATAAAAAAAATTGCTTAATTTTATAAAAAAAACTACAAAAGAGCGATGTTTCGAAAATATTTGTTCTAAACATAATTTATTTAGCTTTAAGTTTTTTCGCGTTTAAAGATATTTTATTTGCCTAATTTTTTATTTTTTTTTGTAATTGTTTCTCATTGGTCCAAATAATTATTTTGCGCTTTTTTTTTTTGCTTTTTAAAATGTTCTCAAAACGACTAAAAAATCTGGCCAGCTTTTCGCAACTAAATATTATTTACGCGGTCAGCAAACGAGAGCGATCGCTCTCTCTCTCTCTCTCTCTCTCTCTATATATATATATATATATATATATATATATATATATATATGTATATATATATATATATATTTTATGTTGATTTAGGTGCCCCAAGAAGTCCTTACGGTCTTATCACAGAGCACCGCGGAAGAGCATTTAATAAGAAGTTCACGCCTCCTTCCCAACTGATGTCGCAAAACTTGCCCAGAGGTGGGGTTTGAACCAGGGATCTTATGTTTATATATATATATATATATATATATATATATATATATATATATATATATATATATATATATATATATATATATATATATACTCTTGCATGTCTCTTGCGTGGCATCAAAAAAAGTTTCCCATTAACTGTAGTTTTAAAGAGCGCGTTAATAAACCAGACCAGAAAAAGTTTTGACAAATAAATTTTTTTTTTAATTGATAGACTGCCTGGCCAAACCAAACCCTCAGTCGATGTAGCAGCACTCTCTTGCGAGTCAGGCTATTTGTCAGTCGTTGTAGCAGCACTCTCTTGCGAGTCAGGCTATTTGTCAGTCGATGTAGCAGCATTCCCTTGCGAGTCAGGCTATTTGTCAGTCGATGTAGCAGCACTCTGTTGCGAGTCAGGCTATTTGTCAGTCGATGTAGCAGCACTCCGTTGCGAGTCAGGCTATTTTTCAGTCGATGTAGCAGCACTCCGTTGCGAGTCAGGCTATAAGATAGTCGATGTAGCAACATTTACGCATGTTTTAAAAATGTTTTTTATTAAATCAATAACAAAAACACCACTAATTAAAAAAAACTTTCTAGTCGTTATAATTGCGGTTTTTTAAAAATTTTTTAAAAAACAATTAAATTTAATGTACTTCCGCATAAATTAATTGCTTTGACATTTCGATGACAATCAAAAACAGCTTAAGAGACGAGGTAATTAAAATTGTAGTCGTAAGAGACTTTTTTTACATTAAAACGCTCTTTCGACTACACTATAAGGGTATATATATATATATATATATATATATATATATATATATATATATATATATATATATATATATATATATATTTATATATATATATATATGTATATATATATATATATATATATATATATATATATATATATATATGTATATATATATATATATATATATATATATGTATCAGGCCTTGTTACGAGATTTTGCTGCGTAACGGAAAAGCGAAACGTGAATAAATGTAACTTTACTCAATAAAGATATTTACATTGTTAAAAGTTAATTTACATCAGTTGCGTTTTTACTTCATTGTAATTAAATTTAAAATGACATTAAAAACTATTGTTAGTCTTTGAAACGAAATAGCTTTAAATTGAACAATGTTGTTATAAAAAAAAAAATTTCAATGTTGATTAAAAAAAAGTCTTCTTGTATTAAAATCTTATACTTTAAAATTTAAACTTAATTTTTTTGCTTTTAAACATTCGTTTTATGGTTGTTTTTTTTTTTAGTTTTTTTAAATAATTTAAATTTAACACTTGTTTATCGTTGATTTTCTTAAAAGGATTTAAATGTACTTATAACTAAATGCATAGATTGGGTTTTCCCCTTTTAAAAAAATGTTTGCACTAACTGGTTTTGATAAAATAAATGTTGTAAAGAAACGAAATTTACTGCTTTTTCGGCTTTGTTTTTTTTTTTTATTTCCATTAAAATATTTTATTTTTATGTACAGTGAAACCTAATATTTTTTTACTCAAGCCAAAAAAAAAATAGTGTTTTCAGTTTTAAGATGTTATAAGCAGAATTTGTTTTTAACAAATATCATTATAATTTTGAAATTTATGTATCTTATATTTATAGCTCAAGTACTAGTTTTGTTTTTAAAATAAAATAAAGATAATTTGGGCTTTTAAAGAGTTTATTTACTGATAGCGTTATTTTTAATAGGTTTGAATTTTGGTTTGTTCAAGGACGTTTATTAATACGTCCTTGGTTTGTTTTATAAAAAAAAATTCTTCGGCAAACGGCAAAGGGAAAACCCAAACATAACATTTATAACTCGAGTTTAAAAAAAAATTGACGTCATTTATTAACTTGTATTTAAAAAATGAATAATGCGCTTCTGTAAATAATGAATGAAACTGTAAAATAATGGAAAATAATGCGCTTTTGTTAAACGCATTATTCAGACCAGTATTTGGAACTTACCTGAAACTTAACTAAAATTAAAATAAAGTTATATGTAATACGAACATTTTAAAGTAACATGAATTAAATTTATTAAATCTTTTTTTACTTTGGTAATTTTATCATTAAAAAAACGGAGCATTTTAAAATTAAAAATTTTTTAAATGCTCTGTTTTAAAATTAAATGAAAAAATTTTAATTAAATCTAATAAATTTATTTACTAAAAACTATAATTATTAAAAAAATATTTAAATTTAATAAAATAAATTGAAAATATTTCTTTTTTTAAATTTGATTGTTTATAAACTTATGAAATCTAATATTTAAAATTAAATATGATGAAAAGTTTAAACTTAAAAACTTTATTTTCTTTAAGTAATTTTTAAAAACAAAAAAAAAAAATTATTAAACAAATTGTTTCTTTAACAAAAAATCTATTAGTTTACAATTGCGGTTAAATGCTTTTACTAACGACTTTAATACTTCTGAATGAACGTCACATAAACAACATAAAAAGATAATTTAAATATTCTAAAAGATAAACGTTTTTGCGTAACGCATAACTGCTGAACGCGTAGGCAAATTGCCTTTTCGCAGGCAAAATGCGAGCTGCGTAACGCTTCTTAACAAGGCCTGATGTATATCAGAGTGGAGCTCAAAGTATTGAAAAAAATAAAACTTTGAATTTTAAAGGTCTTTGCAACAGAAGAAATTCTTTTTAAGATAAAAAACAACATAGAAAACGTTTAATGAAAAAATAATAATATTTAGAGGTAGCTTAAGTGCTTTAAGCTTTATAATATATGTCAATTTACGGCTAAATGTCAGAATATCAGGTTTTGTGCAAATAAACAAACAAAGAAACGTCAAACAAACAAAATTGTTTTGGTTATTCATAGTGTCACTGTCAACTTTTAACTAGTCCTATGCTGACTGTCCTGTCAAAGTCTGTTTCCTGCTTTCTGGATATGCTCAATGATGGTTTTCAACAATCTGCAACAAGAACTGGAGCGGACTAATAACTTGTCACAAGTTATTAGTCCGTTAAACTCCTGGATCAGTGCAATGCCTCTTTCAAGGTCGCTAACAACTTTAGTAGCTCTGTCTCTGTAGCCTGCTTGAAGTTGTCGCGGAGCTCCCACATTATTGGATCATCAACAAGATATTTGTTTGGAAACTCCATTAGTTTGAACAGAGCTCTTGACTTCACTGTGACAAAATCTTCTAGATTCTTGTTGTTGAAAGATTGAAGTGTAACGCTTATCCGTTTGGTAAGACCATGATCTTCTTCTTGGTCTACCTCATTTCGCATGGTACTGACCATAAATCTTTTTGTTGAAGGACTGACTTTACTGTCAAACAAAGCCAAGCCAACTAGCTCCGGTGACAAATACCACAAGTGATTAGCTAGCATGTTTGATGCAACCTTTGATATTAAACTATTGATAAAAAAAAGGTTGCTTCACATGGGTTCCCACATAAAATATAAGATTCGTAGATTCAAATAACTTGAATTATTTAAACATTTAATATTTTTAGGACAAAAAAATTTTAAGTTAATTACAATAATACTAAATTGGATAATATGAATTTAGATTATTATAAACAAAAATAATGCCTTTTTGCAAAATTCATACATTTTTATAATAGTAATACGTTTATGAGAACACTTAAATAAATCCAAACAGTATGAAAAAACTGTTTGAATTTATTTTAAAGTTGTATTTATTGTATGACAGACTTTAACTTTTATTGAAATTATATTGAAACATTCAAGTCTGTATTCTAAATTTTATTGAAACATTCAAGTCTGTATTTTAAATTTTATTGAACACCCAAACGCCACATATATATATATATATATATATATATATATATATATATATATATATATATATATATATATATCAAGCCTTCCCAGGAAGCTTGTGCAGTCGCACACCTTGTATGTCCACGCTTAAAGTAATTTTTTTAAACAATTTGACCACATTTTTATTTAGTAAGCGTTTTAAGAATTCATGGCAAAATAACGCTATAAGAAATTAGAGAATAAATCAGCAATACTCAAAGAAAAGAACCAAAGACTATATAAAATAGAAAATCTAAATAAAATAAGCTAAAAAAAATTATTAATAAAAAAAAAAGAAAATTGTTGTCAAAAAAAAAATATACCTAAAGATTTACTGTTTTTATTTTTTTATTTTTAGAGCGTTTGTTATTTTCTACTAACAAAATTGATACAAGTCGAGTAAAAGGAAATATATATATAAATATATAAAGGAAATACTTTATAAATTGCGCTAGAAACACAGTCAGTTTTTAAATTTGCTTTTCAAATGTCTTTGCTAAATTGTTTTTATTAATGGACAGGAAAGCGAGAAAACTAATTGCTATTTATTTGTGAAAAATTTAATTTTTTTAATAAGTTTTTCATGTAAAAAATGAAACAATGCAGCAAAATTTTGTGGGTTAGTGCATTGTTATTTTACTAAACTTTCTCAACAAAATTTTTAGGAGCCTATTTAAAACTTTTGTTTAAGTTTTTAAATACAATTTTTTTAACAGAGAAATTGTTATGTTCATTATCTCTAGTAATTTGTATTAACATCAGATTTTGGGCAATATAAAAGAAACAATTTTGTACATGTATCAAATGCGGTAAATACATTTATTAAAGAAGTTACTCATTTATTTAACTTATTCCATCATTAACAAAATTTATTAATCAAATAACATTTTTTACAAATAAACAAGAATTTATTTTCTTATTTTCCATTTCTTTACAATTTTGTTTCGTTATTCAAGAATTTTTTTTTTTTCTTAGTAAATAGTTTAGCTTTTTGCTGTGAATTTGCCCTGGTCAGTTAGTCTAAAAAAAATTACATTTAGTATATATATATATATATATATATATATATATATATATATATATATATATATATATATACATATATATATATATATATATATATATATATATATATATATATATATATATATACACACATATATATATATACACACATATATATATATATATATATATATATATATATATATATATATATATATATATATATATATATATATATACAAGGGATTTATTACATGTAAAGATTTTAATAGTCTTTCTTTTCTGTTTAAATTAGGATAAATGAGGTCGGCAATTTTTTGCCAACTTCAAGCACTTTGAGGTTGGCAGTTAGGTTGGCATTGCAGAATGCTGACCCTGATTTCGAGGATTGGATAGTAATATATGGACTAAATTATTTGGTGAGGTCCTTGATGAAATATGCGGAAGAAAAATTAAAACTTTATTTATTTTTAATTAAAAACACATATTCAAAAATCTTTTAATTCAATTTAATTTAAGCAAAAATAATAATTTTAAATAAAAAAAATCTTTAATATAAACAAACCTAATGGCTCAATGATTTTAAATAGTCTTTCTAAAATATTGATGCCATTTGCAAACTTTTTCAACTAAATATAGAAAGAGTTATTTTATATTGTAAATCATATTGAAATTTTGTCTTCATTTAGTTAGCAAATCATATTAAAATAGATACAATAAGCCACAATGAACAATTGACCGTGCTAAAATAGACAGAAGACAAATCATTTTGATATGTTAAGGTGATAATAAAATATATTGCTAAAGACTACATTGGAGAGACATAAATAATTATGGTGGTAGTAATTAAAAAGTAATGCTATATAGAGAAATATAAAACATACCAGCCTAAGAAGAGACTTTTTTTGTTGCACAACTTAAGAAATAAGCAGTGGTAAAACACTTGGATAAAAAAATGAATGTTTTTGGATACCAAAGTGTAGGTAAAAAACTATTAAAAATAAAAAATAAAGCAAAGAATTAAAATGAGCATAAAAGCATGAGTATTAAAAATCAAATATGTGAACTTTGAGCTGATTAACTAAAAAAAATAAAACTTCAAAGTTTTATTTTTATTAAAAATGCTTCTTAGATTGAATGTGTTAATTATGTACCAGATCTTAGTAATGGAAATGCAAAGATAGGCAAAAACTTGAAGAAATAATTTGGAGATAAAATCCTTAAGAAGATTTATTAAAAATTGGATTTCAATTTTTGAAATATCTTTTAAAAATGACAATGAAAAAAATTGAGAAGATAAACAAATTATTAAAAAGAATAACAAGTCATAAAAAGAGATATTTTAATAGATAAAACAATCAACGACAGCAGAGTAGCAACAATTTGTATTTGTAGATCAGAGATTCAAACATTTAAAAATATGAGGTTGATTCTATATTGCCAACAGTAATTACATTCAGCAAAACTAGTTATGAGCTGTAATTTTTATAAAGATAGAGAATTGAACCAGGAATATGAAAACTATGAGCTTAAAGTACTTTCTGATTATAATTGTCAAAACTCTAGATACAAAAAAGTATTTTAATAAATATTTACATGAAAACTAATAACTGCTTGGTTGTAAAGTAAGTAGCTTCTATCAATATCATCCAGCTCATCTCCAGTATTGACCATCCCAAACTCCAACTAATAAAAACATTAAAAAAAACATTATCTAAGAAAAAAAAAACTATGACAAAAAAACTGTTTTAAGTGTTTAACACTTAACAATTTACAAGATTTATTATTAAACATATTTTGAATAACTTTTAAATGTTTTTTTATAGAGAAAACACTCTACCACAACCATATTTCATGTAAAATAACTATTTTATATAAACAAAATGCATTAAAACATGGTTTTTGCATAGTAGAGACTCTGCTTTACCTTATTTTTCTATTGTATACATATAGCTTTTCTGAAATTAAATTTTTTTTATTTCAACAGATAATAATTGCAAAAAAAAAAAATTATTGTTTAAACTCTAATATCATTTTAACATCATTTTTTTATTAGATTTATAAAACTTTAAAGTTTTACAAAACTTAAGTATTTCGAAAATTAGTCATATCTAACTTTTCTTTTAAACTCTTAATTGTTTTTGAAAAAGTGAACTACAGGGTGTATACTTAATTTCTGACCCCCCACATGTTACAAACACAAGATTTTGAGTTGCTCTCTTAAATGCTACTTTAGCCCGAAAAATACTATAGTATGTATTTTGGTGTAACTATACTTTCTGCACGTAAAACGCTCATATCAGATAGGATATGACCTCAGAAAATGTTTATGGGAGCCATTTTGTCAACATACATAAAAATGATATTTTCATTCTCCTTGTCTTCCACGGCCTTTGGCATTATGACTATAGTTTTAGCACGATTTTTAAGTAAATTGTCCTTATTATTTCTTAATATGTGATCTTAGTTTGCCAATTAATAACACATTTTTTCTTCACTGTTTATGACAAATTGCTCCTTTTTGAAACCGGGGTCAGAAATTAAGTTTACACTTTTTTAATGTTTAGCATTTTGGCTACAAGAAATAATCAGCATTATTTTTATTTGCCTTATTTATATCAGTGAAACTTGGTGTCTGTTTATGATTTACATTAATTACTCTGTGTGTATTTATATGTATTTTATGTATATGTTACTAACATGTATTTGTGTTTTTTAGCAATTTACTCTGAAAATGAGTTCTGATAAACAGTTACTTCGTCACCGTATTCAAGTTTTATATAGTCAAGGATTAAGCATTAAAGAAATCACTAGACAGTGTAAAGTTTCTCGAAATACTGTAAGGAAGTGGGCAAGAAAACAAGAAGGTGACATTACAGATGCTCAGCGACCTGGAAAGCCAACAAAGTTTTCACCAAGAACCAAGGACAAGGTCAGAAAGTGGGTCAAAGACAAAGTCGGAGTTGGAACGAGAACTGTAGCTAAGAAACTGAATTTTTCAGACAGTTACAAAGAAATAGGAAAAACAATTTCACACAGTGCTATCAGTAAATACTTGCGCAAGACCACATGGGGAAAGCATGCCTATACACAGAAAGTGAAACCCATGTTGTCGCAGAAAAACATCACTGATCGCGTAAATTTTTGTACTTGTTTGCAAGAAGAGGGATTCGCAGATGACTCACCGGATGGTAAAGTGAAACGAGCTCACGTATTGTGGACTGATGAGAGTCCAATTGAATTATATCCGGCTCCAAACCGTCAAAATCAAAGAGTACGTACAGCAACACCAGAGTCAATACCTTATGTTCGACGTCCGAAATTCCGTCTCAAGATTATGATAGTCGGCGGCATTTCTCGATATGGCAAAACTGATCTGGTTGTTGTTGAGCAAAATAAAACTGTTAATGGACAATATTACCGTGATATTATTCTACCTGTGTAAAAACGTGCAGCTGATGATAAGACCATCTTTCTGTGAGAAATAAAGTTATTCTGATGCAAGATGGAGCAACACGGCAACAGCAACAATGAATGTGATCAACAGAGACTTTCCAGCAATGTGGACCGACTGGCCTGGCAACTCGCCTGACTTAAATGTCATCGAACATATTTGGTCAAGACTCCAGGACAGTGTTTTACACAATCCTCGACCTCGTAATCGTGAACAGTTGATCAGACGTGTTGAACAGGAGTGGGCTGCCATTACGCAAGAAGAGTGTTTTCGCCTAGTAGAAAGCCTGCCAAGGAGAATTACCCAATGCATAGAAAGAAATGTACAAAATACTGATTACTGACTATTAACATATATTCTTTGTCTAATTAAATTGATATGACAGTAATAAAATGGTATGTGTTGAAATACTGTATTCTTAAACCGAGATATAGGGGGTCAGAAATTAAGTATACACCCTGTAATACCTATTATGAGAGATGTAATAAAATTTGTTATGATAAAGTAGAAATACAATACCTTGTATTTCTAATAATTTTGATTCAATCTCATTTTTATCTAAACGAGTATTGCATAAAAAGTTTCAAATTTTTCATAACAAAAAAAATAGATTGATTGAAACCTTAAAACAATGTTTGTTTGTGGTTTTAAAAAAATGACAAAAAATACTATGTATTTGTGGTTTTTAAAAAAAAATAACCACTAATACATAGTATATAAAAAGTAATCATTTTGATGTAGGCATTGTTTCACTGTATATTCAACATTTAATAAAATAAACTTAAAACTACTTATAAAAACTAATGATAATTTTATATTTAATAACACCTTTGGTTGTCATAGCAGTAATTTGTTCTATAGGTAAAGGTTGCTATGTTTTCTAAAGGGTTGTTAGTGCATTCTATAAGACATGTACTGACTGATATAAGAGTAAAATGACAGTTAGTGTAAATAAATCAATTTACAAGTTTTGTCAAAAAACTTATATTTTTCATTTTATAATAAAAAAGGACAGTTCAAAATAAAAGCCAGACTTTTACCTGTTTTAAAAAACATAATGAAAAATATACAAAAACTACTAGTACTACGTAGCCCTATTAGCAGTTTTCATTTTTTAATTTTTGCTCACTAAAAGTAAATACATATACGTACCTTTAGGTATAGATGGATACCTGTAGATACCTGTAGATCTGTATAGTATTACATAATAATACATATAATCTGTAGTTCTGTATAGTATTACATTTTATTAAATATAAGTACCTGCTTTTTTGCACCATTGATTTGCTTAATAAATTCATCAGTTTTAGTGAAATTAGACAAATAATATTCTACAATAGATTTGTTTCCTATCACACGAGCATCGTGAGTTCGTAATTCTGACAACCTTTTAAGTTGTTCTAAACACTCATCATAGTTTTTCTGTTTAAATAGAGCAAATGCCGATTTAGCTATTTGTCGGTCTTGTTCTGTTATTATTTTTCTGGCTGATGCAATTTCTCTCGCTGGTGGATCCTGCTTCATTATTTGTGGCATACTTTTACATACGCAAACAAGATCTATTACTGGACCATTAACAAATTATTTTGAATGTTGATTTAAATTCATTAAATTATCTTGTTATTATCGAATATAAATCCAGTAAAAGTTATTAAACACGACCTTGTTGGACAACTCTTAGCTTCGATATTCCGTTGGTTCGGTTTAGGTTCTCCGAAATTGTCCTACAATTTTGATAATTTCGCAAAATATTGTAAGGCTCGTGACTTACTTTATTCTTGAATACTGAAATAATTTTGATTTAGTATTATTTAATGATAAAACTATTAAATACAAAATAAATTAAATAACTTATGTAATCTTTCTAGCGTAAATAAATAAAAAATTTTAAGTATTTAAAATACTTTTTATCACAATGGTACAAAATAATGATCAAGAGGATAAGAGATTTACAAACTAAAGTTTATTTTCCACGTGCAGAATCTTTTTGAAAAACATAATGTTTACAGATTTACACTTACATTTACAAAAAGAAATCTATCTATGGATAGAAAATTGAAAAAACGTTTTGATCAGTGCATGCTTTTGAAAGAAAATATTTGTTTGTAATTCTATGAAACCTATTAAATGAAGGAATTTGAATGTCAAAAAAATGACTTTAATAACATTTATAAAGAACCAGAAGGGTCACCGAGAGGGAGGGGCAAAATGGGCATATGTTCCCCGGGCGCCAAGATAACATGGGCTCCAAAAAAACAATAATGATAAAATGATAATGAAACCATATGCTAACTTCAGGCCTACCCTTAAAAAAGAAAATAAAGTTAAGTCTTATAACTACAAACTGGTGTCTCTCACCTATCCCGTGCAAAGTGACGGAGAGAATTATCGTAGATAGGATTATGAAATACTGTGCACAATATAATATTAAAGTCTTAACATGATTTGCAGATCACAAAGATCGCTTACAAACCTGATTGAACCCCGTAACGTTTAAACGGAATCAGTTTACCGTGGACACCTTGTTGACATAATTTTTAATGAATTTGCCAAGGTATTCAACACAATAACTTCTAAGAAAAAAAAGTATAAAATTCCGCCTATGTCATTTTTGGCCAGAAATTAAACTGGATCACTAACTGGCTAGCTAACAGACAACAATCAGTCTGAACAAGGCTAAAATAGAATAAAAGTCTGAGTGGAACAAGGGTAACGATAGCATCTCTTAAGTATCAGCTCTTGCATCACTGCTGTTTGTGTTCTTTATCAATGGCTTACCAGACTGCATTTATAATTATTCCAGATTATACGCTGATCTAATTAGTTTTCAACCTTGATGAATTCTTCTCTGATTATGAAAAATTACGGGCGAGAATCGGAAGCGCTGTAAATTGGTCGCGCAGCTGTATTGTGGATTTCAACGTCGAGAAAAGTAATGTTTTTCTCTATTCAAACGTTTTAGCTAAGATCAAAAACTAAAAAAACTCAGCTTAACTACCCTCGAAAAACGCAATGACCTTATACTGTAATACAAAATTACTTATAATTTACAATTAAAATTTAGACTGTGAAAACTGTTTCTTTAAGATTCTCATTCTCCTAGTTGAAAGAACCGGTAAAAATTAAAGTTTGTGTAATAGAAAAAAACTTTATGGAAGATAATTTGTATCTTAATAGTTTAAAGGAGTCTTCATTTTTCAATTGTAAAAATACTTTAGACTTTCTCAATTAAATATGCTCAAAAGGTTTATAGTCTATTTTTCAGTCGTAATGCATTCTAATTCGAATATCTTAACGCAATGTCAGTACGCAAAAGGTAAACGACCTTTAAGTAAACTAAAATTGATTTAAAAAAATGTTCGTAGGGCCACTATAGAAGATATACGTCTATCGGAGATTAAACTTTGCCACAAGATGAAATAAAAGAATTTTTTTTTTGTTATTTATATATATTATTTTGTTAATTAAGCCCAAGAAGACGTAACGGTCTTGTCACAGAGTACAGAGAAGGAAGTTCACGCCTCCTTTCTTACCGTGACGCGAAAATATAATCAGAGCTCGTTTCGAGCCTGGATTTCCTGCTTCTAAAGCAAGCGCTCTAACCACTGCGCTACGGCCGCACAATATATTTTATTATATGGTGGAAAGTTAACAACCAGGATGTTGAAATCCCATCTATGACATACGAAAGTGTTGAAAAATATCTTGGGGCAATGATTGACCCAGCTGGTAAGATTGCTTTTTCGATTGAGGAATGGAAACTTTGGCTAACTAAGCTAAGGGAGTGTAAGCTCAAACCTGATCAAAAAGTGAAAGTGCTGAATGAGGTAGTTTGTGCTTAAAAGAGGTAGTTTGTGTTATATATGTTATTAATCCAGATCTTGAAAATATAGATGTTTAACATCTATATTTTACAACATTTTTTTCAATTGTTTATTTTTGAGTTTTTTTGTAAATTAACATTATTAGAAATAAAAAAAACTTTTTATTTCGCATTAATTTGTATAATTGCTTTTAATTTAAAAATCAACATTTTTATAGGGGCGCCTAATTGCTGCTATGCCCTGAACGCCATGAAAGTTCTCGGCGGCCCTGAGAACAGGTCCATATTAAAAGAAAAAGAAGTTTTTATGACTGTACCTGCACGACAAAAAGTAGGAAAACATTAGGATAAAAAATGGAAAAGTAAATGAAAAAAACAATGGGAAAGTGCTCCTGATTTACTAAATTTTAATCAAAGGTATAGATGGAAAAATTTTAAAATATTGCTATCAGTGTTGCTAGGTGCAGTCAGTGTTGCTAGGTACTAGTTCTCCAAATTAAAGTTAATAACAATTTTTTTCCTGTTCCACTATGAGTAATTTAAGATTAAAAAGTTTTCCAATATTGTCTATAGAAAATGAAATTAAAACGAATATAAATTTTGAGAACATTATAAACAGTTTTTTGCTATGAAAGTTAAAAGAACAAGTATATAAATATAGTCGCATAAACATATGCGTAACTCAAAGCATTTACTTCTTTTTTAAAAGTTAATTTTTTTGTTCTATATTTCCTTTTTAAATTTCATTAGGAATCGTCCATAAATTAACGCAAACTTTCACAATAAACAATACAAAAAAGATCAAAAAATTTTTCTCACAATTTGTCTTAATTAAAAAAAAATCAAAACAGCCCATTAAGTTTAATGAAAGTTCCGCGTAAAAGAGGTTATTACCTCCAACTTCTGTTTTTTAAATATATTTTACGTTGCGTAATTTATGGACGACTTCTTATACCCTGGAGATAAGATGATGATACTTATTGATGGAGATGATGGTATTTTGATGTACGTAACTCCAGGTTTCAATGAGAGAAAACAATCTAAAAAAGTTTAAATTAAAAAGATTGAAAATAGAAAACTTTAAAACAAAAATAGAAAACAAAACAATTAAAAGCTAAAGCCGAAGAGACTATTGAATTTGTCATAAACGAAAAAATAAAAGTATATATATATATATATACATATATATATATACATATATATATATATATATATATATATATATATATATATATATATATATATATATATATATATATATATATATATATGATATATATATATATATATATATATATATATATATATATATATATATATATATATATATATATATATATATATATATATATATATATATATATATATATATATATATATATATATATACAGTGGCGTAGGAAGGTCAAGAAAGTTAGGGGGGCTGAAACACAAATTAAGGGGGGCCAAAGCAGCCAAAGTCACGCATAAATGAGTTTTGTTTGTTAAAACTAGAAATGGAAGCTTGTTTAAGCTTGTTTAAATTGTGATAGTGTAAAAAAAGAAAATTAAAATTTTACAACGATGCGACAGTGACTTAACATATCAGATAGAGCGGATCCAATTACATTTACAGTACATTTTTGTAGCGTGTCTAGAAGGGAAATAGATTCATTAGAAGTACCAGACTAAATATGAAAACAGTATTTTATACCGGGAAAAATGAAAGATACGTTAAGATAACGAATGGAATTGTAAGTAAAGAAATAGCGAGCACACTAAAAAATTGTTTCCAAGAAATGTCATTAGTGAATGGTTCATCAGAAATGCGTAAAGTAGAGGACTCAGTGAGAGTATTGCCGTTTATCAATATAAAAATTTCAACAATATTGTGATTTTTGTTTACAGTAAATAACTTTTTTTTGAGTTAAATATTAAATGCAAGCTCCAAGCTCTTACAAAATGTATACTAGTTATAAAGATGTCTGTTTTAATAAATCAAAACGCGTTGACTTTTTATCAAAACATAAATAAGTAAACCTCAAAAAAATTACTTTTTATTTTCAAATTTTTTAGTGAACCCTTACGACGCTATTTATTTTAGTAGAACTCTAAATATTTTGTGGGTGACAGGTATCCAGCGATGCCACACAAAAAGTAAAATACAATTATGGTCGGGTGCCAGTAAGTTAGATTTAATAGCATCGGCTCTTTCAAAACCTGGCTCTTTCCTCTTTTTCCTTTTTTTTTGGCCCTACGCTCTTTATTTATCTACTTCTATGTTTAGTTTCGTTACCAGCGTAGACATTGTTTTAATAAAAATCATGTTTGTGTTGATTTTTAAAAGTTTTAATAAATGGGATAGTGCCCTTTTCGAAATGACAGTTTCAATTGTACATTATACCAAATGCTTTTACTATAATGTGAATAACTCAAATTTGATACGACGTCTGATTAGTAACTTGACTGATGACGCAAACTTTTTAAGTCTTTAAAATCTTTCATATGATATATGAATATGATCGTTAAACGTGTAATACAAAATATATATGCAGTGGTGTTCTTACATATGACGGAAAGCTTAAAGTCTGTTATTAGGTCTGAAATAAGTATTTCTGATGATTATATAATATTTTGATGATTATATAAGGTTTTAACAGTTAAAATTATTATCATAAATACTTTTAAATTGTTTAAGTTTGTTAAGCCCACCATCGGACCACATTGAAGACTTTAATGTATTTTTTGCCTAATGACGTTTGGAAAACAAGTTTCAAAGAAAAGAAATTAAACAATATTAATGGTATGACATCAGTTTAAATTGTTTTGAATGCAACATACAATTTTAGATATATCTAGTAAATGATTACGTTTTTCCGCTAATTTCTAGTTCAAATACATTTAAAGTATCTTCATTCTTTTTGTTTTTTAAAAAAAGTTTTAAGTCGTCAGTACGGCAAACAGCCTCATTACGTAATAAAATACAATACAAAAAAAAAAAAAAAAAAAAAGAAAAGAAAGAAAAAGAACTTTGTTCAAGGGTTTTTTATGTATATGGATATTTTCGTCTTTGAGTTGATTAACTGATGGTTTATGAGAGAATTGATTTTGGTTTTGATTTTCCAACAGAAAACTTTTGTATATTTTATATTTACATCTAGTTATAACGTGAAATACCAATTTTTCAACCGACTCTAATTTTTTGATTGACATAAATAACTACGTCTATTCCGGTATGTTTTGTGTCTATTTTTTATAACAAAAAAAATAAAATTTAAAACTTTAGAAAGAGTTCTTTTATTAGAAAGAGTGTCTGCCCAAACTAAAATTTTCTATCGGTGTATGTATTTTCTCCAGTGAATATGGCTATACCATTTAATGTATGTAAGTTCTACTACACTGGGTCCAATAATAAAAAAGACACTATTCGGTTAAAAATGGTTATATTATGACATCCCAAAAGCTATTTCCACCAGTGATGGAATCATTGGGGGAGGGGTGTGTCATTACAACTTTTACCGACTATCGGCAAAAGTTGTAATGACACAAAAAAAAAATTTCTAATAAAATTTTGGACGCTTCTTCGTTTAAAAAAGTTTTTATAAATTTTTTTACTAAGGCAGAAATGTGAATTCGACGCCTGGTGTTTTTGACTTAACAAGATAGAATTCTACAAGGGTCGATAATTGGACACCTTCTAAGTTACTTCTAAGTTAATGATATACATATCATTAACTTTGCTAAACGGCATTAAAAGCTAAACGGCAATGATAACTATGTTTTCTGGTGATACTAACCTTTTGCTACATCAAAATGACAAGAAAAAACTATTTAATGGTATAAACATTAAATTAAAAAATTTTAAATGGTTTAAATCAAAAACTTTTAACTCATTATTTAAAAACCTAATACTAATGGGCTCGAAATTTTTTCGAATATTTTAAAGGGGATGTTAAAATCTTTATTCTGGAAAAAAAGTAATTAATCATGACATCCTGTGTGTTTACAAACCAAAAAAAATTCTCTAAAATTTCTATAAACCTTTGAAACATCGTCTAAAAGATTTTCTATAGAAACTCTATTAATTTCTATAAAAATAGTGATTTTGTATGATTTTTATAACTTTTATGGAAATTAATAGCGTTTCTATAGAAATTTTATTAAATTTTCTATAGACCTTATATTTATAGAAAATTTAAAAGTTTATAGAAACTTTTATGAACTTTTTTTTCCTTGGTAAACACTCTAAATTTCTTAATAAGTTATTGAGCTTTCTCCTACAACTTATTAAAATTCGATCAAAATAGTGATAGTAGTCAATGATGAAAAACTAAAAATAAAGTTTTAAATAGATAAATAATCAAAATAGTTTTTGTCAATTAAATACCAATCTCGGACAACTATAGATAGTAACTAAATAGCTTTGTTTAAAAAAGTAATAATTGCTATAAATTATAAAACTGTTCAAATTTTTATAATTGAATTATAGTTAAGTTAGTATTGTTTGCAACTCTCAATTTTTTTATTTTAAAATGCATGACTTGGTAAATATATATGACGTATAAAGTTCTATTATTATCATTATGCTATATATATATATATATATATATATATATATATATATATATATATATATATATATATATATATATATATATATATATATATATATATATATATATATATATATAAATCATTGACAAACATTTTCCACTTATTTATAAAAACCATATTTTTTAACAAATAAATCAAAAATTGAGATAACACAACAAAAGTATAATATATATTTATGGGAAAAACATGAACGGGCAAAACAAAACAAAAAAGTTATTTAATGGCTGTCACATATATAATATTGGCCCCTCTATTTTTAATGGAGGAAGTTGACGTGAACTATGCGTGACCATAATAATTATATTACTTATGTGGCATATTTATAATGGCGTTGATGTGGACTATAAGATTAAAGTCCACATCAACGCCATTTCAAAAAGTATCGTTAGCATTTAATACTACGTAAGGCACACATTAAATCTTTATCTTGTGGTAGAGCAAAGTGGCAGTAAACATAATTACGATATATCGATCAGCTATTTCTCTTGCCAAAGTGTTATATTAAACACTTTTCTGATCGAAATAAGTGAAATTAAAAGAGTAATAATTTTAAAAAAAAAAGAAAAAAATATTCTCAACAATCATTAAAAACTAAACCTTCTCAAATGCAATTATGCTTTTCACCGAAGAATTATGGGGGGAACAGCTAAACTTTTTAATTGAAAACCACGTTCAATAAGATGGATTATAGGTAACTCACGCCTCCACATCCCATATTTACGTAATAAAATATTACCTTTATATATCAGTATTTTAAAAAGAAACAAATTAAATTTTTGAATATTTTTAAAAATGTGTACATGTATGTCTTTTTAGGTTATTCTTATTAGCAGAATCAATACAAGAAAACCATGTTTCCTGAAATCGTTGGCGCAATTATGCTTCCTCCCTTGATATGGGCAGCGTGGATTTACATAAAACATCTTGTTGACTGTTTAGTTTATCCCCGAGGACCATTTCCACTACCTTTTGTAGGAAATGCATATCTCTTCAGTAAAGGCAAACCTTATAAAGAATTTGTTAAACTTGGAAAAACTTACGGCAATGTATTTGGCTTTAGCATTGGTTCAATACGATATGTAGTCGTGAACAGCTTGGAAGGTATTCAAGAAGTTTTAATTAAAAAAGGTTCACATTTTGCTGGTCGTCCAAAGATTGCTAGTAAGTAGTTCTATTTTATACAAAGGACAAAAAAAGATTACTTGTCACATTTTTGGCTGGTTTTCATATGGCCGTAGGTAATTTGTAACTAAAACAAATTTTTATTTTCTTTTGGAAAAATTTTTTTTTTATTTGATTCCATAATAACCGGCCTTGAGTCATTATTGAAAAAATTTACTTTTTGAAATAAATTTAGCCTGAATGGCTAAATTATTTTGCGATTAGGGCATATTTTGTGATAAGACCGTTAGTTCTTCTTGAGGCACCTAAAACAAAAATTCAAAGAAAAAAAAAGTCTAAGATCTTCATTGTTTTTATTACAGATGGGTAGCATTATCTAACTTAGTAAATAACTATATATATATATATATATATATATATATATATATATATATATATATATATATATATATATATATATATATATATATATATATATATATATATATATATATATATATATATATATATTTAAAATTTAATCAAATATCATGTTATTTGTATAAATTTATAAGTTTATAAGTTTTGCATAATTGATTAAACTTTAAACATTAATGTTTTCAGCTTCATCAATTATGCAAAACTTATAACCAATTATTTTATACTTTTGATTTTTGTATGAATTTATGAGTTCATTGATAAATTTATGTTATATTCCACGGTGAAATTATGAGTTATGTAATAAATTTATGTTATATTCCACGGTGCTCTTTGATAAGGCTCTAAGGAACTTTTGGAGCACCTAAATAAAAAGAAAATAAAAACTTGAAAAATTTTGTTTGTTTGAAAATAAAATACACCGTTATCAGTATTAATAATGTTAAATAAGTACCAAATTCAGTTAAAAAAAAATAAAACAGAAAATATAAATACTATATATGTTTTATTTTTTACATTTTAATATTTATTAGTTTTTTTTGTTTTGTTTTTTGCCAGTTAATGAGCGCTATTGTTTATCTTATTGTAAACAACTTATATTAAATACCATATATACATTATGTAGACACACTTTGATATCAAAAAATTCAGATTCCTGCTTCTAGAGCGTCCATCTTAAAATCAACGGGGCTTACGAAGTGGTGATAAGTAGTGATAAGACAATTATTGTCATTTTTTGCCATGGTCATTTATACTTCACGAAATCGTAGAAATATTTTTACTGGAAAAACAAACCTTAAATTTGAAATACTGCTTTACTCAGACCAAAATAATTTAAAGAGTGGTTTATTTTGATAATCAATGCGAATTCAGGTCAAAAAGTTAGTAAAATATATACGAAAATAAATAAGTAAAATATATGAAAATCATTACCTTATAGTTATTATTTAGTAACCAGAATCAAGTTTTTTGATTTTCAGAAAACAATTATAATTTTTATGCTGTCTTAGATTGTTTTTACAGCATTAAGATCTATGTATATATATACATATGTGTATTTTTTAATTTTTTTTTTTGACAAAGAGCAACACACCAGGCTTCTCTGTTATGAAAATACAGTTTTTCAATTTAAGCTTAAGTGAAGATGCCGTAGCTGAGAAAGTTCGTGTTTAAAATTGTTCAAGTTCTTTGCGTCCACCGCGTTTTGGGTTAAAGAATTCCATAATCTTACAATACGGTTGGCGAAGAAGTTGCTTCTTTCAGCGCAGTTTCAGACAAGTTTTGCTCTTAGTTCTTTAGTGTGTCCACGCGGCCGAATACTGTACTTTGAAGATTCCGTGTTAGGTTGAAGTTGAGGGACGTGAAAGTTAACTTATCAGTTTTGGTCATGATTTTATATTGTTCGATAAGGTCTCTTTTTTCTCGTTGTTTAATTAGTGTTGTGAGGTTAAGGCTTGATAGTCTTTGAGCATACGAAAGGTATTTAAGGGGGGAAATATGTTTTGTGGCTCGGTGTTGAATTTTCTCAAGTTTGGCAATGTCTTGAGCTAAAAACGGTGACCTTTACTGCGAATTCTAGGTGAAAACATGCTAAAGATCCTTATTTCTAATAATTTTGCGTATGGCACACAATTATTTTCAACAAGTTTAATCAAAACTCTCTAATGTTCAGTTTTTAATTGTAACGGTTTTTCAAAATAATTTTACTATATTTTTGTTTATAAAATGTGAAATATTAAAGCATGAAATAATTTTAGCATTCAACAGAAATACGAACAGCCTCATTAACAGTGATCCAGGCCCGCGTTTTAAAATTTTACGAAAGTTAGCATCATCTTCTTTGAAAATTTACGCTGAGGGTTTATTGGGAATGGAAAGAATAGCAATCAGTGAATATTGTGAACTGAGTAAAAAGTTACAATCAATAAAAGAAAAACCAGTATCGGTTCATAAAATAATGGGTAAGTTATTAAAAGTAAATTTAAATTGATTCTTGTTATATAACTATCAATGGGAAACTGTTTTATTGTTAAAGTTGAAATATATATATAAACTGTGGTGTCCGGGCTAACCCCCTAATCCAACACTGACACTGCGTTTTCTAACCAATCTACAGTGTAAAGTTTACTCCCCTTCCTTTAGACTTATATTTTGAGGAAAAAGTCAAAAATTCCGCTGCGTTAAGAGTAAATATTTTGCTAAAAGGTCAATTTGCACTTTAATAAATTATTTAATTAATGGAGCAATCGCTTTATTAATTTATTAAATTTTCCAAAATTGCGCAAAATGTGAACAAAATTTTTTATATGTTACCCTTAAATCAACGTTTCATAGAAACAGATTAACAGTATATTTAAAATTAGCTTAAAAAGAATAAATTTTTTATAATTTTAAAAATGTATTATGAAAAAATATATAGTTGATTCGTGATCCTTACTCTCAAGAAACCTAATTTATAAATTATAAATAGCTAGAGTTTCACCAATATTTAAAGGGGGGAATTCAACCAATGTTTCAAATTATCGCCCTATTTCGATTTTGCCTGTTTTCTCTATAATTTTAGAAAGAATTTTATATAATATAATTTTCAATCATTTATCTTCAAATAATATACTGTATCAATATCAATACGGATTTGAAAAAAGTAATTCAACCGAACACGCTATACTCCAAACTACCCGCAATATTGCTGAATCTTTTGAAAAATCTCAATATACGTTAGGTGTTTTCATAGATTTATCGAAAGCCTTTGATACCATCGACCACAAAATCCTATTTAAAAAAATAGAGCATTATAGAATTAAAGGGAATATTTTAATGATTCTTAAAAGTTATTTAAGCAACCGTAAACAGTTTGTTTACATTAATACAACTGTCTCTTCCAATTTATTAGATATAACATGTGGGGTCCCTCAAGGTTCTATACTAGGACCTCTTCTCTTTTTAATTTACATTAATGATCTCCCTAAAGCCTCAAATTTAATGACGGTCATGTTTGCCGACGATACAAATCTTTTTTTAGCTCATAACAACATAACAACATTATTCCAAAATATGAATATTGAATTAACAAAAGTTTCTGACTGGTTTAAAGTGAATAAGCTGTCACTAAATGTTGAAAAAACTAAATGGATACTTTTTCATCAAACTTCAAAAAAAAAGCTACTACCTCCTGTGATGCCCTTACTTTTTATTGACAAAGTTCAAATAAAAAGAGAACAAACTACTAACTTTTTAGGAATAAATATTGATGAAAACCTTAGTTGGAAGTATCACATTGATTTATTGTGCAACAAAGTTGCTCGAAATATAGGAGTAATGTACAAGGCTAGAAATGCTTTAAATAAACACAGTTTAACACAATTATATTTCTCTTTAATCCATTGCCATATAAATTATGCAAATATTGCTTGGGGTAATACCAATAAATCTAAACTGCTACCTCTTTATCGTCAGCAGAAGCATGTTGCTCGGCTTATCAATTATAAAGATCGATTTGCTCATGCCAAACCATTATTATTTCAAATGAAAATTCTTAATATTTATCAGCTAAATATTTTTAATATACTTTGTTTTATGTTCAAGTGTAAAACCAACGAATCTCCAGTTTCTTTTCATAATCTATATACCTTAAAAGATAAAAATAAATATAACTTAAGAAATGATAATCAAATTCAGCAACCTTTATCTTTAACTAATTTTGGAAAGTCATGTATTTCATATCGAGGAGCTTTTCTATGGAACAAAATAGTTTTAAAAAATTTTGATTTTTCCCATGAATGGAATTATCTTTCATTCAAGAAAAAACTAAAAGAAATTGTTTTGTCTTTTGAAGACATTTTTTTATATTTTTAAATTCTTTTAAAAATTAATATGAAGTTTATTACATAAGGTAATATATAAATATTATATCTGATCCATAACTTATGTGTTTGTGAAAACAGTACTTTTTAAAATATTTTTGTATTTATATATAAGAGTATCAACAATTTCTTTATTCCAATTTTATTTATATATTATTACGAAATTTACGTTCTCGCTAATTTTTAATACGACATTGTTTAGATTTTATACTTCATGTTAATTTAATGTACTTAATATTCACGAGCGGTTCTCGATGATAAGACCTGAAGGTCTTCTGCGAGTCTCCGCGTTCTTTCTTTTTTGTATATATTTTCTTTTATTGTATAACGATTTTTATCTCAACTATCTTATTGTATAACTATATTGAATATTCAAGAAAAGAACAAAAAAAAAAAAAAAAAATTAAAAAAATATTTATAAAAATTAAGTTCAGAGTTTATAAATAAGTTCAAAGTTTAAAAATAAATTAAAAAATAAATTAAACTAGCTGAATAAATTGCTTAACATGTTATCATAAAAACATAACACTTAAAATTATAGAACAAATTGTATACTTTTAGATTTTTCAATATACACTTGTTTTGTGATAAGGTCATTATTATTATAAGAATAATAGTCCTGTTTTTTTCAGAGCAAAGCACACTTAACATTATTTGTACCATTCTTTTTAATCATCGCTACGAGGATGACAACCAGGAGTTTCAGGATATCATAAAATACTCAAGTTTAATCGTTCAAACTTTTAATGAAACCAGTTACGTATCTTCCATTCCATTGCTGCGCTATTTCCCAACGGCAACGTCGCGAAATATTTTTGAAATCATAAGGCTTCGTGATCCGATTTTAAAACGAAAACTCCAAGAGCACAGAAAATCTTACGATGAGAATAATTTACGTGACATAACCGATGCATTAATAAAAGTGTCTTTAGATTCAGAGATGGGTGAAGAATTAACTGAAAAGATTACTGATGATAATATTGAGTTTCTTTTAAACGATTTTATGATTGCTGGATCCGAAACTTCATCAAGTACTATTCTTTGGTTTATTGTTTACATGTTACATTGGCCAGAATACCAAAATAAACTTTATGATGAAATTACTAAAGTAGCATCAGATAACCGTTATGTATCTTTAAAGGATCGACCTATGCTTCATTTAATGCAAGCTGCAATTCATGAAACACTTAGACTGTCATCGGTGGTACCTCTTGGTTTGGTTCATAAAGCAATGGAGAACAGTAGCATTTGTGGCAAGTTTGTTCCTAAGGGAGCTCTTATTTTAACAAATTTATGGAGTATGCATCACGATGAAAGCTATTGGAAAAATGCAATGAGTTTTTACCCGGAACGTTGGCTGGAAAAATCTGGCGAGTTCAATTATAAATTGGGGTACGCATATTTACCGTTTTCTAATGGACCTCGTAGTTGTTTAGGAGAAACATTGGCAAAAACAGAGTTGTTTGTGTTTATTACACGATTACTTAAAGATTACCGATTTGAAATGCCAACTGGAAAAGAGTTACCTTGTTTAGATGGTCGTTCTGGAATCACCTCCCCTCCTAATGACTTTGAAGTCGTGATAATTCCAAGAAATTAACTATTTTTGCTTCACTTTTCTGTATTTTTGCTTTATATAATATTTAAAAATTTCAAAAATATTTAATAACCAAGGAAACGTAGAAAAGCAAGATAAAAAGTTGTTAAAAAAAGTTTCTTTTTTTTTTTTTTTAATTTTTAAATTCCTTTTTTTAAAGAAAAACGGAAAAAAATGGCGTCCGTTTCTTCCTAAAGTTTTTTCTGTAAAAACTTTCAAAACTGAATTACATTAAATGCACTAAATTTTGATAAACAAGTAACAAAAAATAAAGTAAATTTTTTTTTTAGATTCATAAGAGAGTTTTGTGATTGCTTGAAGAGTTTAAAAATGTGTAACTTTAAAAGCAAATAAGTTTCTTTCTTTTTTAATTTAAATTGATGCATAAATAACTTTACGCATTCTTATATAAATTTAAATGACTTTACAAACACCAGTATGAGTTTTATGCTAATCACTCCACAAGCCACTCTCTTATTGAAATCACTAAGTTGATTCGAAAAGCTCTTGATGATAAAAACTTTGACTGTAGTGCCTTTGCATGTAGTGCAAAAAACTTTCAATAAAGTAGATTATTTTAAAAAAGCATTTTAGACCGATATTTGAAATAAGAATTTAAAATTTAACTTTTTATAAGAGGTATTAAAGTCAGATAAAGTTCTCTTGAAGCCATAGTTCAAAGATTTATCAAGCATAAAGCTGCATAAAAATCAATCCGATTAAATTGAATTATATTGAAAAAATTCAAAAAAATTAGTTTCAATACTTTTAAGGATACGTTGGCAGTTTTTTTTATCTACAATGATTATTTTTAACTACCAACCCATCTTTTTATTTTTCTAATTTAAGCAATTTTTTTTGAAAACGCTCTGCATAAGAAGCTCTACGCATTGAACTTTATCCTACTCTGCATAAAAAGCTCTTTGCATTGCACTTTATTCTACCCTGCATAAGACGCTCTACGCATTGCATTTTATCCTTAAAAATTAGAAAATTATGGAATAAGAATAATACCTCCTAAACGGTTTATTTCTCATCTTTACAACAGATCGAAGTTTGTTTTCATTAATGACTCAAGCTCAATTAAAATAAAATATTCTAATGATTTCCCTCAAGGCTCAGTTTTAGGACCACTTTATTTTAATCTTTACATTAATAACTTCATTTTAATCTTTACATTAACAATCACATTAACTATGATTTTTACTATTTAGTTCAGTGGCTTCGTTCAATTAAGCTTTCTTATAGTCAAATAATATTTAATAAGTCAATAAAAACTCAACCTTTAGATTAATTGGGAAGAAAATTAATTCTGTAAAGTCAATCAAATATCTTGAAACTAAAATTGACTCCAACTTTTCATTTATACCCCAACTTGAAGACTTAGACATGAATTTAAGCAGATTAAATGGAATGCTGGGAATCTTTAATCTGACTAATGTTTGTCATTATGTCAATCTGAAAACACTTTTAATTATATGCCATACTATTGGCTCTCATATACAGTATTCTTATAAATTTTGAGACAATCCTAACAACTTGCTTTTAAAAGGATATTTCATCTTCAAAACAATGCATTAAAGATGATGTATTTCCAGCATTACAATTTAATCATAATGTACTTTATCTTACTTCTAAGATTCTTAAACTTTGTGATCTTGTTCAACTCCTAATTTACTAGTATTTATATATATCATATGTATTTATATATATCATATGTATTATTAAATAATATGAATTGATTGATTTTTGATTGGTTGATTATAATTGAACTTCAAAATGTATTTAATTGAATTCACAAAGTATATTTTTAGTCAGAAAAGTTTATATGAACTTTTTAGTATGACACTGAAGATCAGGTTGCATAAATGTTATTTTTCCAATGTGAGAAAACAACTTTTTTAGTTGTAGAATTAGTCCGATTTAAGGTGAAGACTGATCTTGTTATATTGTTCCTTGAGCTTAGTTTAAGAACTTTTATTTATATTTTTATTTGCTGCAATTTATTTTTCTCAACTGCAAATAGACTATAATTAAAAATAAATAGACAGCAGAAAATATTTGCGCTCAAGTTAATATATATAAATAGCCATGCTATCCAATCCAACCCCCGTCATCCAAGCCCCGTGTTAAATGGTAACAGTAACATATTTTTTATAAAATACAAATACAAATAAGAAAATCCTATTTGAAACTAAAAGAACTGTACATTGAAACTAAAAGAACTGTACACCTAAAAACAAAATAACTTCCTTGCATAAAAGCAAAAAAATTATACAAAGCTTGATTTTTTAAAAGGTTATATGGGCTGTTATTGTTGATATTTTGCAACAGCCATTTTGGTATGAAGAAAAAGACAACAGTTTCATTGTAGATGAATTAAAAACTAAATATGTGAAACACTACAAAATATTTAAATGCAAAGTTTTCGAAAGTGACTGTTCAATCGAAGGAATGCTTTCTATAGTAGCTGTCAAATTTCAATTGACATAATAGCAAATGATGATCAATCGCATACATTTTATCCTCTCCCAATAACATGTATCCTACTCTCTCTTATATCTTTCCTTTAACTATTGGGAGAATTTTTTTATTTGGTACATTGCAAACATCCTAGTTAAATGTTTTTTCGTGGTCATCTGTGATAAGAACTTATAAACTTCTTCCGTGGTGTTCTGTGATAAGACCTTATAAACTTCTGTGATAAGACCTTATAAACTTCTTGGGGGACAATAATAACAAAAAAGAAAAAAAAAAAGAAAAAATTGGGAGAATGAAGTCCTTTCGCCATGTTCAACTTTTTACTTGTAGCTTAATGTACGACTAGTTAAAACTGTATTTTGAATATCAGAATATAGTCTGCATTTCTTTTCGATATTGTAAACAGTATTATTCATTTTACGTGTGGTTTTGGTGTATTTTTCATAAACTTTATCGAAAATCTTTAGAATTATGTCTTCTGAACGATTTTTTACCTGCTGTACACTTGGTAAACCTTAGATTAAAAGCGTTCATTCATTCAATTTCTAAATGAATGAAAACGTTCATTCATTTTCTCTCGGAGAGATGCTTACTCAACGGGTTTTATTTTTTCTTGATGTTTCACTATTGAAAATTTTTCATTTAATCGACAAATCAATGCTCTTCATTTTAGTTTATTTATTTGCGCAGAATAACTACAACCCATTTTTTTATTCCGAAAAACTTTTTGTCTGGAATTTTGTCTGGAAAAACAGCTAATTTTTTTTGACTTCATCACTAAAGTTGGTAAAAGTTCTTCTATTTGACCACAGATTTATAAAAGTATTAGCTATGGCTGGCGATTATGCTTCTACTACTTGTACAATACTAGTTAATTTCCGGTTGTTATTGACTATTTATTTTTTGCCAGACTTCTGCTAATTTAAAAGAAGAATAGAACAAAACTTGTTTTACACAGCGATTCATGACGGCTGAAACAAAACAGAATATTTACATAAAAACAACTCATATAAATCAATTTAATGTTGTTTAATGTTAATTAATTAATTAAATGTATAAACTTTTACCCAAAAATCCCTTTCACGAAAACCGTTTTTATAAAATTTTACGAAATACAAAGTATAAGACAATTGTAACAAAAGCTATTCATGCTTAAATTTATGAGAAACATTTAAGTGTAACATAGTACCCAAATCACTTTCACGAAAACCGTTTTTATAAAATTTTACGAAATACAAAGTATAAGACAATTGTAACAAAAGCTATTCATGCTTAAATTTATGAGAAACATTTAAGTGTAACATAGTACCCAAATCACTTTCACGAAAACCGTTTTTATAAAATTTTACGAAATACAAAGTATAAGACAATTGTAACAAAAGCTATTCATGCTTAAATTTATGAGAAACATTTAAGTGTAACATAGTACCCAAATCACTTTCACGAAAACCGTTTTTATAAAATTTTACGAAATACAAAGTATAAGACAATTGTAACAAAAGCTATTCATGCTTAAATTTATGAGAAACATTTAAGTGTAACATAGTACCCAAATCACTTTCACGAAAACCGTTTTTATAAAATTTTACGAAATACAAAGTATAGGACAATTGTAACAAAAGCTATTCATGCTTAAATTTATGAGAAACATTTAAGTGTAACATAGTACCCAAATCACTTTCACGAAAACCGTTTTTATAAAATTTTACGAAATACAAAGTATAAGACAATTGTAACAAAAGCTATTCATGCTTAAATTTATGAGAAACATTTAAGTGTAACATAGTACCCAAATCACTTTCACGAAAACCGTTTTTATAAAATTTTACGAAATACAAAGTATAAGACAATTGTAACAAAAGCTATTCATGCTTAAATTTATGAGAAACATTTAAGTGTAACATAGTACCCAAATCACTTTCACGAAAACCGTTTTTATAAAATTTTACGAAATACAAAGTATAGGACAATTGTAGCAAAAGCTATTCATGCTTAAATTTATGAGAAACATTTAAGTGTAACATAGTACCCAAATCACTTTCACGAAAACCGTTTTTATAAAATTTTACGAAATACAAAGTATAGGACAATTGTAACAAAAGCTATTCATGCTTAAATTTATGAGAAACATTTAAGTGTAACATAGTAATCTAACTCCACTTAGTGATAAAAAAAACTCACTAAAAATATAGGTTGTATAGAGAAATATGCAAAACCTGTCATAAAAAATAATTTTATGACTATGCTAAATTTAGACTAATTAAATAATAGAAAAATTAATATTTTAATGAACCAGTGGGTACAATTTTTGCAGCTTTCAAAAAACTTAAAAAACTGTATATAAAATGGAAACATGAAAAAACACATTAGGGATCGCCCATAGATTACGTCGCGCAATTTTCGATCTCCACCCCCCCCCTCGGCACACGATCGTTGTACTTTAGTAACAGGTTTTACTTTACAACTGTGAGTTAATTTTTTTTTTCTTTTTTTTTTCGGTTTTGATGTAAATTATTACTTTGTATTATTTTGACTAGTATAAATTTATTTGAATGATACTTTTAGGTAATGTTAAAAATGTTTTTTTATTTTTATTAATTTTATTGCAAAAATTTATTATATTCCTTGACTTTTTGACATAAATTAGAATTTCCCTGACTTTTCCAGGTTGATGTTCACCCTGATTTTTAAAACATTGCAACATCTTTTTACGATCATATTACCGTTAACTATGGCCTTAACTTGCTTTAATAAATAGGATCAAGTTGTTGTAATTAAGAAAATTATTTCTGTTAAATTTATGAGATTAATTTTTAAAAGGGAAATTTTTTTTTCAACTTATCTCAATGCTAGGTGCGACATCAGCAACTTAAAATACATTTACCGCATTTTATTTTAAAGTATTTTATTCTACTAACAAATTATTTAAACCGAATGTTTTCTATACAAAAATCTCGTACGTTTTATTCATAAATTATACTTTAGTTAAAGAAGAAAACCTTGAAACGCTACAAAAAACATAAACTTTGACAATAAAGAAAAACCTTTAAAAATTGAAAGGGCAAAGGTAGAAAACAAGATATTTCGAATAAAATATAGAAAATGGCGTCTGAAGTGGGCTTTAAAGTAAGAAAAATGTATCAACTTTAAAAGATATAAATTTTTATTTTAAAAAGGAAACAATAATACTAAAAACATAAAAATTATTCATTAAAATTTTATCCAAGTTACGAAAATAAACAACAACGTCACTTAATACGACAAATGAAACAATCGTCGGCGTTATTTTATCCTTCTTGTCCAAAATCTTCGGTGAATTTCTTTAGTCTAGTTAAATCTTCTTCATTTATGGTTGGTCGAATAGAGGCTAACGAACGATTCATGTCGGACTAGAAAAATTTTTTTTTTTGTATTTATAAATGAAGAATTGAGATCTACAAACTCATCATTAAAAATAACTGTATAAACATGCATCGAAGTATTATTAGAACAAAATAAATGTAAATAACATAAAATATTTTTTTTACAAGTATTTTTTAACAATGTTAACTTTAAAACTAAATTGAAAAAAAGGGGAAGATTTTTTGTTTATTATTTTTTTAATATATTTTCACTATTGTTTTGATCTAATTTTGCATTTATTAGTATTTTTTTATATACATGAACTTAGGTCTTTAAGTGAAAAGATGTATTACGTTACACGCAACAATAATAGCAACATTATTAAAACAGTTTTATCATCTGAAAACTTGTTTAGCATCAAAAGTCTTTAAACTTAACAACTATTGAAACTTAGTATATTACTTAATATATTATTTACTTGGTCCTGAAAGTAGTTTTACTTGGTCAAAATACTATAAAAAACTATTATAATACAATAGTTCTCAAACTGGGAATCTGAAGACCTAACGGTGAAAATTTATTTTAAAAAATTGAGAAATTCTGTTAAACTAACAACTTACGCCTTATTCTTAAATAATTTAATAATGAAAAAAAATAATTTTTTTGTTTACTAACTCATAAGAAAAATCTAAATAAGATATGTATACAAAATGAAATATATTTGATAAAATGCACTAATGTTAAATCATTACTTTAAATATTAGTGTACCATAAAACACAGTTTAATGGGTTGCCACTATAACTCTGGAATAAAATTCTAGATATTAACAGATATAATTTTCCTTATAGATTTCTATCATGGGTATAAACCCGCAAACTTAACATTAAAATTTCGACATTTTTTTCTCTATAAGATTGACTCTGGACTGATGCAACTAGTTGAATCAGTCCAGAGTCAATAAAAAAATAATTGATTTACAAATTTTTCGAGAAATTCAATGATAATAAGCCGACACATTGATCACATCTTGAGATAACTTTTCTCTTCAATTCCCTAATGTTACATTCTACAGCAAATCAAATTGTATTTGATTTTGATGATACAGAGTCTCCTTTTTAGTGAAATCTAATTGCAAAAGTAGCCTCACATTAAAGTTGCCTCACATTGATCATGTTGCTTTATTTGATTAAACCTATGAAATTTTAGCTGTCGAAAACAAATATTCAAAGAGAAATGGAATCATTACTTTACTAACTCTTTACTAAAAGTGTTTAAAATCTTAATAGCACCATCGTTTGATTGTTGAAAATGAAATCATTTGTAGAACCAAGATGTAAAATTTGACTTCCTAGCAAAGATTTTCAGATAAGTTCAAACGAATCTGATATTTATTTGTATCAGTAAGATGTCATTTAATTATAAACTGGTAACTAAGAAAACTTTCAACTTTTGAATATCTTCATTAAAATGAAAACCCATTGCAAATACTCATAGGAAATTGAGATTAAAACTTGTTTTAAAAGTGAATGACTTGAATGATCAAAAGTGAAACATCACAGATTTATATATATATATATATATATATATATATATATATATATATATATATATATATATATATATATATATATATATATATATATATATATACACATATATATATATATATATATATATATATATATATATATATATATATATATATTCAAAATAAGATATGAATATGAATGGAAATTGAAGATTGAGATAAAAATGAGATACAAAGATGATAAATGATTTAGATTCACCCCTCCCCTACAAAAAAAAAAAAAATAAAAAAAATAATTAAGAATCATTTAACAACACAATTTAATAAACTGTCACAAGACTGTATGTAAAAACCAAGTCCAAACAGATGTATATACATACCAGGTATACCGGTATGAAATGAGCGTTTTTTGTGAAAATAAAACACTAATTATTAATGGGAAAGTATAAAACATTTTATTCAAAGTATTGGCCATTGTTTTCTACATATTTTGACCACCTTTCTGGCAATTTGTGGATACCACGCCAATAAAATTGTTCGTTTTTTAAAGCAAACCAACCAGACACCCAATTTTCGACCTCCTCGTAGGAATCAAAGTGCTGCTCAGCCAATGCGTGTCCCATCGATGAAAACAAATGGTAGTCGGAAGGAGCCAAGTCTGGTGAATACGGCGGGTGGGGTAGCAGCTCCCAGCCAAGTGTTTTGATTGTATCCTGAACCGGTTTTGCTTTGTGTGCAGGTGCATTGTCATGGAGCAAAATTACCTTGCCGTGTCTTCTGGCCCATTCTGGTTGTTTCTCGATCAATGCATGGTTCAAATTGATCATTTGTTGTCGGTAGCAATCAGTATTGACGGTTTCACCAGGTTTTAGGAGCTCGTGGAACACCACACCTTTCTGGTCCCACCAAACACACAGCATTGTCTTCTTGCCAAATCGATCTGGTATTGCAGTCGATGTTGATGGTTGTCCCGGATTAACCCATGATTTTTTCCGTTTAGGATTCTTAAAATAAATCCATTTTTCATCGCCAGTAACAATCCGATGCAAAACTGATTTTCTTTCGTGTCTTCGAAGCAAAATTTCACAAGTGTTTTTTCGGTTTTCCATCTATCTTTAATTCAATTCATGTGGCACCCATTTTCCACACTTTTGGATCTTTCCCATAGCTTCTAAACGGTCAGAAATTGTTTGTTGTGCAACATTTAACATTTCTGCCATTTGCTTTTAACTCAAAGTGTCATCTCCATCCAATATCATTTGCAATTCGGCGTCTTCAAACTTTTTTGGTGGTCTTCCACGTTCTTCATTTCTCACATCAAAATCATTATTTCTGAACCGTTGAAACCATCTTTTGCATGTTGCTTCTGATAGAGCATGATCACCATATGCCTCGACAAGCATTCGATGCAACTCTGCAGCACTTTTCTTCAAATGAAAACAAAAAATTAATGCTTTCCACAAATCATCACTTTCCGGTACAAAATTCGACATTTTTAACACGATGAAAAAATATGATGTTGTCTGTTCAATGACTTGATGTATACTAAATATGTTTCACAGATGTCATAGCAAACAAACAAAAAAAAATAAAGGCTCGTTCACAACAAATGTTCCCTATCGAGACATTTGTATCTTGACACTCACTTCATACCGGTATACCTGGTAAACTTACATGATTTAAATTGACAATAAAATTTAGTCACTTACAAAAGAAACTACTGGTTCTAGTAATTTGTTTCCTGGAACATCCATCCAATTCATTTCAATTGCTCCACGATCACCTTTAATAAGGTAATTAAACAATATTAATATTGATTGATTGATTATGAATACAACTCAATAAAAGATAAATAAGGGATCAAAATATGAGATTTCAATAAATTAAAAAAAAAAACTAACCTGGTGAACATGGAGAAAGTAAGTCATCAACTATTTTACTAGGATCTTCTCTTGAAGGTCCACTTACCTAAATATAATTTTTTTTTGACATCAGAATATTACTTACGTTACGCTTCATATTACATCAGTTACATATTACATCATATTACATCAGTTACGCTTTTGCAATTGTCTTGTTAACTTTTTTTTACCTTTTTAAAGTGAGTAGCTGATTGAACTTTTTTTTACCTTTTAAAGTGAGTAGCTGATTGAACTTTTTTTTACCTTTTTAAAGTGAGTAGCTGATTGACCTTTTTTTTACCTTTTTAAAGTGAGTAGCTGATTGAACTTTTTTTTACCTTTTTAAAGTGAGTAGCTGATTGAACTTTTTTTTACCTTTTTAAAGTGAGTAGCTGATTGACCTTTTTTTTACCTTTTTAAAGTGAGTAGCTGATTGACCTTTTTTTTACCTTTTTAAAGTGAGTAGCTGATTGAACTTTTTTTTACCTTTTTAAAGTGAGTAGCTGATTGAACTTTACGAACAGGCTGCATAAGTGCATCTCGAACTACAACACCAATGTCAGCACCGGAGTATCTAAGTTAAAATTTAAACAAAGGTAGAAAGATTTTGATAATTTTTATTAACTGGAAGAAAAGAATGGAAACAATTGAAATGGAAGAAAATAATGAAAACACTTGAAATGGAAGAAAAAAATGAAAACAATTAAATGCTAGAAAATAATGGAAAGAACTTAAACAAAAGTTAGGGGAAAGAAATAGTAGTAAACTATTAACACTACGATCTTTATAACTAATATTGCTATTAATTTTATTATCAATATAAATGTAATTATATCATATAAATACAATTATATTATATGAATATAACCTATATATTTGTATAGTTACATTAATAATTAAATATCAAGTAAAATTAAATAACTATTAAATATAATTAAATATAAAATAAAAATAAAATAAACATTTTGACAAAAATGAAATTACTATTTATTTAGAAAGGGGTAAAAATGAATTAGTTTAGGTTAATCTATTTTAAAAACAAAAAAAAACTAAAAACAGAGTAAATTTTATGAATCACTAGAAACACAACAGTGATACTCTAAATGTGAAAATGAATAAAAATGCTAATATTTTGAAATTAGTAGATGGAAAACTGTATTTGGAATTTTGAAAAAGATTCCATCACATTCTGAAAGTTAAAGAAACCTCCCTAAATTAAAAAACTAAAATCAAATTAAATAATTTGTTAAATGCATACTACTATTCAAAATAATTGCATGTACTACTTATTTTTATCTTTATTTTTTTTTTAAATTTAGGTACCCCAAGAAGACCTAACGGTCTCGTCACAGAGCACCGCAGAAGTGCGTTTAACCAAGAAGTTCACACTTCCTTCCTTACTGTGACACAAAAAAACGTCCAAAGCTCGTTTTGAACCTGGATCTCCTGTTTATAAAGCAAGCACTGTAACCACTGCGCCACAGCCGTACCTTCTAATGTTGTTCACCTCCATAAGGCCAAGAGGGCCACTACAGTTAAGGAGGCCACTTTATTGTGGTAATAATCCTCTCTCAACTTTTTGACTCCAAAACACAAACCCTGAAGAACAAGGTTACTGCACAGAGAAACAAGTTGAGTGTGGTATCAGGGACATGGTGGGGATTAAACTTGGAACTTCTTGCTTATGAAGTGAACGCTCTGCCACTACACCACTACTACATACATTGTACATGCAACTATTTTGAATGACTCATAAATGAAAAATGAAAAAAGATAAAATATATTTTTTGAAAACTTATGAAATAAGTAACTTTAGTTAAAATTTAATGTTGTAAATATTTAAATTTTTGTTTTTACTTTTTGTTGTTTATTGATTATTTATTAAATATTGTAATTTACCCTTCAGAACGCTGTGCAAGTACTTTAAAATCATTTTGTGTTAACGAATGAGGTGTTGAACCAATGTGTAAACTAAACATTGAAGCTCGTGCTTGAGCATCTGGCAACGGAATGTAAATTCGCTTCTCAAATCTAAAATCATAAACTTTGTAAACAAATTTATTTTCATTTATTATTTAATAGTTTCAGTTCAATTATAAATTTAAATACCATCATCATCATCATCATCATCATCATCATCATCATCATCATCATCATCATCATCATCATCATCATCATCATCATCATCATCATCATCATCATCATCATCATCATCATCATCATCATCATCATCATCATTAACATCTTTTGTAAGTTGGTCACTTAATACAAACCTGTGTAAATATATAGATTTTATATAACATGCTTTGCAGGCCAGGAATGCTTTTATAGTGACATTTTAAAGATTATATGTTAAAAACTGCATATACAACATTAAAATGATGACATAAAAAATTTCACTATAAGGCTATAAAAAAAATATATTTACACATATCAGTATTAATAAGCATACACGCTTGAAATTACCATACTGTTGTAGATTACAACACATAAAATAATCAAAAATTTAAAATTTTTGAATTTTTTAAAAAATTTTAAACTAAAAGTTTAAATTTCTAATAAAATATTTTACTTTAGATTACAAACTATTGACAGGTTCTGAATTTCATCAACGATTTTACTTTATGAGGTTATTGAGAAAATTTGTTGCAAATAATATTTTAATAAAATTTAAAAGAAATAACTATTGGTTTAACAACCATATTTTTTAACCTTTTAACAAACAACATACCTTTCATTGATAATATATTTTTCTAATTTAAAAAATAAAACTAATAATTTTAGTATTACTTGGTTTATTTATATTAGTTACAGTGCCAGATTGAAATGTTGAAAATGGTTAAAATGTAGTGTATGTAAACCATTTAGTAATTAGAGGTGTTATTTACAGATGATTACTTATTATTTGTTAATTATTATAAACAAATTTTTCCACTTTTAAAAAAAAGATTTTTCCTTAATATTTGTCAAATAAAAATTGGCACAACTGTTGCTTTTTATTTAAATAAATTTATTTACAAAAATATTTATTTAATCAAAGTTTGCTCATTCTTAAGCATTAAAAAAAAAAAAGAAAACCTATCTTATGAAATATCTTATATCTTATGACACGATTTTGAATGTGATGCTTTTGTAACCATACAAAAGGTGTAGCTTTCACTACATTCAACTGTGATACACCACTTCAGTCTCAGTTCACTGAATTCACAGAACTTACTGAATCCAAATGTTCAGAGTAAAACTTCTCAAACTCAAAAAAAAAAAAAAATTTTTTTAAACAAAGTAATATTAAGTGTTTTTGTTCAAGTAAATTTTAGCAAACATGCTTTGCTCATTTTTCAACTTTTCTCAAAATTATGTTCTGAAACTGAAAATGATTTTCAAAGTTTTTTCAATTGACCAAATTTCAGGAATTAATGTTAGTAACTAAACTTTTTCTTACTTAACACTTTTCATTTTTTCTTTCATTGCATCTAAAAGTAAAAATCATTGGATCTATATATAATGCTGATACTACTAGGTTTCTTATAGTCGCCTCCAGTTTTTTAACTTTTTGCTTTCCATAACCTAATTTATTATGTTTATTTACATTCTTGAAAGAAGATTTTTCCAATAAAGATATACTCATATATAAATTTTATTCAATTAAAATTGATCTAAAATTAATTAAAGTAAGGTCTGCTGTTGATTTATTGACATAATCTCAAAATAATTGCCTTCTTGTGGACTTTAAATGGATCACATTATAAATTGCTTTAAGGACATCTTAAAATAAAAAAATTATCTTACAATGAAATTTTTTTTATGGCAAAAACATATCTTTTCGTTTGGTTTATTACTGTTAATTATCATGTTGTTTTTGCTATTTCTTAGTGTTTATTTGTAATTCGCATGCTTTGTTATCAAATAATAAACAAACTTGATCCCATTATACCCCTGGTAATACTAGGAACATCAGACTCAATATGTTTTTCTGTGCAAGAGTACTTATTCATCAAGGTTCTTGTTTCATGTTGTTAAGAGAGGGTTCTAACAACAATTGAAATGGAAGAAAAAAAATGGAAACAATTTAAGTGGAAGAAAAGAATGGAAACAATTGAAATGGAAGAAAAGAATGAAAACAATTAAATGGAAGAAAATAATGGAAACAATTTAAAGGGAAGTTAGAGGAAAGAAATAGTAGTCATTTTAACAATAAAAATTATTATAAGTTTGTTATATGTTGTTTGTTTTATATTTTAAATATTTTTAATGAAATAGTGTTCTCAGAAATTATATAAAAGTCTCTTATAATTAGAGTGTTTTACTGTTCCTATGACACCTCACAATATAAACAGTGACTCTTTAAAATAAAGTAAAATGAATATAGTACATACAGTAAAGTGTTAGTGGTTATTGTGTACCGTCAATTGAAAACCCATAGCTTAATAACTGAGCTATTGAGTAATTTATTACACCACAATCAATAATGACTTGTTTTACGTTATGAAATTTTACTCCTTCTTCATTATACCACAATCAATAATGACTTGTTTTACGTTATGAAATAAGCATTTACTAGTTTATTTAAATACTCATTGATTAACATCTTATAATAAAATACCTTCTTCGAATAGCACTGTCTAAAGCCCATGGGATATTTGTGGCACCTAATACAAGAACTCCTTCATTGTCTGTTCCAACACCTAAATAATTAAAAAATTAGCATTCAAGTTAAGATTTTTTATCATATTAATATCAAAGTTTAACTTTAGTAAATTTCACTTTTTTTATGAAAAAGTGAAATTCGCTATGAATTTAAATTTTTTAAGTATTGAAATTTTATATGAATTAAAATTTCAACTCTTTTTTTTGCAAAAAAAAAAGTTATTTTTTGATTCTTAAAAAATATAATACCTTGCATTTGAACTAAAAATTCAGTTTTAATTCTTCGAGCAGACTCACTTTCTGAGTCACTGCGAGCTGAACAGAGTGAATCAACTTCATCGATGAATATAATTGATGGTTTACTTTCTCGAGCAAGTTGAAACAATGATTTTACAAGCCTAAAAACAATAACAACAAAAAAAAGCACTTAAAAAGTTTTGAAATAATGTTAAAAATCAAAGATGCAAACACTGGTAAAGGGAAAAGAAAAAAAAGATAAAAGGAAATGATTAGCTAGACTGCAATGCACAAGTTGATTAGCTTCCACTTTTGTCAACCAATAGATGTGTAAAGAAATTTCATATTTGTTTTGAATTTTGCTTGTTGTTTTTTGAGACAATGATTAATAGTTCAGGATTTTGCTATAATCTGTTTATAGAGCCAACACGATGATGCATTAGATAAGCATGTGTTGAGCTGGACTTAAACCTTCAGCTAGAAATCTGAGTTCATTAAAAAGCTTCAGACACTAAATTTTTTTGATAAATATTGTCCAAAATGTTTTTATTTCAGCTAAACATTACTAAAATCATTAGGCTTTAAAACAATGAAATCTGGTGTAACTCTCAGAGGTCATCCACTATTTGGTTATGAAATTGTAATGGTTTTTCCTAGTGTTGCATCAAATATGATGCTATTTACTCAGCTGTAGCAACGTCTTGTGTGGCAAGTAGCTTAACATTTTTCCTTTGGTTGATTGTTTATGATAGTGACCAACCCTTGTCCAAAGAGCTTAGCATTTCTATTTTGCATTCCTTCCTGAGAACTTTTAATGGTTTCCTTATATTCAATGGGTTCTTTTCACTTAGCTTTAAGCATCCTATTTGCCAAATCAAGAAACTCCTGTCTCTTTCAGGTCATATTTTGATGGTAGAGAAATCAAAACAAGAAAGTATTTCCCCTAATCTTTTCTGCAAATGGTTAATCAACATGCCTCACATATGCTTTAATGAATTTTTGCATCAGATACTTACATCAGATATTAATGTTCATTTGAATTCTTTGTTCTGTATAAGTTACTGTATGGTATTAAATACAGTATTTAAATAGTAATTCGTGTATTATTCATACACAGCATGCAGGCATTTTTTCTATTATTCCTGTTATCACCACAAGACCTAGCTAGATTTGGCATTTTGAAATAATTCTGCAACTAAAAAAATCTAGAAAATGGTGGCACAGTGGAAATACTATTAATTTTGCAAACAATGTTTGCATAGTGGTATCAACAAAAATACACCAATGAGTGGAAAGCAAAAACCTGATTGTTGTAAAAATACTATGAGTTACCAATATGGAATTTACAGATACGTCTGGATTTCCTGAGTAAAAAACTTAACTAAGAATGTTCAAATATATAAGATAGACCAAAAAAAGGTAATCATGAATAATATTTAAAAATTTATATCAAAAATGCATTATTGTAGCTTATTATAGCATTATATAGCATTATTATATAGCATTATTATAGCATTATCATAGCTTAAATTAGTTAATAAAATCCATGTTAAAAATCTTGTGGTTCATTTTCAGAGCCAAACACTAAGTTGTTTTCTTTATTGATTATAAAACAACATATTATTATTAGTTTTTATTACAACAGTTATAAAAGGTGCAGTTCTGAGCATCAAAATTACAGATTTTTAGAATAGTATGACTATATATATAAGACACATAATAAAACATAAATAAGACACAGTGACACATAATGAACATAAATTAGACAGTGACACATAATGAACACAAATTAACAATAAAAATTATCATACAAATTAAGTTGTAAAAGTTCAAAAATGATCAATGTTCATTTAATACATTATTATTTGGAATAATAAAAAAAAAACTAAATAAGGAAACTAAAATAAAATTCAAGTGCAATATATTCTTAATTAATATTAAAAAAAAATTAGTACAGGTACCCTGTACTAATTTTTTTTCAATATGTCTATGATATATAAAAATTGTCACCATTACCTTTGAGTTTACTTTCTACTTTACAACATCTCTAAGTTCAAGAGTTGGTTGATTTGTACACATTATTTGTGAATAGCTGAACAATGATTTGACCTCAACCTGTGGAACAAAAAATTGAGACCCATCCCTGTATTTTTCGGATGGCAGAAATGTTCCAAGACATTCTTTCAAGTGAAAAATTGATCAACTTGACCTCAATACAATTTCCTCTTCTTTCCTAGTTCTAAGCAAACTTTAACAACTGTCTTAATTCAACTCGAAGTTGGTTATTTTTCAATGAAAACTTGAAATCAATCAAAATATATTAGCTAATGTTATGTGTATGTTAAGTAATTTCTCACAGTTTCATCAAATTGCTTATGTAACAATTTGGTAAAATAAACAATTTCAGTCTGAATTATAGAAAGCAACATACCTTCTAAAAGTTGCTTTACAATAAGCTTTGAAGGTGGAAAAAAATTGAAAAAAAAGTTTATATAAAAAAAAAATATAAAAACTCACTTTTCAGACTCTCCTAACCATTTTGAAACCAAATCTGATGATGAAATTGAGAAAAATGTTGAATTGTTGGCTTCCGTAGCAACTGCTTTTGCCAAATAAGACTTGCCAGTACCAGGAGGCTATAATGAAAAACGATGCTAACATTATGACAAGTAAAACAATTTTTCTACCATAGTAAACATTAGAATTTATTTTAGATTAGTAAACATTAGAAATTATTTTTAATTTAATTAACTCCTTTGTATCCACTTAATTTTAATTAATTTGCCTAAATTGTCTATTACATATTACAAACTTCATCTTCCAGTCTCAAACTTGTGGACTTATACATATTTAGTTTAGAAGTTTTCATATTGCTAAAATTTATTATTTTTTTGGTAAACAGGTATTTTTAACTTACTTTACTGAGATAAAATTTTGATATTTATGTATAAAAAATGAAATGTTAATACAAGTGTATTATTAACTGATGTAAATTTATAAATAAATCTACTTATAAATTTACATTTTTGTACTTATCAATAATATTATAAAAAATTTGAAACACTACATATTACACTTAAACAAAACTTTCAAACTTTATTTCTAAGAATTTTATGTAGATTAAACCACTTTGTAAAAAATATTTTATTAAAAAATTTTTTTACAACTACAATAAATTAATATTATCATAACTACTTTGATTTGTCAAACTTTGTTATTAGTCTAAAAAAAGATTTCTATCTAATTGCATAAATATGATTTTATATTTACGGATTTTAAATGCATATTAAAATCCATTAAGCATAAGAAATTTACAAAATTATATATTATATGACTATGACTATAGAAATGCTAATTAACACATATAATGTGGATTAATTTACTAACAGTTTTATCTTTTGTTGGAGCAATATATATATATATATATATATATATATATATATATATATATATATATATATATATATATATATATATATATATATATATACATATATGTATACATATATATATATTAGGGTGGATCATAAAACTTTTTTTTAGAGTTTTTTTATGTACTAATTTAGAAAAGTATTTACTTTTATGGATTGAACAATGTCTTCCACCTGCAACTATAATTACAAAAATTAGCAGGCCTTATTATTATTCAAAAAAAAAGTTTTTCAAAATTGTGTGATGTAGGTACTCAAATAAAGCGAAATTTTTTTAAAAATTTCAAAAATAATAACTTTTTTATATAAAAATTATTATTTTAGATTTTATTGCATAATAGCTATAGTTTTTTAACTAAAAGTGAAAAAGGTGCATTTTTAAATGTTTTTTAATAACGATTTTTTCCAGCAATATGATTTTTATAAAACGATTTTTTTTATTTTCGAATTTTTTATAAAATTTCGCTTCTTTTGAGTACCAGGTTGACCTACTTTTGAAAAACTTTTTTTCTCCAAAATATTAAGGTACCGGTAATTTTCCCAATAAAGTTGTGCCCTTTAAATCTTTAAAATTGTGCCCTTTAAATCACAATCATTCTAATATATATAATATAATAATATAATATAATATAATATAATATAATATAATATAATATATATATATATATATATATATATATATATATATATATATATATATATATATATATATATTGCTTCCCGGACTGTTTTTGAGATCTGATTTATGGAGGCAACCAACCATTGTTGATTTTTAATGAAAAAATCAGAAATGATTTGTTGCCCTCCTCTAGCAGTTTTCAAGAATGGCCCGAGGGGTGGCATTAAATTGAGCCCTATATATATATATATATATATATATATATATATATATATATATATATATATATATATATACATATATATATATATATATATATAACATAATCAATCATTTTAATAAAACAACAAGATAAAAATATAATAATATAATATAACAATGCTTTTCTACATTATAAAAGTTTATTAATTTCTCTTCTACTTTGTGAATAAAATGTCATCAAATGAAAAAATTTGATGACACTATAATATCAACTGGGTAAGCAGCAATTTATTCAAAAAGACTTATTTAATTAACTTTTTTTTAGCACATGCTAAATTAAAATTTTTTTGTGGAAATAATTTTTTTTTTTTGATAAATATGAGAAAAAATGAGTATAGACTAAATAAACCTATGCAAATAAAAATTCTACTATATTATTACAACAAAGTTAAATTTTACCTTGATTTTAATTTTTAAAAAAACTAATGAAAAATAGACCAAAAAAAACTTTTCCAAAGTTCAAATTAAAAAACTATACTATTTCATGCAAAATTTAGTTCTGATTGATAATATACAAAACAAAGCAAAAAAAAATCGAGTTATTATTGATATTACTTAAATAAATTAAAACAAAAATTACATGAAAAAAATTTTGGAAAGAGAAAAACGTTTTTTACATTTAAAAATTTAAGAATAACGATTGTTTTTTCAATATAAGTTAAAGTTACTTAATGTAAAAAAAAAATTGTGATGGGTACTCAAAATGAACAAATTACTAAAAATTAAAAAGAAAAATGTGGGTATTTTTCTTTCTATTTTATATACATTCATAATAACTGGTAATAACTTATTATAAATAAATAATATATATTAATAATATAATTATATACGTATATATAAATAATTGTTAATGGTAATAACCAATAGGTTTAGTCGTGCTTGGACATCATTCTTCTTCATTTCCTGTAACTTCATAGGTTCCTCAAGATTCTATCCTAGGCCCTATATTTTTTTAAATTTCCATTAACGATATACCAGAAATTCTCACATCTAAGGTGGCATTGTTGGCTGATGATACTACCATTAACACTCTCTAATTGCTTGGAGAGGGCATTTGAGCTTAAAAAGGATCTCACTTCTGCTAAGGTATGGGGTCTCAGTGGCTGGTGAACTTTAATTCAGATCAAACTCAATTTTTTTCAGCTAATCGTTATTGCAATAATTTAGATCTTCCTACATTTATGAACAGTACCGTTACCATTACCATTTCCTATTGATACTGACCATTTATAATAAAATCATATATAGCATAATATATTTTAGAACTTTTATGTGTTAAAATTTGTTTTTCAAATTTATTGAAAAACTTGTTTTCATCCTTCTATTGTTTACATTTTTTTATTTCATTCTTTATTAGTATTGTTTGTATTATTACTTTATTAGTATTGTTTGTATTATTACTTTATTAGTATTGTTTGTATTATGTTCATCAAATAATTTCTGTAAATGTTCTTCAATTATTTCTTATTAAGTTTAAAATGAAAATTAAAGGAAATACAAAGTTATTTAAAAAAACATTGTTTTTATAAAATACAGTAACAATTTAGTAACAGCCTAATTTTATTTTTTTTATTCTAAATATTTGTTAAATTGAAAAAAAAAAAATAATAATAATAGAAATTAGCAAATAAAATTTTTTATTTTTATGAAATAAGATTGGATTGCAAAATTTAATATTATAAGTTTGATTTATGCAATACTTTTACATAGTTTTAAAATAAAATAAATTAAGAAAACAAAAATTACTAGAGAATCTCTTAAAACCAAAAAAACGTACACTAAAAGCCAAAAAACTATTGTAAAAACAAAAACAAAAACCTACAAATGCCTTAAGAATACCAACAATGTTATGATAAAAAAAAAAAAATTAAACAACATTATTTTGCGACTTTCTTTTTTAAATAAAAATTATTAGGAAATTAAAAAAATACTTACCCCAAACAAAAGAATACCTTTCCATGGAGTACGTTTACCTAAACATTAAGTTTGTTAAAATTTCAAATAAAATGTACATATGCTGAATGAATCAAAATGTATAATCAATTAGTGATAAACGTTAATTTTTTTATTTTAATGAATATATTTCTTTTTATTTTAGAGAGCAAGCTTTATAAGGAAAACTCTGAGAAGGCACCTTTTCCATCAGGCTCCCTAATACAAATTATAATGAAAATAAAATTTCTATTGTAGACAAGATCAATTTCTTTTTTTAGTTTAAATTTTAATTGTTTGGAGTTCAAACTGTCCTGTATATCTTTATATAAAAAAAAACTGTTTTAATTATCCAAGTTAATTCTAAACCTAAACAAGAGAGTACAAGATGTGATTAATGCATGAACACTTATTTAATACCCATGTTTTTGACATTACCTGTTGGACCATTATTCATACCAATAAATACTTATTGGATAAAATACCTTAAATAAAAGTTAATAGGCTTTCATGAAAACGCTAGAGTTCTAATTTATTTTACTTTTTTTTACTGAAACACTAAAAAAATTATTAGCCTCAGTTGTTTTTTGTAATGATAATTTTCCTTATCAACTGTTTTTAACAAAAAAACCCTTAAGAATTGTAAAATGAACTCGCAAGTAACATAAAAATTTATTAATTTAAAATCAAAATAATTATACTAAAGAGATGTAAGAATTTTTTAATGATTGTTTGGGTATTCAAAACTTGCGATAAAGAGTTATTTAAACAATTTAAACTAAAAAAAAACTTTTTTTAAAATTTCCTTTCAAATTTTTTCAAATTTAAAAATTTCCTTTCAAATAAAAGCAATTAAAACAAATTTGATTAATTTTTTTTAATTAGTTTAATTTTGATTACATTAATTTAATTATTTCCTTTCAACTAAAGCAATAAAAATAAACTTAATTCTTGGTAAAACCAAAAAAATCAACAATCAGATTGCCACTTATGATAAAATTATTTGTAATAATTAAAGCATGAGATTAAAAAAAAAAAATCTTTTCAAAATTATTCAAAATATTTTTTACAAACTTCTTTAGTTTTTCTTTAAAGTAAAGAAATTAAAGAGTATAAAAATACTTTATTTCTAAAAAAAATTGTACATTCCTGGTGATGTCACTCATTAACTTCTGCAAAACTGTTATTGTCATTTTCTTGCTTATGATTGGCCATGCCTTACGCAAATTTTTTACTAAACTAATAGTCTTAGCTGCTTTGCGCAAATACCTTTTCTTTAGAAAAACAGTTGTTTTTGAGAACTTTCAAAAAAATTTTGAGAATTTTCAAAAATTTTTTTTAAAATTTTCAAAAAAAATTTGAGAATTTTTACAAAACACCTCAAAAAAATCTTGTTTTGCAGAGAAAATCTTTAACTTTCGTGGTTAACTTATATCGCCAACTTATATATTTAATCTCAATTTGTGATACACGTGTAATCAATTCTTACATAATACGATTATAAAAAAGCAATAAATGTGAGATTTTATTTTTAAATAAATTTTTCTAATCAAATTAATTTTGACAAGCCAAAATGTCAGTATCAGTTTCAGCAATTAACGAGAGTACCCGAAATTTCAGTTTATTTCTGCTTTTTTACTGTTTTTGGTCAATCACTACCCTTTTCCAATACCCCAATATTTTTCACATACTTTTTTATAAAAAATTTTCTTAAAAGTGCATACTGATTTATAAAAAGATTTATAAAAATTCTGACCAAATTAACGGAGAACAATTGTTAATATATTAAATAATAATAGATAAATACTTTGATAATAAATAAATTAAATATAAATAATAATAATTAATAAATTAAAAGAGAAAAATTGTTAATATATTGCCTTTATGATGCCTTAAAACCAAAAAATAATTGAAAATGATAAATTTTTTAAAATTCATAAACTAACTTTCAAAAATATTTAAAGTACCATCAGAAAAAAATATTATAACAAAGCCGATAAACATCAAAAAAAGAATTCAATAAACAGTTAATTCAATTTATAATAAATGTTTCATCATTCGCTACCACTACTAATATATGGTCTCAAGTAACGACTCTTACTTGGTAAAAACTAATTTTGGTTTTAAAAAAGATTGAAATTTTGCTGCAGAAATTTTACCCTGCTTGTTAGTCCTGATTTCAAGATATTTTTCGATTATTCTAATTATAAATTAAATTTTAAATACAAGACAATTAAAAACGTACCTGTAAATAAATGAGGAAACTTGATTGGCAATATAACTGCCTCCTTTAAAGCTTCTTTAGCAGCTTCAAGACCTGCAACATCGCTCCACTTTATATTTGGTTTCTCAGCTACAATAGCACCACCAAGCTGATCTTTGAATTTTTTACTTTCACTACTTTCATCATCACTGTCACTATTATTTTTTCTGTAAAACAAAAACTATTAAAAATTAAAAATCATTAATGTTAAAACAAAAACTATAACACTAAAAAAAACTTAACATAATCCAAAACTAATTGAGGGAAACATTTTAATTTTTTGACATTAGGAAAAGAATATATGTATATACATACAGTGAAGAACTCAGAGTTTATTTGGAAATACTGTTTTTTTTCGTGGCAATCTGGAGTGCGGTGGGGGGGATGGGGGGGATGGGGGAGGGGACGGTGATGATGTTCTTAAGATAGCTGCCGCCCCCGTTTCTCCCCTAGTTAAAACTGGTGCCACAACGATGATTTTTAATAGTGGCCTATAACTCAACTTTCATAAGTCATTATCTTTTCATAAGTCATCAGCATTCGAAATAATTATTTATAGGTTACCGATCAACATTACTGGCATAAATGATAAGAATTTAAAAGTAGACAATCAAATAATTTTACGGAGGATAAAACTTTTTTGTGTAGCAATTTTTGCATCACCCTTTTTATGTTTGAGCTAAATAGCACTGTTTATACCGCAGAATCAGGGCTAATGACACCAAGGAGGATTCCCCCCCTATCCTACTTGTTTTCTAATGAATTTTTTTTTTTTAAGAAAATTAATGATATAGAGGTCTTTTTTAAGAATATGATAATATTCTGTATATATAATAAACTGTATATATAACACCCTGTTTATATATACATATATGTATATATATATGTATATATATATATATATATATATATATATATATATATATATATATATATATATATATATATATATATATATATATATATATATATATACATATATATATATATATATATATATCTTTGTTGCAACGATAGCATGCAATTGCTTGCGATCAATATTCTTTTGTAATTAGACGTCTTTTGTTGTTGTTTTTGCTCAGACTTCGTAATTGTAACTTTATTTCACAATGCGATTTATGTATAGAGAAAATTAATATTATTTATAAAATTGAACTCACAATAAATGTGAAATATTACGAGCTCATGTTTACTACTTTAAAAACCTTTTTTATTTTTCTACTTTTAAAACATTTCTTTTGATGGCAGAATTCGTTACACGATGGTGTGCAGGTTTGTCCGAAAAGGACGTCAATCAGAATTTATATTATAAGTAGAAGTAAAAAATCATTGGCTCTCTTCCGCGGAGATTTTCATTGAACAGTTATTGCTATATTACTTTAGAAATTGCCCTTTATTGGTCAACAGTAAAAAAGTAATACATATTCAAAATAATGCTCCTAAAATGAAAGCCACAACGTTGTATTAAGATTAAAAATAAATCAAAAATATTATTCTTAATAATCTTTTTTTTTTGTTATTTAGGTGCCCCAAGAAGACCTGGCGGTCATGTCACAGAGCACCGCGGAAGTGCATTTAACCAGGAAGTTCACGCCTCCTTCCTAACCGTGAAGCGAAAATATGTCCAGATCTCGTTTTGAACCTGGATCTTCTGCATATAAAGCAAGCGCTCTAATCACTGCGCCACGGCCGCCTAAAGTCACCAGAGGTAGGAATCGAACCTCAGCTTACTTGTTCAGAAGCTTGGCGCGCTATTCACTTAGCCACACTGACACGACATTTATTAATATACACTGACTATTTTATAATATAAAATTGTATAGTATTTAATATATCTTTGGAAATCGGGCCTCCTTCCTTACCGTGACGCAAAAATATGTCCAAAGCTCATTTCAAACCTGAATCTCCTGCTTATAAGCGCTCTAACCATTGCGCCACGGACGCACTTTTTGTTACAAAACACTTTGAATTTTATGTTGATTTTATATTCATCATCAATAAATGTTACAGACGGTATTTTATTTTTGTTTTCCAGTCAATGTATGCTGCGCTGAAGTGGAGTAGAAGAAGAAAGAATATAAGAAAAGGATGCCATGCATCCCCGTAACACATTTAAATCTCAGGGGAGGGGGTGGATGATTGGGAAATATATTGAAAAATTCCTAATTTCTTTAAAACGCTGTATCAAATTTAATTTAGTTAACACCCTGATATATATATATATACACACACACATATATATAGGCTTTCGCAGGAGCAAAAGAATGCACAAGTAAATATCTACATATAGTTATTTTATACATGTAAATTATTTTTTTGGGTCAAAAAGTCTATTTGACAACATCTGACATCGAAATTGAATTTTGAATACCCTGATGGGCGCGCTTTACAATGGCAGAATTTGGAATTTTTGGAGTTGCAGATTTGACACTTTCACGCATTGTGCAAACTCTAAACTTAAGTTTATGTTTATGATTATATCAATAGACTATGTTTTAAAAAAAACTTGAAGTGATTAAGGTCTGGGAATAAAAATACGTAATTTAAACAATTAAATTTAATATAAAGTAGTTAAAAAAAAAAAAAATTCATTAACTCCTTAACTTACTGGGGTAATGAGGCTATATTTTAGGTTATTTTTTTCCAGGCTTTAATCACCAGGGCGCGACAAATCGTTTTTTTTCCACAGATGTTGACGTTTGTATCTTAAATGATTGATGAACTTATATTCTTAAATAGTATTTAAGAATATAAGTTTTATATTCAAATAAATTTTTATTCTAGTTAATAAGCTTTTGGATATATGAAAGATAGTTATTGAATTTAATCAATTGCTATATTTTCGAAACAATTTTTTATTTATTTGCAAAGTGCGCGCAAATTATTGATTTTTAATATGCAATGATTGTATACTGTTATTCAACGATGCAAAAGTTTTTTTTAATTTAGTTTGTTAAATTTATTTACTCATAAAATATACGTATAAACATAAAGAAATTAAAATAAAAGGAACTAAAGAAATAAATCGAAAAAGGACGTCTCATTTATAAATATATATTAATTTTTATATTTATATAAACAGATTTAAAAATCGCTAGAACTTTTAATTTATGGCCTTCCAAATGTCTAATACCAACCGCTGCATCAATCCAATTTTTGACATGTTTTTGGGGCAAAAAGTCTTCAATTAACTGTGTATTATACGCATAATATCTTCTAAGGTATCGTCATTTAATGAAGTTCGCAAAATATTTTTTTGTAAGTTCTTACAAGAAAAACTGCGTTCGCAACTTGCCGTTGAAGTGCTGAAAGTTAGAATAATCTCTAACAAGACATTTATACTTGCCAATTCAGGTTCATTTTCCAGAAAGATATCTTTATAAATGCTTAAAAGTGAATTTATCTTTAGTTTAGAGACTTTCTCCCTGAATAAAGGCCACTGCAATACACATAAATAAGAAGTTTCTCTGCTTCATCATAATATTGTTCTCATAAAAGTTGCAAACACTTTTTATTTCATTAAATCCCCATTTTATCAACATTGCTAATATTTGGATACTTTTGGCAAACCCAGCAAGAGAAACACTCATTTGATTTGTCAATATGAATCCAGCTTAGTTGTTGCCTGTGTTTTTTATTGCTTGGCGGCAATCCATTTACGGTGTTCCAAAACATAAATTCAATATCTTTTGGCCATATATCCAATTTTCCCAAAGTCATAGCACAATTCAAGTTATTGCACTTTTCTTTCAAATGTTTAGTTTCTCTCTCTTCTTCTCCTTAACGTTTAATGTTACGTTTCTCTGTACCATCTCTCTTTAACATCGAAAAGATGCTTAGTTGTTTTGACATTTTTAAAAAAAATTTAAAAATAATAGTATTTTAAGTATTTATTAATAAGTTAATAAAAATATCATATTATTGGTGTTGTTAAACGCACAATAAAAAAATTAAAATTTTAACAAACATAATAACTTTATATATTCTATTAGATTATGTATTTTTTAGCAAAACTTGAACATTATTTTTAAAACTTTTATAAGTTTTAAAATGCTAACTAACATTACTTCACTTTAAAGAAAATAAGAAAAAAAAACCAAAAAACACGCTATTTAAAAAAGCAATCGTTGTTTAACACGTTCACCCCGGCGTGTACCACCGGTGGTACACACTAGACTGTCTCATTGGGCGGCGTGTACCACTGGTGGTACACACTAGACAGTCTCATTGGGCGGCGTGTACCACCAGTGGTACACACTAGACTGTCTCATTGGGCAGCGTGTACCACTGGTGGTACACACTAGACTGTCTCATTGGGCGGCGTGTACCACCAGTGGTACACGCCGCCCAATGATACAGTCTAGTGTGTACCACCAGTGATATACGCCGGCGTGAACGTGTTAAGCATGGTTTTTTTAACGTAATTGCAAATAGAGTCATTCAAATAAAATTTTGAATGCTTTTTTAAACGCATGCAAAAACCATGCTCAAACTAATTACTTTCTTCGTTCCATTGAAGAAAGTAGCTTTAGCGTGGTTTCTTTTAAAGTCTTTGAAAATGGGTTAAAAATTTTCGTAACTAATTGTTTTTTGTGTTTTTTAAATAAAAAACGATCAATAGTTAATTGTTTGGAAAAAAAAATTGCTAAAGTAACGCGTTCATTTTGAAAAAACTTAGGCGAACGCCAACGTTTACGTTAGGAAAAGTAAAGGAACGCGACGTTCGTTTTTCTGTCTTTTTTTGTGCAGACGTTCGCACGTTCGTCAATTTTTCGCGCCCTGATCACAGTAATTTTTTTAGCAAAATAGTATTATTTGATATAAACATAAACATACTTAAGTTAGGAGTTTGTATTGTTGTTGTCATTGCAATGTTTAATTGTGATTTGCACGCTATACAGTGGTGCAATATAGATTTTTTGGTGTTTAATACTTTTAGGTGTCAAAGTTTTTACACTCTTAGGCATTGCGCAAACTTAACTATATGCTAATGTCAAATGATATTGTTTTGCAAGAAATTGAGGTTATTATTACTGAAGAACAATCTAACCCCAAAATTTAGCCCCTTAACCCCAAAGGTTAAGGCAATAATAATATAATTTTCGATAATTTATACTAAATTTTGATAATTTTATACTAAATTTAACTTCATTGGCAGGTTTTAAAT